CAGTAGTAAAGGTTTCCTTTAAATACCCTGTACCTAAATAGAGACCACGCCCCCAAAAGGTCCGGAATAGCGGTTCCCGGCACTTTATGCAAATGCCGACGTCATGACGTCGACGCTAGCCGTCGCGTCATAAAAGGGGGAGGAGCTAGCGCGGCCGGCGCGAAAACGGCCGGAATATGCCGAAATGCTAGGGGAAGGGAGCCCCTAAGCAGAGAGGATGTCCTCCCTGGATACATCACCAACAGGTACCCTGACACAGGGTTGGCAAATTCCAGTTTAGTAGATAAAATAAATTAGGTCCAGGCACTCAGGATTGCTGCAGTAAGGCAGGTTTATTGGAACAAAAAGTGCAATGTTTCGGCCTACGCAGACCTTTATCAAGCACTTGATAAAGGCCTCTGCGTAGGCTGAAATGTTGCACTTTTTGTTCCAATGAACCATCCTTCCTACAGCACTCCCGAGTGCCTGGACCTAATTTATTTTATCTACTAAACTTGTTTATAGACATCTCTATATAAGGCATCTCCTTCCTCATTTCTTGCTGCTTGGATGACAGAATCAAATTCTTTCTTTTACAGTGGAGGAATGGGGTAAAATATTTTTTTACACCTATACCTCTTCCGTAGACTCCTCTATACATTTCGTCAACTTCAAATTATTAAGCAGATGGCACCGCACTTCTTAAATTCTTTACAGAATCCTCCACAGTCTCCAATAAATGTTTAAAGGCACCACAGCCCACCCGTGGTGGTCTTGCCCATAAATTGCCTCTTACTGGTACTCCATCTTCCAAGTTATTAACTCAATTGTCAATAAAGTGGTACCAAAAACAGCCTTCAGGCTGGAATCACAGCCCCTTTCTCCTCCTGCCTTCACCTTTCAACCTGCCTTCCAACAGAAATTCCTGATTTAAGGCCATAAAAAAAAAAAATGTATGGACATACATCTTAATGGGTTTACTGTTATTGTTACCTCCGACCTCTCTTACAACGGGCATTTCTGCAACACTAACCAAACTAGTATGACAATATCATGTGATCATTTCTCTGTTCATGTTTTAACTTTGTCTCAGTGCTGTCCCTATTTCCTTTTATTGTTAAACTTTAAACAGTGCAAACCAGTGCATGCTATTATGTATCCATCTCCATCTGATACTTTTGTGACATTTTAAGTTTTCGCTGTACCATTTAACTTGAAAACTTTATAAAGAGTGATAAATAAATAATTCATTTTTAAAACAAAAATAAATAAAAACTAAAGAAGTACCAGTAGCCTGATGCAAGATAAAATTATGTGATTTTTCTCTTTTTAAGAAAAGTAAATAAATGTCCCATCTGCACTGCCACATTCCCTCCAGCACTGAATTCCTCAGACCTATGGTCATAATCTCTTCATCCTCACAGCCACATACTCCCATCCCAAAGGCCAAATCCTCCATCCTTATTGTCATCTCCTCCCATCCTAACAGCTATACCCAACCTTTTCTCAGCCATCATACACTATGTACTTCACCTGACATAAATCACAAGACACATTAGATGCGCCCCTAGTAATTAATAAACTTCTAATGACAGCAATATTCTTTGCAATGACCCTCAAAATCTTACACAAGATATGTCACCCAGCCTTACAAATGAAAATGGAATTATCACTTTATGATCAATATTATATGTGTGATAAACCCAAAGCTTTTATTGTTCATTGTTTATCAGAAAGACCAAATATTTTTTATTTATTTTTTAGTAAATAACTTTTTATTTGACTTCCAACATAGCATTGCATTGGAAAATGACATGTATTGAGACCCACAAGTCTTGAAGTGAAGGTCATCAGTAAGCATGCTAACGTAAAACATTTGGGAACACATAGGTTGCGAAATATGAATTATGGCATGGGACACGCAGGTCTCCTTTGTAGATTTGGAAGTCTCGAGAAATATATGGAAAAAACAAATCCTTATTCAGTTTCCTGATTTTGTATGAAAGGTTAAACAAAGAAAAGAAGAACAAAACCGGCCTAGTGGGTGTTGCGCCGGTATCCAGTCGTCAAGTCACCCAGCGTGGGTACCAAATATTTGTTGTTTCTAGCAAATAATTACCAAGTCAACATAATGTATTCTCTGTATTTTGCAGCATGTGCGTATATATGTGAAACAGAAATAGCACTAATAGAAAAATAATAATAATAAACATTTCTATTTGTAAATTCCTCAAAAAATAAATAAATGGTTGTCTATTAAACCCAATTATTGATCTTGTTCTGAAGGATACAGCCTCGTCACTGTGTTGTGGATAGAATGAAATGTAACGGTGGTAGTTTCAAAGTCAAATACCAAAATTTGAACGATTAAAACCCATTTATACAGTATTGCACACATTCAATGTACATTGAACGAATCAGTCCTAGCTCACTGAAGGCTGAGGCTGCCTTTTAATGCCAGCCCACCCCCATGCGGCATGTCAGTCTGTTGAAATGATGGCTGCCTCTTGTAAAGGAAGGTGCAGAGGATTATTTATGGAGAACTTGGGATTTAAAAGCTGTGCTGTAAAAAAAAAAAAAAAGTGAATGTAGAGCATTTTTTTTAGTTTCTCTGCAATTTTAAAATGCAAGACGCTCTGCATAAATGTTCCTTGTAATGCAGTCAGCACTCATTACTTGACAGTAAGAAGTGTAGGAACTCTAAATATGCGGTGCTATTGAGGTGAGAATTTAAAGTGAATTTCAAATTTAAGGCCAGAGTGGCTGAATGAAGACAATTGCTTTCCAGTTCAGATATTTTGACCTTAAATTTGAATTTACCCATTTCAGTTACTACCTATTCCCCACTGCACTAAAGTCCTGGTGTCAAGGAACTGCAGTTATTGGCAGCTGTAAATAGAAAGGCTACTCTGACACAGTGAACATGTTCGCCACTGACCTTTACTCCAAGTAGGGACTTCTTTCTCTTATGTATTTTTCCTACCCTTGACGTTTCTGACATTGGGCAGAGTTACCGCCATTTAGAAGTGTCAATCCCCTCCCCTCCCCCCTCCCCGGCTGTCATCAGTGCATTCTGCAGGGAAGTAGCTCTGTCTATAGCCAAATTGCCAAATTCTGCAAAGTCCCCAGAGGATGACATCGTCGAAACTTGAAATGGTCTGTGACCTCTTTAAATATGATCAAATACATATATTTCTGAAAAATGGTCTCCTCCTACCCTCTTATGGCTGAAGGATATACTCTATTATTACTAGCATTTATATAATTCCAATATATTACAAAGTGCTTTTAGAAGATAGAATGACAATATATGACAACAAATACATTAAAGGGACACTATAGACACCAGAACAACTATAGCTTAATGTACTGGTTCTGGTGTCTGTGGCCTGTCCCTGCAGGCATTTTCATGTCAACACTACCTTTTCATAGAACTCAGACAGCCACTAGAGGTGATTGTGCTGCATAGTGTGACTGACATTCAGTGTCTCCACCCTCTGCATGGAGACACTGAACTTTCTTCAACTTTCTTCAAGGTATAATACATATACCTTGCCAATTGTAACATTAATGGCTTGACATATTCATTATTCTAATACCATTACTGAAATGTAATTAAATTTAGCATTATTATGTTATGAAAAATGACTTATTTTGCTTCTCCAGTAGTTTTTCTCTTTTAAAATTATTGTTGTGTAAAAGCAGAGACATTTGTTTTCTGGTTGCAGTATCAGAATACTAACTGTTTTATGATGCATCAATGAGCTTTGGGCTCCCATGACCCTGACACCGTTTTACCTGTTCTTCCTTGCACCATTTTTGGTAGGTACTAATCAAGTTATACTGGGAACCAGGTCCAGACTGGCCATCGGGCAAATGTGCCCGGTGGGCCATGATGGGCATGTGCTGAGGCCAACAGGGAAGATTAGAGGATCCAAGCGCCGGCCTTGCTGCATGCCTTCATGGGCTGGTGGGGAAATGAAAGAGCTCCCACCCTGGCCCACTGGCACTTCATATCAGAAGTAGAGTGAAGATGTAAGAAGTACTCATGGGCTCTAACCTGTAGCTCTGCTGGGTCCTGAATGCTCCTTTCAGAAGATCGGAACATTACCGTGGTTACTATGGCAACATTCCGACAGCACAGTGCCCGATCACGCAAGAAGAGTAAACTCTAGCCTGAGGAGCTGTAGAGTTCACTCAGTACCACCAAACCACCAGGGCTTGCAATGTCCCCCCTCTCTGGTCAAAGGTAAGAAAGGAAGGGAGATATAATGTTTCTTTATTTTTTTATTTTCATAAATCTGTGTTAACCTCTTCCGTTGTCAGTGGTTTTAATAGCTATTCAGTGTATATGTGAGCTCTGTATTTTAACCAGTTTTGGGAAATAGAGATGCCCAATTTCATTTGTGTCAAACTGCTTTCTCTGATATATTTTTAGTTTTACTTAGCAATTTTATTGAGGATATGTAAGAATACAGTCGATAAATCAAAGAGTGAACAGGCCATTTCAAATACACACAACAGTGAATTAAAAAAACAAAAAACCTGGGGGCAGAGCCTGGCACTAAACCGGACCAGATGCCATTTCTAACTGCTCCAACACCCTAAAACACAATCCACACTATATCTCAGCACCTCGCCACCATCCAACCCTGCACACAGCAGATACAGACGTCTTGCTGCATCACCCGATGCCCTTCTTATACTCCCCGAAGCAACCAAAGCTGAAACGCAGGCACGGGGCCTATTACATGCCAGCATACCGTGACCTTGAGTATCTCCTGAGCCGGGACCTTGATGGGAAAATGGCAGAACTATGGCAACCTCACACAGGGCTCACTACTGCCTCCATGGGGCACAGATCCCAGAAGCCTCCGCCCGGAACCGCAAATGAACAGGTGGGAAACAGGGTGTTCCCTACTTAGAACGCAAGCCCCCCCCCCCAAAGTATTCCAAAATGACTGTCCTTCCTCAATTACAGTATCCATCTATATTATCTTAGGTGGAATTCAGTACTTCTTATGGAAGAGAAGTGCTTCTCACAAAGGATTAGGGACCCAGTAGACATTTACTGCAATCACGCTGCTCTGCTAAGTGATGCCTCTTACAGAGAAACATGGAACCCAAGTGCCCCAATGGATGAGCCTCTGCTGAGTGAAAGTCTTCATGACGAAGATAATGGTTATCTGATTGACAGCCACTAGTGACATCCTTAGTGACATATGTAAACATGCACTCCCCTCTATTATTTAGGTATCGTGGTGGGATCACAATAAATGACTGCTAGAAAAGAACGGAATTGGGGCAAACCCAAATATACATTTCTAAGTAGTGCTGCCATAAAGACCAAAATATATACAAATTACATGTGCACATGCTGTGCTTTCATTAGGATCCTACAGAGCAACAACATCACGCTGTTCATGGGTATAAAAGTAGGGGACATATCATGGTGGGGTGTCATGACATATCCCTGTCTCTCTGTTAGAGTGTGGTGGTTATTGGGTTTTTCTTTGGAATCAAGGTCAAGGTCTTTCTGGAACAGAATAAGATTTTCTACTGGTCGTCTGACCAACCAACCAATAATGAGTAATGGTCGATAGCAGATTATTATTATTATGTTATTATTTATATAGCGCCAACAAATTCTGCTTCGCTTTACAGTGGGTGGACGAACAGACATGTAGTTGTAACCAAACAAGTTGGACACAAAAGAACAGAGGGGTTGAGGGCACTGCTCGATGAGCTTAAATGCTGGAGGGAGTGGGGTAAAGTGACACAAAAGGTAAGGATAGTATTAGACTAGTGACAGATGCAAGAGAGGAATCAGTTAGGAGCTATTAACAGTTTAATGTATATGCTTTTATTGAAAAGTGGGTTTTTAATGATTTTTTGAAGGAGTGGAGACTGATTGAGCATCTAACGGAGGAGGTAAGTGAGTTTCACAGGAATGGTGCAGCCCTCGAGAAGTCTTGAAGGCGAGCATCAGAGGTGGGAGTACGGACAGAAGATAGACGTAAGTCTTTAGCAGAGCGTAAGGGCCTAGACGGGACATACTTGTGTATAAGGGAGGATAGATAGGTGAGAGCAGCATTATGTAGAGATTTGAAAGCAAGAACCAGAATTTTGAGCCCTATATCTTACAGGTAGCCAATGTAGGGACTGACAGAACGGTCAGGCGTGGGAAGTGCAGGTGGACAGGAAGATGAGCCTTGCTGCTGCATTCATTATGGACTGTAAAGGCACAAGTTGGGAGCATGTAAGACCACTGAGAAGCGGATTACAGTAGTCAAGGTGAGAAAGGACAGTGGAATGGACCAGCACCTTAGTCGCATCTGGCGTTAAGTAGGGTCGGTTGAGCGCAATGTTTTTGAGATGGAAGTGGCAAGATTTGGCGATAGACTGAACATGAGACATGAAGGAGAGGTCGGAGTCAAAATGAACACACAGGCAGCAAGCCTGCGTGGTGGAGCTGATGGTAGCACCGTTGACTTGGAGGGAAACAGACACAGGAGTAGCAACACTTGAGGGAGGAAAGACCAGAATTTCAGTTTTGGTCAAGTTGCGTTTAAGGTAGTGGGCAGCCATCCAGTTAGAAATAGCAGAGAGGCAGTCAGAGACACTAGTCAAGAGGGACGGGGAGAAAACAGGTAGATTTGTGTCATCTGCATAGAAATGATATTGGAAGCAAAAGGAGCTAATGAGTTTACCAAGGGAGGCAGTATAGATGGAGAACAGTAGGGGACCAAGGACTGAACCTTGGGGGACACCAACAGAGAGGAGTTGGGGGGAAGAAGCAGAGCCAGAGAAAGTGCACTGAAAGTGAAACACTGAAAGTGCACTGGGAGAGGTAGGAGGAGCACCAGGAGAGAGCAATATCTTGTAGACCGATATTTCGGAGGATGAGAAGAAGCAGTTGATGATCACCAGTGTCAAAAGCCGCAGACAGGTCAAGGAGAATTAGGATAGAGTAGTGACCACGTGATTTTTCAGCGAGTAGATCATTGGATACTTTTGTCAGTACCGTTTCCACAGAATGCTTACCGCGGAAACGAGACTGAAGCGGGTCTAGCAGAGAGTTGGACTCGAGGAACTAGCAGAGAGTTGGACAGATCAGCTTGATTAATCAATAATCTACCATCCTTCAAAGGAAATTCTGCAGGGACATTAACTTGGGGGAGCGAGTGAATCAGAGGATTTTTCTAATCACAAACTAAGTGGACAAATCAAGTGTCTACGAGTTCTCTGTCCATCAAATGATACCTATAAAATTTATGAGACCATTGTGTTTCTCCAACCAGCCTTAGTTATTGTTACTATTCATAATTTGATCAAGTTTACATTTTACGGTGTTTGTGTTTAGTTCTTTTATAAACACTAATAATACACATAGAGGAAGAGCAATGGGTCAGAAGGTGGAATGTGACATTCCCAAACCTTCCGTCAGGGAAACATTTTTGTTATTATGTTTTTTTTTATCTTCGTAAAAGTTCTAGAAATTCATTATAACTGCCATCACGATTTATGATCTTTCTTCTGACTAAGCATTTCCTTGTATGCATTGGAAACCATTAATTTCTGTCTTTAAACTGTGGGTTGCCTGCCAGCCGTAGACGGAAACAGTTTCTCCAAACATAAGTTAGCGATCATGTAAACATTACATTTCAACTGTTTAATAGGACCACATATGAAGCTTTATAAAATATCAAAACATAAAAATTTTTGGCCAATGCCTTTTTTTTCTTTTTACAAGGATAAACATGAGCTAAACATCCACTCACGAAGGTTCATTTGTAAAGTCCGTCTGGCTGACTTGCAAAAGTCATCATAATCATATGAAATATGGCTAGGAAGCATACATTGAGTTGTGGCAACCTTCAAACCAGTGTGACAACTGTGAAAGCAAGCAATGTACTTAAATAGTAATTAAATATGACTAAGGCAAATACTGTTAGAGTAAAATATTTTTCTATTAAAAATATGCAGCAAACTAGGGCTGGGTTACTGATGCTGTTTGTTGTTATAAATACATTAAGCAAGACAGTGAAGCTGGATTAGTTACTGTCATTGTGTGTTGGCCAAACCTTATACAAGGTACATAGTGGTAAAGAGACAGCAGTGTTACAAAGTTTGTTAAACAAGACTTGCCCACTTTCTCCAAGAATGACCTGGACTCCTGTTTTGCCAATACCAGTAATATTCGCAAAACATAACCAAAAGATGCAGCTGTTCTTCTCCATGCAGTGTGCGTTTACTGGTGTTCAAATACAGGTACTTTTCTTCCAAATACTGATACCTGGTTTCATAAAGTTCTTTAGAGGAGAACAAAATGTAACCTGGTTTTGGGCATCAATGAAGAAATATTGTATGAAGGTGTGTTGACAATCTAATTATTTTACAGTATATTTTAGACTGTATGAACAATCATGTAATGACTTGGTATCTCCCATTCCTAGAAAGTAATGCTAGTTCTCTGGATATCTGGGTAAGTGATTAACTGCTAGGCAGACCAGAATCGTTCTTCTGGATCCTTGATGCATCAGGCATTTAATGAAACGGGATGATCTCCAAGTATGCTCAGCCTTTAATGGTTTGGAATCTTCCTAATGTTCAGTAATGTCCAACCTGCTATGACATGTCAAAATAGCAAACTAGTGGTTCTTAACGTTTTTCTGTGATGTGCCCGGCATTATCTCGGTAACCCATTCTTCAACTGCAACAATAGCTCAGGATGCGGTGTATTCTGCATTTGTCATATAAGATATACAAATAAAAATATGCAAACCGACTTCATTAGGTTATTCAGTGTTCAAGAGGTCTCCATAATATTGGATAAAGCACGGCTGCTAGGGTAAATCATTGTGGGCAATTGCCATATGGTTAGGATGTGTCTGTTCCAACACCATGGGCCCCTCTAAAAATGTTGGGTCCCAATCCAGTGGGTAAGAACCACTGCACAGTCAAGGCGCTGTTAGTTTCAGGAGGCAGGTAATTTTTTCCCCACAAATAGGGTCTTGGAGTTTTATTTCAGTTACAGCTGTAAGAGACTCAATTAACAAGAGTAGGGAGTACTGCTTCAGGGTGAAACCACAAAGTGAATTTATTACAGGCAATGCTGGGGTTGTGACAAAGAATTACTACGGGGAGGTTACAAATACAGATTTTCGGGCCCGAGAACAATCAACTCAAGGTGAGTACACATCATCCAACAGGAAAAAGCTGTTAGTTAAAGGGGATCTCATAATAACAACAGGAAAGGAGAACCGGGCAGTTCATGTAATGTAAGGAGGGGTAAGGGACAGACGGACCTCCTGTTGGGAACTGGCTCCAGAGCCATCTTACTCTGACTCACAGCTATCATGAACCTTCCCACTAGCAAATAATAAAACCATAGTATTAGTTGGAACTAGAATACAATGGAACACAGTCTTTAGCATCAGGAAGAAAGACAGTTCATACCAGGATACTCTAATAAATATATGATTAGCTGCGGGGGAACATGACGATACTAGCACAGGCATTCTATGGTATCAACATTTCTATACACTCATATAAAAAAAGCTTATCAACACCAGTGGAATAAATCTTGTGCAGACTCTGGGTAGCATTACATACCTGTCTTTAACCACTTAAGGACCAAACTTATGGAATAAGAGGGAATCATGACCTGTCACACATGTCATGTGTCCTTAAGCGGTTAAAGGCATGGTTGTCACAATGACCAAGTAGTAGCAGACAATTTTAAATATAGAATTGATAATTATACAACATCATTATTTGGCTTTTCTCTACTGAGTGAAATTTATAAGATAATTTATTAGAATACAGAACAGATAAGAAATGGGTCGGAATCGATAGATTCTTATTTTTCAATTTTGTCTTTCCCCACAACTCTCATTATCAGCTCTCTGTAAAAAAATAAATAAAAAAACAAACAAAATACAAAACAGATGTTAAGCAGAGTGAATCAAATGAAAATTTTATAAAATTTCTTAATTTAAATATAATTACAAGTATTATACAGGGCAGTGTTTCCCAATTGGGGTTCCGCGGCCGCAGCATTTAGGGCCACCTGATCGGTATCACTGAACAGGAGCCCAGTCAGGTGCCACGGCCTTTTAAAGCTGCAACCGGGCCCCTGTAGCATGGAATGGTGGAAGGAACTGACAGCCTGTAATTTCCTCCCAGACAGAGCGCACCGAGTGGGATGGGAAGAATGAGCAGCAGTGAGGAGTGAGCAGCACACCATCCTCAGCCAGCAGCCTGCAACACTACAAGCAAGTCACCCTCCTACAGGAAAAAAGGTAATCTAAAAGGAGTGTGACTGCAAATACCTATGTGTGTGTCTGTGTATGTGTACTATGTGTCACTGAGTATATCTGAGTGTGTGTATTTCTGTGTTTGTGTCCCTGTATCTGTGGACAATGTATGTACCAAACTGTGTGTATCTGTGTATGTGTCAGTGTATCTGTCAGTGTTTGTATGTGCCAGTGTGTTTATCTTTGTGCCGGTGTGTGTTTATCTGAGTGACTGTATCTGTCAGTGTGTATATGTACCAGTATGTGTGTGTGTGTGTATCAGTGTGTGCATCTGTGTAAATGAATGTGCCAGTGTGTGTATATCTTTGTGCCAAGGTGTATGTCTTTGTGCCAGTGTGTTTGTGTGTATCTGAGTGTGTGTGTATGTATGTGCCAGTGTGTGTATCTGTGTGCCTATGTGCCAGTGTGTGTGTGTGTACGTACCAGTGTGTCTGTGTGCCAGTGTGTATCTCTGTGTGTGTATGTGCCAGTGTGTGTATATCTTTGTGCCAGTGTATTTATCTGCATGTATCTGTCAGTGGGTGTAACTGAGTGTGTGTGTATGTGCATGTGTGTCTGTGTATCTTTGTGCCAGTGTGTGTATCTGTGTGTTTTTTTTTTATAAATATGGATTTTTTTTATAAAAAGCTAATTTTCATTGTGTTAGTAGAATTTTATTAAAATTTCAATGTGCACATTTTAAATACAATCAATGTGCAAAATACAGAGATATTGAGAGCTGATGCTAGCCAAAGTGTGCTAAAAGGAGTTTATAATGTATTCTACAGTTAGTCAATCCACTCACATTTGTTATAAGGCTGTTGTTGTAGTAGATTTAATGATCCATTAGAATCACCCAAGACGCAAGTCTTTATATTCTTGAGCTCCACACTAGCATCACAATACCAGTGACATCATGCAATTAATTTTGTGCAATGGCAAAGGCATGTGATGACACAAGAGCACGTTCCATGCCCAGAATAACATCACCAGGCAAATATTAGTTTCTGCTTATAAATAAAAAAAACAGAAGGTAAGTAATGATACAAGATATGTTTTAGTGTAGTAATTTATTCTGAGGATTGGATACGGACAGTGAATGAATGATTCACTATATATATCCCTGCACGGAATATCAGTTTAACATTGTTTGTGTTGCTAGGTGAGTCCTTCTGTGTATGAGGTAACTAGCTTTCAGTCCTGGCCAATATTAGTAGAATGGCAAGTATTGTTACTGTAGAGATATTTGTGCCTCATTTAGGTTGTGGAGAATAATTACATAAACATAAATCAGCAAGCATACATGAATACAGATTATTAGCTCCTGGGCTATCTAGCTACCGTGCTTTGTATAAAAGAGCTAAAGTTGTATTGGTGACTATATTGTCCCATAAGCCCCTCTAAAAACCGGCGGACGGCATAGCACATCCCCGCCATCCTATGTACTTACCCGCTCGCCAATGTTGTGAGTTGTAAGCGGAACTGGTGCAGTTCACCGGGGGGTTGCACTCTCAGGATCATCCTCCCTTAGCCCCCCGCTGAACTGAACCTGGAGCAAATCCGCATACAACGCACATCGTACAGAGAGGGATTACTGACATCCAAACTGATAGAGGAATCCCTTATGAGCTTGTTGAAGTGAATGGTCTTTATGACACACACTACCTGCTACTGCAGCATTCAAATACCCTGCTTCAACTGTATTTGGTGAGATCCTACCAATCTTTTTTACATTTTTTCTTTATTTTCTTTTTGAGTACTCAGAAGAACTTACATATAGAGACTTTTTTTTTTTTGCTGATTTTTTTTCCACGTTTTTGTTTCCTGCAGTTTTTAATTATTTTTTGTCTTTTATAGAGACTCTGCTACCATTTTAGGCAGGACTAACTATATTCCTTATAATTAGTACGGAGTACGGTAGTATGTATCACAAGCATATTTCGCTTAACTTTGATCCATAATATGCCCAGGATTCAGGTTTGACGAACTCTCTGTACATAATTTTAAAGATCAAGTCTTTTGGATGAACTATTGTTGTTTTGTGATCTATATATATATAATGTACAAAATATGAACTCTACTTGTACAGTCAATAGTGTATATAATTTGAATTTCGATCAATGAAACATTTGTGTATATAGATGAATTTTCATGTGAAGTGATGCACTAATTGATTGCCTTTAATATTTTTTGTTTACACTATCCATTAAATACTTTTAGATTTTTTGAGCAACATTTTGGAGTGCGATATCATTCCTTTTTTGTTGTTGTATATTTTCATGTTGGGGTTAATATGGGTGGGTAACCCTGATACCAGCACCCTTCTGCAGGTTCAGGTGCCAACATACATTTATATTTATCTGAAATACAGCCTCCGTTATTTCTGCCTCCATTGATTTGAGAATATAACCAACATAATTTGATATCACAGATATAATTGTGGAATCTGTTGGCGCTTTATAAATACCAGTGATAAATAAATAAAATGAACACTGAACACAACAGAATGCAATTAACAAATGGTTATCCTCCATGCTCCTTATTAACACGAGAGACACAGAAGCATGGTCCCTCTCAGACCCTCACAATGCAGGTGGCAGTGTGAGGGTTACTAATAAACAAGAAGACTGGAACCAGCCCACTTACCCCATAAACTGAGTCAATATCCAATCCCAGCTGTCAGTTAACACCTCCTAATATTGGGAGAGTTTAAGCTTGTTGGAGCATGCCATTTTTTACCTGTCTGTCCACATTATATTTATACATCAATTACAAATAAACTCATTGTATTATTATAAAGCACTGAGGAAACTGCGACACAATAGAAATAATAATAATTTATAGAATATTATCACCTCCCAAGGAAAAGAATGAAAACATTGTGATCGGCTGAGCAACATCTTGATCTGGTGACATATCTCTGAACATACACTTAGGATTTTCAAGTAAATGGCAACTTCAAATGAGAATTAGTTTTTATTTTAATTTTTTAAAATTATTTTATTTTTAATGTGATTATTTATATAGTGCATTAAAATTGTAGTGGCATGGAGCATGCTATAGTGGTTATGGTGTTTGGAGTGTTCCTTTAAAAGGGAATGTAACCGGTGTGTGTCCACTAGACCAGAAAAGGTGAAGGATTGGAAGGGGAGTCTCATATTGTAAGACAAAATAGACAAACTGGTAAAAAAATAAATAAATCTCCATCTCAGATAATTTTAACAGGTCCGCTATTACAGTCCAATACCTGCAAGCCACCTGCTACCGCACCACAATTCACATCTTAGTAAATAAAGCCACATTACCACATTCTGCATTAAAATAACATGACCAATTAGGACTTTAATCCTCCAGTATTTTAATATATATCAACTGCTTTAAGAAGAGATTAATTAAAACACAATGTTACTATATGGTCAAATATTTGCAGTTTTACATTTCTCTTTCTTACACATCCTGTATACATGCTCCACTTTAAATGCACATTGGTTTGTTGGGTGGCGATCCCTTTAAATGCGTGACGTCATACAACGGCGACCAACACGCTCAAAGACCTTGAAACCGCTCTATCTTCTCCAGTCAGTTATAGGATGAGGCGACCGCAGTATGCCTGATTACAGATTTAGCAAGCGTCAGCGCCGTGTATAAGAATACACGGGTTTATCATACCCAGGACATCGGATGGGGGCATAAAGATATTCACTAACAGCATTTTTTAATGTTATTACATCCTATCTTTTGAAAAGGCAAACAGAAAGCCACCCATAGGGGCCTTTTATGCCAGTGTCGCAGAGTAACATGCTGGAAGTGCTGTCCATGTGAGAGAACTCACTTGTCTATGTACATTGATGGGGTCACGGATAAAGTCTGCTTATCGTGCATTCATATAAATGGTTTATTTCAGTGACTAACGTGGAATTATTATTTTTTTTTATCCATAATGAATTCTAACAAAGTTAGATATTTAATCTTTTTCCAATATTTTGGGACAAAGTATAGGTAGGTGCCATTACTTTAAACATTCACTTTAAACATTTCAATGTAATTCTTTATACCTGGCAGAATATCATTATAGGAGAATATATTTGGTACAAACATATAATACTTTGTTTAGCTGATGTTTATTTTCAAGGGTTTGTAGTATGTTTATGAACTCCCTAATATGGAGTATATTTTAATTTAGTTTCTTTTATACATACAGTAAAAGATCCATAATTGTATATGTTGTAATTAATGAGGCATGCATGTAGTTGTTTAGTGTAATGGATTAAAAAAAAGAAAAAATAATTTTATATATATGCACAAATTTAACAAGGTATTATGAAAGGCGAAATTAGTTTAACCCCTTAAGGAAACATGACATGTGTGACATGTCATGATTCCCTTTTATTCCAGAAGTTTGGTCCTTAAGGGGTTAAGTATTTTTTTTACATATTTACCTTTTAATAACCCAATGGTTTAAAAAAAAAAAAAAAATATCAACAATCTATGCATTTTTTCAGGTCATACAATTATAGTTGTGGTGATTTCCAAAGGTTTGTCCAGCTATCACCCCACACTTACTGAATGCTGTCACCAGCGTGCTGCCCCCCAAGCTGTACCGCCCGCTAACTTGCACAATTTTTATCACAGCTTGTACTGCAGCACTCACCTGCAAGTTTACTTAGTTTCAGTCATCCAAGCTTGAGGAAACCATGTCTGATGAATGGAACAATCCAATGTTAAAAATAAATGTATTTATGTCTAACGTTGGAGTGGTCAATTTTTTGGGTTACTTTTAAGGTCCTTCACTGGTTAATGAAAAAAAAAAGTTATTCATATTTTTTTCAATGGCGAGACAGTCATCCTTGCGACTTCACTTTACCCTGGGAATCATCAATATGATCTCTGGGCCAATCCAATGTTTCTCAAGATAAAAGCATTGGGTTTATAGGGCAGTTTTCGCACACTACAAATAGAAGGCTATTCTAATCCAATTCTTTTCAATGAGAAGCAATCACTGGTTCTTTGAACTAGCCTTTTTGTTGCTGCATTCAAGGTTTTGTATGAACACTTTTTTTCAATATTTTTGGAGTATTTTTTTTTCCTGGAAATCTTCTGATTGTGCAATTTTATTCTTTTGTTTCTCGAGATTGATTGATTATCCAGCTTAAATTGGATCTGATATCTGTTGGTTCCTAATAAAGTTACATTATGTGATTAAAGTTGCTATATATTGTGTATTTTGTCTTTTTTTAAAATTTATTTTAAAAATGAATCTTAAGACTTTGCCTTACATACCGGTATATTTAAAGCAGAACTGTGATTTCTCTGGAAACTGTGGAACTCTGGAACTGTGATTTCTCTAGTGATTTTTTTTTTTTTTTTTTTTTAAACCTAAAACTAAAGTATGTTTAAAAATATGAAAAATCCTAGGTAGCATTAATTGGCTATTGGTATGTGCATAAATATTTCAAGAGACTTAACTTGTTTAACTTGCTTCAAGGAAAGTTAAAGAGGGCTAGGTAGAGATGTTCTGTTTTATCATCCAGGAGTGGTGGGCATCATTGGTATCACCACATGGGTTATGCATTACCTGTTACACAAATTCAATGAGCATACAAAAGAAGATATCCGCTGTCTTATATATGACTTGTTTTGTAGTCTTCATAATGCACAAAAATACACTGAACGCTAGCCATCTTACATAGAAAACAAGTAGCCCCGCAGATCCCTTACATGAGATGAAAATGGCCATGCTGAATCTCAAATCTGAGCTTTGTATCTAATATTTGAATCGGTACTGATCCTAAATCTAGGTCATGGGGAAATGCTTGCATTAGTAAACCTAAAAGTTCAACAAAGCTAACAGATTAAAATGGAATTAAAACGTCTGCTTTAATCTCTTTATGAATATTGGTAGGAGCATTACTGGTTAGAGGTACCAAGGTAAGTGTCAAACCATTTAAAAACGCTACAAATACATACTGTGGGACAGCACCAGGGGTCACTTGGCACCAAAACCAATACAGCAGGCTGTAGTGGTTATGGTGCTTGGCATGCTCTAGGGCAGGGGTAGGCAACCTACGGCACTAGTGCCATGCACGGCACTCGAGGTGTCTTTGCACGGCACTCAAGGCTGCTAGAGCTAAACACACTCTGGCCTATCAAGAGTCCCAGTAAAACTTCAGATATCTGCTAATACGAAGAGGTGGTGAAGGACAATCCTCAATTTATGCATTGCAGCACATAGAGGAAGTAATCTCAGATCACTTCCTCCCAGCACTTGTGAATGGGAATCCACACTGTAGTAGAGCAGCCCTCGACAGCTATCGCAGCTCCTGTCCTTGACCTGTACCTGGCCAGCCTGGAACCCACCCACACTGCTAGATATACACGAAGCTGCAGAATAACCCTCCCCTCATACAAATAATATGAACAGCCCACACACACCAACACACAATCCCCACAAACGCAACACCACTAACAATCCACATACATGCACACAACCCCACATGCAGCCTCTCACATGCAATACCCCAAACAGCCCCACACATACACACACTACCAAATACACAATGTGACAAATCCATCCACACACAAGTCCACAAGCAGCCCTCATACACAGCCCACATTCATATGTATCATACATGATACCATAAACTACTAATGAACATATACAATATAATAGCTCATATACGCACAAATACAACGATACAAAGCAATTACAGTAAAAATAACACAAGCAGAATACGGTAGCATACACACCTCAATTTAAAAAAAAAATAGGACCGGCACGCTACGGGACATCACAATCCTATATCGGCACAGTGCTGCTAAAAGGTTGCCTACACCTGCTCTAGGGTATCACAATCTGTGGGTAGATCTTATATAAACAAGGAGAATCGAGAGTACCCAATAATAGAACATAACGTTGAGTAGGTGGGAGTCTTGGCACCCTGAGTAATGTCTGATATGTATTAAAGGACCACTATAGGCACCCAGACCACTGCAGCTCAATGAAATGGTCTGGGTGCCAGGTTCCCCCAAGTTTTAACCCTGCAGCTGAAAACATAGAGGTTTCAGAGAATATAATATTAGGGTAAGCAGAGTAAAATTATTTTTGCAAAATTTTGAAAGTTAGCTTCAGAAACATGTTATCACCAGATATTAATCTCATAGGAGGGCAGTTACGGTAGATTTAGTTAAAGAAAGCTCAATTGTAGTGGGGTTAGAAAGTATTATTTTGCATTTGCATCTACTATGTTAAATGAAACGTTAAAATATTTTTTTTAGACCAAAACAATACTTCTCCCAGCATTTGAAGCCGTGTTTGTGATTTGTAAATATGCTATAGTTTTCTTGTGTCAATGGAAGGCTCGGCTATCTATTGCTTTATACAATAATCTTAGCAGCTAATAGAAGGGTGAGTTCATATTTATTTAAATGTATGAAAACTCATTTTTTTCTGTTCATTTCATGTAGACGGTTTCAAATGAAACTCACTTAGCTTTGTGTTTGAACAGTAAAGTTGTTATAGTTTGTATGTAGCCTACGTATTCAGAGGTTCTATGTTGCCATTGTACAGCGCTATGGAATCTGATGGTGCTATATAATTAATATAATAATAATACCTATTCGTTTTTACTGTTATGTTATATAGTTTATATCATTGTATGTCCTTCTTACGTCGCCATAGATATCCCTAGTGGTTGTCAAATTTAATTTCCATTTTCTTAAATGAAGTATTACTGATTGCAAGCTATCCAAATCTTGCCATTACGCAGAGACCCATTCATTTTTTTCTACCACCATTGCAGTAAGTGACCTGAATTTGTCTTTTTCTTTACTTTTAGTGGAGTGGTGGAGACACCTGTCACACAGTCTGTTCTAGGTGTGCAGAACTATTTGCAGGTGAGTTTCAATTTAATCACTTGTCTCCTAGAGTTTGTTATATTGACGGCCAGGGTTATCAACTAAATTGAGAACTGTCATTAACGAACTAAGGCACGGCTCGACAAATCCTAGGCGCCCGGTCGCCATGGCGACTCAATATTTTGTCCTGGCACCTGGGATTGGTCAGCCCATTCCCTCCTCCTGTGTCAATCCCAGTGCAGCGCTGTGTGCGCCGGGAGGTAGTGAATAACTAATTACTTCCTTCCTGCAGAGGCAGCGCAGTGGAATGGCAAGCTAACCTGGCAGGACACCAGGTAAAGCAAAGCAAACCCATGTTGCTAAAAATATGTATTTTTCTTCTCTAATTTCTGTATATCTGTTGTGTGTATGTCTGTATGTGCATTTGTCTGTGTGTATGTATGAATGTTTGTGTGTTTATATATTTGAGTGTATCAATAATAATACTTTGTGTGTGTATCTCTCAACATGTTTCTGGCAGTGTGTGTGTCTGTCAGTGTGTCTCTCTCCATGTTTCTGGCAGTGTGTGTGTCTGTCAGTGTGTCTCTCTCCATGTTTCTGGCAGTGTGTGTGTCTGTCAGTGTGTCTCTCTCCATGTTTCTGGCAGTGTGTGTCTGTCAGTGTGTCCCTCTCCATGTCTCTGTCAGTGTGTGTGACTCTCTCCGTGTGTGTCTGTCTCTCAGTGCCTGTCTCTGTCAGTGTGTGTGTGTGTCAGTCCGGGTGTCTGTCAGTGGATGTTTATGTTTAGGTCACCAGCCCCCTCCGATCGCATTGGGAATTATGTTTTTACTCATCTTTTACCTAGCGCCGTACCGGTTTTGCTGTAGCTGGCCCACCTTCGTAGCTCAGATTATCAATTGCCAATCAGCATCTCCTCATAGAGATGCATTAAATGAATTAAAAGCATCTCTATGGGTAACGTTCAGCACCTACATGCAGAGCGTGGAAACGCTGTATTGGTTATGGTGACTATATTGTTCCTTTAAGAATTGTATTTTTGTTGTAAGGGTGGGGCGGGGTGGGGAGAAGCTGGCTCCTAGATTGAAAGCAAATTTGTCAAGCCCTGGACTAAGGAATTTGCCATTTTTAGGCTAAAATGACCAAGTAAACTTTTTTTTTTCTGGAACCTGACATTGTACTGAAATATTTTACTAGATAAATAAATAAAAAGTTAACCAAGGGATAGGGCAAGACGTCTTCTACTGGCTAGAACCATAAGCCTGGGAAGACCTATGGCCATATCCCCTTGTCAAGCAGAGAGGTCACCTAGTTTTACTTATAGAACAGGGGATAACCCTAATTACTAGAAATAGAAAACAATATCCAAGACAAACACTCCAAATAGAAGTAAGCTGTCAGGGACAAAGTACAACTTAAAATGAACTAGTAGCCTAAAAGCCACCCTCCCTCCCCCTTCCCAAAAAGAAAATATCAAAACCTTTATTATCCGTAAGACATAGAGCTACTACTGTCAGTTAGAGGATCCTACATAGGAACAGTGTATGCATAATAGGTATAAGGGAATCCGCCATGGGGTACAGATGAACCTTCCACTAGAATATACCCTGCTATTAGGCAGAGACCAATGTGGGAAAATGAGGAGATAATCTAAATCTCTACTGAGAAAAGGGACCTCCTAGACATTCGCTAGTATGAGGTAAATTAACAAAAAACAAAACAAAAAGAGATTCTTCACAGCGATTGCTGTAACTCCAGTCCCACCATAACCACCGTACCCCATAAAAAAATAAAGCTAATTCTGTCCCTAATACTTCGGTACCGCACGAAGCTAGTGCCTACCTGAACCAAAGACCCTTTATAAGTAACTCAAAAGCAAAAAGATAAAGTGCTACCTAATAAGTGCAAAAGTGCATATTAAAATAAATAAGTATGGCCCGACACAGAGAATTACTGTGAGGTTCATTGCTGTGGAGCTCTGTGATTTACTGATACACAGAGAGTATTATTCTGAGGTTTATTGCTGTGGAGCTTTGATACACTAATACAGAGTAAGCATTACTGTGAGCTTTATTGCTGTGGAATTCTAGTTATACACTGCACTGAGTTTCATTGTAGTGGAGCTCTGTGATATGCATATACACACTACATATTACTGTGACTACCATAACTGTAGAACTCTAGTAATATATTAATACATGCTGCACATTTCCACTAGCCTTTTTTATTTTTGCTGTGGAGCTCAATGATACTCTCATACACATCAGGTGTTCCTAAAAGTGGACAGTAAGGGATCTGGGGTATTAAAGGGACACTGTAGGTACCAGAATCAGTGCATCTTAATGTAGTGATTCTGGGGAATATAACCTGTCCCAGCAGGTTCAGCAATGTAAACAGTATTTACATTGTTGTCCAACACCACCTCTAGTGACTGCCACTCTGACAACCCCTAGAGTGACTTCCTGGACAGGGACCTGTAAAGAATGCAGGACCTAAGTTCAACATCTCCACACTCTACATGGAGGCACTGAACACTCCCAATAAAAATGCATTGACACCTTGCAATATTCTGTGAGATGCTGATTGGTTGCAGCGCTGTCCCTTTGGGGAAGCATTGGATTTGCTGAGCTCATTTGTGATGATGATCTCACCCAGGTTAGGAACGGCGGCTGCAGTGAGACTGGTGTGCCAAGGGGAGTAAATTTTAAGTTTTTCCACGACACGAGGACATAGTCTTAAAGGGGCACTGTCATGGCCGAATCCCGTTTTTTTTTTAACCCCCCTCCCGACTCCACTACATCTAACTGACCCCCTAGTCACCCTCAAATGCCTGTAAGCCCCCCATATTATCTATTTTTTATTCTTTATTTTCTGCCCCGATCTATATTCAGGGCACCGCCATCTTTGTGTGGGTATATGAAGTCCCTGTGAGACACATCATCTGCCCACACAAGATAGAGTGAAACACTTGGACATGCGAACGGGAATTTCATCTATTCATTCATTCGTCAGAAAGATGAAGGAATGACTAGAAATTTCAGATGAACAAACAAACACTGAATATCGGTGTTCGTTTGTTCGTTCACTTTATTACAAGGAGGGAGTTACCGCTTGTAATATGTAAAAATAGAAGCGGCAGGGAGCAGTGCTCCCCGCCACTTCATAAGCCCCCCATGTCCTCCTTCACTCTATGGGGGTCAATATGACCCCCATAATAGCATAAGGGAGATTAAAATCTCCCCAATGCCCCTACTCGCTATACCGCGAGTAGGGGCATGTCCACTAAACAAAAAAAAACTGTTATCCGGCCCCCACCCCTGCGTGGCGGGTGGGGGCCCTAAATAACAATAAGGGGGGACCTATTGTCCTCCCCCCCAGCCCCCACCCCTGCGTGGTGGGTGGGGGCCATAAATTACAATGGGGGGGACCTACAGTCCTCTTCCCCGGCCCCCACCCTTGAGCGGTGGGTGGGGGCCATAAAGATAATGAGGGGGGGGGACCTAAGACAAATCTTCCCCTAACCTGTAAAGAAAAATTAAACTTACCATTTGATGTCTTCTTTTTTTTTTAAATCTTCATTTTTCAGCCCCAAAAAAGGCCAAATAAATTGGTTGGAATCTAACCAGTCAGAGTGCTCTTTGTCATTTTACACAGCATGGGAAAATTCCAAAGAACTTTCCCACGCTGTGTAAAATGACACAAAGCACTCTGATTGGATGGATTTCAAGCCACCCAATCAGAGTACTCTGTGTCATTTTACACAGCGTGGGAAAGTTCTTTGGAATTTTCCCACGCTGTGTAAAATGACAAAGAGCACTCTGGCTTAAACCAGCCAATCAGAGTGTTCTTAGCCTAATTGCAGGGCGGGGCAAGGCTCAGTCTGCGCGGAGCCCTCCATGGGTGAAGATGGATTATTTTTTTTGCGCTCAGGTTTTTTCTTTTTCGTCAGGTTCTTTTTTTGCGCTCTGGTATTTTATTTTATTTTAAGTTCAGCGGGTATGATGTTTTTTTTATTTGGCCTTTTTTGTGGCTGAAAAATGAAGATTTTAGAAAAAAGAAGACATTAAATGGTAAGTTTAATTTTTCTCTACAGGTTAGTTATTTTATTCCCCCTCACTATTTTTTAGGGTGAGGTGGGTAGGTAGGGGGTAACTTTTTTTTTGGGTGGGTGGGAGATTTGATGGGTGGGGGGAGATTTGTCTTAGGGCCCCCTCCCGCCGCCCAGGGGTGGGGGGCCAGGGGGGGGGAGAACAGTAGGTCCCCCCCCCATCATTATATTTATGGCCCCCACACACCGCTCAAGGGTGGGGGCCGGGGGGGAGGACAGTAGGTCCCTTCATTGTATTTTATGTCCCCCATCCACCGCGCAGGGGTGGGGGCTGGGAGGAGGACAGTAGGTCCCCCCCCATTGTAATTTATGGCCCCACCCACTGCGCAGGGGTGGGAGCCGGAGGGAGGACAGTAGGTCCTCCCCCCCATTATCTTTATGGCCCCCACTCACTGCTCAAGGGTGGGGGCCGGGGGGGGAGGACAGTAGGTTCCTCCCCATTGTAATTTATGGCCCCCACCCACCGCGCAGGGGTGGAGGCCGGGGGGAGGACAGTAGGTCCCCCTCCCCCCGATTGTTCATTATGGCCCCCACCCACTGTTCAGGGGTGGGGGCCAATAGGTTTTTAATTTTTATCATTTTTTTTTTACTAGACATGCCCCTACTAGCGGTATAGCAGATCATTTACTAATACTAAGTAATATTTAAATGTGGCTGAAAGACCAATTTAGGTCTTTCAGCCTTTTTGTAGATAGCTCCCTGATACCGTGGGAATTAGGGAGTTATCTACTGAGTGGCTGCAAGATGCAGCCGCGGCACAAATTGAATCGGAGTTTCATTCATTCGAATTAAATTTCGATATGAACAAAGTGCCGAATTGCGTTCTAAAACAAACGAACATACTGTTCTCATTCAGTTAGAACGCAATTCGGCAGTTTCGTCTAAAATGACAGGAAGCATCGCGAGATCACAGAGGAAAGGTAAGAATTATGAGAAAATTGCTCTGACCAGCAGAAATGAAGCACACTTTGCTCCTCCGCTGGTCAGAGATGGTCAAGCGGAGGAAACCTCCATAAGGCAAAGTGCCCCTACTTTGTCTTATGATTTTAAAGAAAACTAAAGAAGAGAGGAAGAAAAGAAGAACAGATCCTGAGAGAGGGGGGGGAAGAGATTAAGGAAAGGTAAGTTCGACATGACAGTGCAGCTTTAAATTAGAGGGTGAAAGGTTTAAAAACAAAGGTTTAAAAATATCAGGAAGTATTACTTTACTGAGAGGGTAGTTGATGCATGGAATAGCCTTCCAGCTAAAGTGGTAGAGGTTAACACAGTAAAGGAGTTTAAGCATGTGTAGGATGGGCATAAGGCTATCCTAGATATAAGATAAGGCCAGTGACCAGTGAAAGTATTAAGAAAATTGGGCAGACAAGATGGGCCGAATGGTTCTTATCTGCCGTCACAGTTTATGTTTCTAAGTAAAATCCTTTCTTTATTTCCTCAAGTATGGGGAGCTGAACATCTAAATAGGTAGGTTTAACATGCTACCACTAGGAATCCATGTTTGTATTCCGAACGCTACAGTGTTCCGTAAAAGATGTTTTTTTTCCTTCTGATAACTAGCCTATACTGACAGCCTTTTTTTTCTTTCATTCACATTGTTTAGATTACTTTATAACTGTTTACAAGACCCGCATTCTTTGTTTGTGTTACTTTATCCATGATTAGATCCATATTGTTTTACCTAACATTACAATATAATATTGTTATATATCAGAAATGAAATCGGTCGATGTCCGCACTTTACGCTTCACACCTTCCCCACTTCTTACCAGTTGCAGGAAACATAAGAATCTGTCAGCGACTAATAGCGATAAAGGTTTCGGTGTATGTCTGGAACAAAACCTTAGTGGATTCCAAAGTTAATGACCGTTTAATTAAAGAAAGGAAAATGCATTGCTATGTTAGGCAGCTCTGGTGCCCACTGCCTGCATCACCTGCTAGTAATTAAGAGGATCCACCCATTTCCAAGCCCATTGTTGCTGTAGTACTCCGCATACAATAACAGACAGAGAGTGCGAAAAGGATCAGGTGCATTTAACACGTGTGTTACAGCCCCGGCAGGTGGCCAAAGGGCTACTTGTTTAAACACGTTAACCTCTGCGTGTGTATCAGGGTGTATCAGGGTGTGCATCTGTGTGTGTGTGTATATATATATATATATATAAGTCAGTGTGCTTCTGTGTCTGCACACACATATGTGTGACAAGGTGTGTGTTTTTATGTCAGTGTGTGTATCTGTGCCATGGTGTGGGCATGTATCAATATTTGTGTATGCCAAGGTGCATGTTTGTATATGTCGATGTGTATATATGTGTGTATGTGTCGGTGTATGTATATGCATCTGTGTGTTAATGTGCATGAATATCTGAGTAAGTATGTATGTATGTATGTATGTGGTAGTGTATGTGCATACATCCAAGCAGTCAAACACCAGCACAACATACAAGCACACTCCTGCAATCTAACACAAATATTACATACAAACACAGCACTGCATTCAAACTAAAAAAAAATATACAAACACACCCCTTCATTCAAACACAAATATTTCACACAAATGTTCATCAGCATTGAAAAGTGAACATTACATTCAGACACACCCCTGCAATCAATTGCAAACATTACATACAAGCACACCCCTGTATTAAAACACAATAACTATATACAAGCATCCCTTCAAACACCAACACTGTACATTACACTATAGCGCCAGTAAATGTGCAGCGCTGTACAGATATACAACCTAGAAATTTTGACTGGAGGTGCCTTGGAAAAATACTGAAATATTAAGGCGCCTTGAACCTAAAAAGCTTGTTAAAACTGCGATAAACCATTCATTAACGGTTTCACCCCTAGGCTGGTGCTGGAGGACATCCTGGCCCCATAACAACTTCAATCCATTGAGGTTGTTATGGTGCCTGGAGTGTCCCTCTAAAGGGGAACAGTGACATCCTAGAATTTTTTTATATTATTTGTCCTTATCACCTATATTTAACAAATGTGTTTTTTTTAAGGGTAGAAAAGAAGTAAATGTAGAACTCTGCACTACTACATATGTCTTATCCCGGATAGTGATGTCGCGAACCGTTTGCGAACTTGCCGTGAACGGTTCGCCACGGTTCGTTCGCGGTGAACTCCGGTCAGCTGACACAACATGGATGCTGTCCAGGAAGTAGGAGGGTCTGGGAGGGAGGGTCTGCCGGAGATTGGCAGGGATGTGTCAGCTGACTGGAGTTCGCCGCGAACGGTTCGCGACATCACTAATCCCGGAGTTGCGCTCCTCCATCTTGGCTCCCTGTTATGAGCTCTGCCTTTTGCATGTCGTAGAACCAGAAACAATACTTCCATTTCTTCTCGTATGCAATGTGTGCCTTGACTATGACTGAACTGAACAAGATTGTGGTATCAATTCCTAAATCTTTACTATACATTTAGAGGGACACTATTATCACCCAGAACCACTTTAATCAATGAAGTGGTCTTGGTGCAGTGTCCTTGTCCCCTTAACCAATCAATGTAAAACAGCTGACAGCCACTAGTAGGACTCAGTGCTTTCCTATAGGGAATTTTGAATATTCTAGGGCAGGGGTAGGCAACCTTTGGCACTGCAGATGTTGTGGACTACATCCCCCATAATGCTCTTACACCCATAATGCTAGCAAAGCATCATGGGAGGTGTAGTCCAAAATATCTGGAGTGCCGAAGGTTGCCTATGCCTGTTCTAGGGGAAGCATTGGGTTCGTCTAGGGCCTTCTCTATGATGTTGCCTGGGGAGGAGAGCCTTGGTGCTGCTTCAAGAGAAGCTAAAAATGGGTATTTAACCCTTTCAATGTTGAACGGGGCAGTGGGGGGCCTAATACTACTAGGGACAAGAGCACTATACCGTTAGGATTACAGATTTATATTCCCAACATTATAGTGTTCCTTAAAAAAAATAAACAGAGCATACACAAGTTACAGTGTTTGTGTAATTTATAGAGAAGTCACAGTTCCCCTTTAAAACCACCCATTTCTATATATCAGTATGAGAACTCTCCGAGAATGAGCAAAAGCTTAGAGAAATCCAGTAGCTTTGAAAAAATCCCTTTAGTTAGTCCCCGCTCAGGTCTCAAAAATGTTTTTGCTCACTTGTGCCATTGCAAAGAAAACCTGTACCATTTGCATATCAGACTGATCCCCACCCATAAGGGCAGTCAGTCAGGATCTGAAATGCAGGAACGAGCAATACAGCAACCTCGGACTTTCAGCTACACTTTGCTGACGAGGCTCAGAGGAGGCGGAAACGATTGTCGAGGGTTGATGCATTCCCTGTGCAGCAAGAGGTTGCCAGCATTTCGGTTCCGAACTGCCCTTATGGGTAGGAATCAGTCTGATGCACAAATACTATAGGTTCTCTCTGTTCCTCGCACAAGTGAGCAAAGCATTTTTGAGCCCTGAGCGGTGATTTACCAAAGGGCAAGATAGTGATTTTCTCTCAGCTTTTGCTCATTGTTAGAGTTCTCATATGCTCTGTTTTTGTTGCAATTAAGTTACATGTATATATCGGAAGAAATAGGTGGTTTTAAAGGGGAACCGTGACACCGCTGAATGAAGCTCTTCAAATCACATACACTGTCACTCGTATCAGGCTTTTTAGAAGTGCAAGCTGCAGGGTTTCTCTCTCAGATTCTTTGGTTGATTTTTTTGCTATATATGAAACTTACATTTCTACTGGAAGATTTTCATAATGCACTTATGTTATACGTATTCATTCACTAAACTAGGAATTATAGAGAACTAACAAAAGAATTATAAAATTTAAGTTAAAGCTGGAAACATGGTTGCAATAGAGGACTTTTCATATTCTGCTACCTTGTCCTAAATGTCATGATCCCTTGTCATTTCTCTGCAGACCCTAAACTAGAAAATTGCAAAACTGAGGCTAAATGGCCACACTGTACCTCAGTGGGAGAAATCTTGTCCCACTATTGACAAACAGTTTTGTTATTTACGCTGGGAGGGCGCATATACACTATTTGCACCATAACCACTGCAGAGGGCTGCGGTGGTCATGGTGCTTGGCGTGTTCCTTTAAACCTTACATGTGTTGTTAGCCAGGAGTAAGGACCTAGGAACGTGAATAGCACACGATCTTCTTTCACTGATGTCCCTTGGTTCTCTCACTGTTGTCGGTGACATTCTGCAGAACCAGCTGTGCGTAGTGTGTAGACTTCAGTCTTTCATAACAGCAGTTCAGTTTGTGTGCCCAAGCTATTTTCAGCCAAATCTTATCAATGAATGTCCTTGTTACGTACAAAAACAAATTGTGGTTTCCTTCTCTGTTCCTCTGTGGTTACAGGATCCTTTTTTTAGCTGTTATTTTCTATTTTAGAAGACAGCATTTGTCAAAATAAAATGGCCTCTTGTATGTTTTTGAAGCTCACAGCTGGCTGCGTGATCTGTTTATAAAATAATGTGTACTATATTGGGAACATGTGCAAGGAAATTCTGTAAGGTCAGGTGACACAGTGGTATCCCTTAGTGTTAATATTCCTTAAAGATTTACTGCCATCCAATTCAGGAATAGAAAATGCACCCCAGGCACCTGGATAGCATGCATGTTTATTAACCCCTTAAATATCAAATATTTACCTTTGCTGTCATCAAAATCTGGTCTGCAAAGATCGTATGCATGCTTAAATTTTCCTACTTATTCTGCATTTCTAGCGCTACAAAGCTGGCATGAATCTTGCTCTTTCTTTGCTTTTTGGAATAGGATCCGTAAAGATCAGATTATGATGGCCTTGACTGTCATTTGTCCTTAAGAGGTTAAAGATCCACTAAAGTCACCCAGACTGTTATATCTCAATGTTCCTGTACTTTTAACCCTGTAAAACCTTGCAGTTTTTTTAATTTATTTTTTTGAAACTGCAATATTGTAGGGTTAAGTCTACCTCTTGCGACTGTCTACTAGTGGTGCTTCCGCTGCATGGCCGATTAAAATTCTGTCACGTGATGCAGATGCATGGATGCACGTGGGGCATCAGTTTCCAATGCTTCTCTACAAGGAGCATTGGGTTGTCCATCACAGAGGAAGCCAGATGACGTTGCAAGAGGCAGTGTGGCGGGCAGTGCAGGGGAAGCCTCTGTGCTAGATTAAGGTAAGTAAAAACCTTACTTTGAGGGCTGGGGGGGGGGAGGTTTGAAAAAACAAAAACAAAAAAACAAAACTACAAATAGGTCACTATAGTTTTAAGAATGCAGGTTTGTTTTCCTAATAATGTAGTGTTCCTTTAAAGCAAGGCTGTCCGACTTGCACCTCCCTTCCCCCCCCCCAGATGTTGCTGAACTGCAACTCCCATGATTCCCTGACTATCAGTTTAATTGAAAGAATCATGGGAGTTGCAGTTAAAGAAGCACTATAGTGCCATGAGGTCATTAGGTCCCCCCCACCCTCGTGGCCCCCCTCCCGCTGGGCTGAAGGCGCATGTTCTGGACCAGTGATGGGAGGGAACAGAGGACAGAGAATGGAGGGCTTTTATTATGAAAAACATAAAAATACCTAAAAATAGAGAGAGGCGTGGAGCACAGAGAGGGAACACTGAAGCTTCCTTTTGGAAGCATGGTGATAGCAAGTGAGAAGCATATTACATTTGTTCGTGTACTCAGAGATGTAATATTTGCACAAAATTTATATTAGTTCAAAACAGAGGTCTGGGCTGCCTAAGTCACGTGTGCCAGGGGTGTAAATATCTCCATATATGAAGTGTTTCAAGCAGAAACAGTGCAAATAAAGACTCCTACCACCATCACCACTTCTAAAAGTACAGTAATACCCCTCCCAGCAGCTGTCAATCAGACAGTGGGCCAGGTTACTCCTTGATTGTTTTGCTCAGTGGAGCGTCTGCTATGTAAAGTCCTTCAGTGGGGGTGGGATGTAAAAGTGACACTCTGAGCCAATCAGTGCCATTCAAACATGGATGAAATAGATGCAATTAATGCATGAAATTAGCTTCCTTGGTAGCAATTCCAGCAAGTGGGGGCAGGCTCACTGGTGCCTCAATGACCCCTGGTTTTGCCCATTTCCCAAATAGTATGAACATGGGCACAGTGCCTACAGCCTAATAGCACCATAACAACCTTGCTTGTAATGTATACTGTGCTTTGAATGATCCTTTAACCCCTTGACGATCGATGACGGTTCAGGACCGTCATCGGAAACATCCCCTTGAGGACCGATGACGGTCCTGAACCGTCATAACGGTAATCGTTACTCACCTGTCGTTCCCCCGGCAGCGATCGGCGGTGCTCCCGGTGTGGGGAGACTGCCTGCAGCCCAGACAGCCTCCCCATGGCGGATTAGGAGCCCTGGGGCCATGTGATCGCTCAACAGAGTGATCACATGGTCACAATAGGTGTCCATGTGTCTGCCTGCAGGGGGACTGTCTGTGCTGACAGGCAGTCTCCCTGCATGTGTAAAATTAAAAAAAATTAAAAATAAAGTTAATGTTAATAAAAATATAAATTATATATGTGTATATAAATATGATATATAGACATATTATATCTATTTAATATATGTCTATATATCATATATATATAATGTCATACTAAGTGTATTTTTATATTAATAAATACGTATATTGATATAAAAATACACTTATAATCAAATTACACACGTATATATAATATATATAATAACTATATATATTGTATATATATTATAATAAAATACAAATAAGTAAATTAAATTAAATAAAAAATGTAAAAATAATAAAAATGTAAAAAAAATTACATATCTATATGAAATTTTATTCTAACTGTATTTTGATATTTATATCAAACACACTTATAATGAAATTGTATATATATCTATGTATATATAAATAAATAAACATAATACGGAATGTACACATGTCCATAATACAAAATTACATAAATAATTCTATAAATATACACGTAGACATCAAATATATAAATATGCAAATATATTTCAATTCTACTTGCGTATTTATGTAATATTTTTACATAAGTAAGTAATTTTATTGATTGCAATTTGAGGGAACTGCCTGAAAACCCAAGCCAAAAGTCCAGAGAATTTAATTTGCTTGCACTGTATTTTATCCTGTAACTTTTTGTGACACCATAAAACCTGTACATGGGAGGTACTGTTATACTCGGTAGACTTCGCTGAACACAAATATTAGTGATTCAAAACAGTAAAACATACCACAGCAATGATATTGTCAGTGAAAGTGACTTTTTTTGCATTTTTCACACACAAACAGCACTTTTACTGATGATATAATTGTTGTGAAACGTTTTACTGTTTTGAAACACTAATATTTGTGTTCAGTAGAACAGTACCCCCCATGTACAGGTTTTATAGCGTTTTTAAAAGTTACAGGGTCAAATATTTTTACCATGAAACACTGGGTGTTTTTAAACTCAGGACAAAATTTTGAATCTATTTAGCAGTTTTTTTCATTAGCTTTTGTAGGTTAGTAAAAAAAATTTCAAGCAAAAGTCAAAAAACATGTTTTTTTTCAATTTTTCACCATATTTTATTATTTTTTTGAAAGTAAATTATATAATATGATACAAAAAATGGTATGTATAGAAAGCCCTTTTTGTCCTGAAAAAAGCAATATATAACTTGTATGGGAACAGTAAATGAGAGAGCGGAAAATTACAGCTAAACACAAACACCACAAAAGTGTTAAAAGAGCCCTGGTCCTTAACGTACAACATCGCAAAAACAGGCCAGTCCTTAAGTGGTTAATAAGATTTTAGGTAAATTCCAGCATCAAGTCCCTAATTAATGTTTCAATTAAATACAACATTCCATGTGTATAGCAACCCTTTACCAAAGTACTGCTTGGGGTCCAAAAATACCTTCCAAACATAACGTTTTAAGTTGATATGACTCCGGCTCCTTGTTTGTCACACAGGTGTCTTTGTTTTGTGTGAGTAATCGCTTCAAATACAGCATTATTGCATTTTTATGCTATCAGTCTGTGATTAGGTGACTCACTTAAGAAAATGTGTGGATGTTGTTTTGAAATTGAATGTTGCGTTATAAGTTATGATGAGGAATGAGTGAAAATATCTTCCTATAAACATGAAAATGTCTAATTTACCCTCGCATGCAAAGATGGTGAAAAGTATAATTTTTTCTACTTCAAATAAATAGCATGCTCACACTGTAAAAGGTGCATGTACACTGTACTATGTAAGCAGGTGAGATTTTCGTCAGGATTCTGTGCGGCAAAACAAGGGGGGCCCTGCAGCTGTTTCTGCTGTCAGTGAACGACAGCTTGCTTTAGAAGTTTTTAATCTCTATATATTGAACTATATTTGCACACAGGAGGTACCTGCATGGTCTATAAGGTTATAAACCATGTAGGAGATAAGAAATTCTAAGTTAAATAGAGTGAGAAATAAAGGAAGTTTTAAAAATTAAATCTCGTTTTACAGGAAGTATTTATAAAGGCTATACAAGTCACATGCAGGGAGGTGTGCCTACAGCTCCATAAACAAAGTGATTTAACTCCTAAATGGCAGAGAATTGAGCAGTGAAATTGCAGCGGCATGATCTATACACCAAAATCGCTTCATTAAACTAAAGTTGCTTTAGTGCCTATAGTGAAAATTTAATAATGAAAATTGTACCTAGCTCAAAAATGTTGGCCCTAAATTGTAGAGTATTGTGTTAAAACCTGAATTATATTTTAGAAAGTGTTAACTATATTATCTCTTATCACTGTACCTAAGTTGTGCCCAAGATCTCTCCTCTACACTCTCCATGTCACTTTACTACGTTCTCCTCATGGCCAATGCAAGGATTTCTGCCGCCCTAGCAAAGATCCATTTTGCCGCTCCCTCATGTCACTCACTCACTGGCAGACACACACTGGCAGACACACACACACACACACTTACTGACACATACACAGACAAACACTCTCTGACAGAGAGACAAACACTCTCTGACAGACAGACATACACTCACTGACAGACACACACACACACACACACTCACTGACAGACACACACAAACTTAGTAAGAGACACACACTCACTGACAGACACACACACACAGACACTTACTGACAGACTGTCAAGATACTGTAGATGCCCAACACACAGAACTTAAGTAGAACACAAGAAAATACCCAAGACGTATTACCGGGCCTTAGAATGGCCGGATTTAACGCATAAAGGTAAGATGCCACAAGACAGGAAAAAGACAAGATGAAAATATAACGCAAATGATGAACAAGCCACGGGTCAAGGAATGGAGAAATCAGAATAGTCAGGAGCCAAGCCAAAGGTCAAGGAATACAGAGATCGGATAGTCAATAAGGGAAGCCAAGGTCAAGCAATCAATACAAGGAATGCGCTCTCAGGTAACCAACTGGAAACCACGACAGGGCACTGAGAAATAGACAAACTAGGTTTAAATAGGTGTTTCCTGATAGGCTGTAAGGAAACATGTGATCAAGCTTATGTGTGTAGCACACCCATATTAAATTAATTGATCTGGCCTTTTAAGGTTTTAACAGGAAACCCTTAAATTATTCACAGCTGCAGCGGGCGGCGTCTTTAATGATACTGAGCCGGCTGCTGCTGAGAGAGGAGAGGTCACCTTCGGTGAGTGTTTGGCAGTATTCCTCTTAGTTTGTGGGAATACCGCTGTCACGGCAAGGGTGTATAATTTATTATTACACTATGGAATATCATCTTTTAATGTAATTTGTGTAGTAAATGGCACAAATTACAGAGATGCTATTGCTGAGGTCAACAGGGGTTACATCTTTTGAAGCTGGGACCCCCACAGAGGTCAGATGACAGAAGGGGTAGTGTGAATGGCATAGCAATGTGAAAAGGAATTTACTATATGTATGTGAAGTAATCAAGGATCTGCAAGGTGTGAGGTTCTACACTTGGGAAAAGTCTGAATGTCTCTTCATCCATTTGGCATGTACCTTGTAAAGGATAGTTCAATCATTTGAAATGGTAATGGGATTCGTTTCATGAAGATCCTTGTGTTCCAGTATCTTATCCAAGTGAAACATTCATACTTACCCACATGTTAATAATTAAGCCTCATTTTTATTATATTTGGAATGGGACAAGCCCAATCTTTTAATTAAGCCCAAACATGAGTTGCACAACTTAAACCGTGTGTCCGTCCTATTGGATTGTGGGCGGGGCGTGCAACATGTCTTTGGAATGGAAAACAATAACAAATTCATAGAGGCAATTATTATTTCTGTGGCAAGTACAGTAGAGGAGATAAAACCAAAAGTTTGTATGTGACATGTTGTTTTCTGGAACAAAGGAGGTGGTCACTTAGTATCCACCCCTGGATGAGGCGTGGCAACTAACAGGGTATATCTCCTGTGATCCTAAAGGGTGTTGGTGTACTTGCTTGGGGCCAAGATCTAATTTTGAGTGAGTCACCATCTTTCCTTGCCAGAGACCCCCTGGACAGAAGTTGTACTTTGAAAACCTAAGTGAGTAATTAGGACTTCTGTATTTTATCCTTTTTGTTTTTACCTGTTGTTGGTGTAAATAATTTGTTTATCATATATTGTTATATGCACTGTGACTATCTTTTGCTCATAATAAACATTCATTTATTAAGTTTTGCCTTTGTCTGGTTAAGAATCACGTTACCTGAAGAGACTAGTTAGTATTTTTGCAATAACTTAAATATTGTACTAAGTAATATTTGGTGGGTTTTATTATTGATTTACCTGGGGGACCAAGGCACCCCATTTATAAATTGTCTTGGTGGTGGCAGCGTTTAAATAGTAATAGTTATATTATTATGTTTAAGTGTGGGTGGTTTTAAAAGGGGGATTCTGTCATTATTTCCGGTCTAGTGCAGACAAATAGTGAGAACCGCCGTAGTGATAAGCGCCCGCCGGGACCCATGCTGCCCTCTGACAGGACGCGGGCGGCGTGACACAGACATACACTCACTCACTGACAGACATACACTCACTGACAAACTCACTCACTCACTGACAGACATACATACACTCACTCACTGACAGACAGAGACACATACACAGACACTCACTGACATATACACAGACAGACACTGACATGCATACACTCACTCACTGACAAACCTTCACACACACACACACACACTGACAGTCAAACACACACACTCACTGACACACAGACTAACACAATTATTTTTTTGAGGCCCATCCAGCCTCCCTACCTCCCTGGGGTCCAGTGTGGGACAGCGCCTCACTTCTCCAGCGCGCTGTTTAGTATGCCGGGGACGGAATTACATCATATTCCGGCTCCCAGCGTCACAGAGGGTGCGCGAGGGAGGAGTGAGAGGCTGCAAGAACAGCTCCCTCGCCGCCTGCCTTCTCCGTCACCCTTTCCTCAGATCACCGGCATTTGTTGGCAGATCAGGCACCTGCCATCAAGGTAAGCAGGTGCTCTGCCTTAACTAGCATTGCATCGGGGTGGCCAAGTGACAGGGCTCTTCTCGGTGCCCCCACCTTCGGGCGCCTTGAGGATCGGCCCGGCGTTGGGGGCGGCTCAAGAGCCGCTTGCCCAGCGTTGCGGCCCCAGACAGGGATAGGCAGCCCAGCAGGAAACATCCGCAGGCCGGCGCCCTGGGTGAATGCCTAGTTCGCCTAACGGTTGTGCCGGCCCTGATTCTCCTGGATTCTTACCCTCAATTCACTTGTTTCTTTAACTTTATCCCCAGTCTCTATACCTCAATACCCTGGCTTTATTTAACTTTAGTCTTTTACAGTCTTCATGTGTATTTCTGGATGTGATTAGCACAGTAGCCCATGGTACACCAGGCTGTCAGACCAAACAGGCTGCAGAGACCTGAGGATCTCCGCTGGGGCTGGTCTATCAGGTGTCCCAGTGGGACTTCTGCAGATATGTGCAAGTTCCAACTGAGCGTTCGGCACTAGCAGTGATTGCAACTGAGGGTGACGGGCAGCTCTCAACTTACTCATTGCAATGCTTGGTGGTAGAGCAGATACTGCAGCTCCTGCCCTTGGTTAGCCAGGTCGGGTCACTGGACTCGGGTAAGCAACCCAAACTGCTAGATATACACACATAGCTGCAGAAAAAGCCTCACCAACATGCAAATACACAAAAATCTTCCACAAACACAACACCACCGACAACTTGCATGCACGCACACAACATCACAGCAACATATCATCACACACACTCCCACAAGCAGCCCACATTCAAATACATACCATGATACATAACCCACATACATGTGTAACACACACATATGACCACCAACTGCCCATGCACATACAAGACATAACACAACCAACATACGCACAAATACAACCCCACAAAGCAGCTCAATCACCCATACGTAACACAACAGAAAATGTCAACTTGCACATTAGTTTAAAAAATAAATAGGGTCGGCATGCCCAGGGACTTTAAAGCCTTGTTAACAGGGCACGTCCTGTTTCTGTTCCGCTGATCCAGGCCAAGCAAAAAACTGAAAGAAAATCTGCACAATAAACTTCTCCATCACCATCTGCCCTTCTCCAAATGTTAAAACATTTTATTAATATTGCTGTTATGATGCATTCCTTTTCCAAACTCCTTAGTTCCCCCAACAAGGGGACTTGAAGAGGGCAATCCTCATGGTCAAGCAGAATGCTGAACGGGTGAAACTAAATGCTGCTTGCAAAAACCTGAAAAATAAACTGCCATTTTTTTTCCTTTTTATTTATTATATTTTCTTTTTTTTTATATCACACGTATCACTGCATTGTTTGTTTGAATTTGCTTTGATTCCAATCTCTCTGCACTCCATATTGGAAAGATACAACTGATTTAACTGTACTTTATAACCATGTGCCACATGGCGTAGCTGTGTTATCTGTAAAATGTAATGAATGTTTTAGGAAAGAGTTAAGCAAACCCCAAGTATGTTAGTTTACAGTAGCAGGCAGAGCGTGGTGAAAGGATGTTGAGACTGATTCTACGTAATATAAACTGTCTCCTGAAGCCGAGTGTCTTCAGCTTATAGCATTGCGGTAATATTATAAGCCGAGGAAAAACCTCGGAAATGGTCGAACGAACGCCGACCCTGGTTATTTTACAAGGACTTTCTAAACAATCGTGCATTTAGTTTGCAGACACATAACAGGCGCTTCGTGAAAGTACTGGTTGGCTACAGCACAGTTTGTTCGATTTATCTTTGCTTAGTAAATTAATCCCTAAATACTTTCACATTTCTGGCGTACAATGATTCCACCACTTGAAAGCAATTCATATCTCTGGTAGTTTGGAAGGGTTTCATAAAGTGTGTCTGTAATCCCCAACATATTTAATTTTAATTAGCAGAGCAGATGTGGTGGTAACATTATTTGTTTAATTGTTCAGATTTTTTTTTGTATCATTTTATTAATTTATATTATTCCTATGGCATTCATGGTACATATGCTGATTTGCAATACTTTTTAAGCAAGTTTGGAGAAAAATGTACAACTTAATAACTGCATCTGAACCTGTTGATACTGATTTAAATGGACACTATAGTGCTAGGAATACAAGCATGTGTTCCATACACTACAGTTACCTGTTCCAGATAACCGGCTCCCCTCCAACTGCATGAAAAGGTGAGATGTACTTACCCTTTCTCAATAGCTGAGCTAGTCTTACCGCGGCTTGCCATGCCTCCATAGGAAAGCATTGGGAAGTTATTGCACATGCGCAGCAAAACTCTGCGCTGTGCCAATCAGCATCTCCTCATAGAGATGCATTGAATCAATGCATCTCTATGGGGAGCGTTCAGTGTCTCCATGCAGAGCGTGGAGATGCTGAATGTAGGTGCCGCACACAGTGTAGCATTGAAATATGAAGCACCTCTAGTGGCCTTCTGAGTGACTGTTGACTGTTACTAGGGAGCAATACAAACACTGCCTTTTCTATGAAAAGGCAGTGTTTACATTGAAGAGCATGCAGCGACATGCTATGTACACCAGAACTACTACATTAAGTAATTTAATACAAAAACCATTTTAATTACACAAACTCATTTCTAAACATGTTAAAAATACAAGGATGTATTCCTAACGCTATCGTGGTGAAGTAGCAGTTTAGGTTTCCAGCGCATGTCAGAGTGGAGTTAAAGGGATTCTCCAGTGCCAGGAAAATATATTTGTTTTCCTGGCACTGCAGGTTTCTGCAATGCCCCTCTCCCTCCCACCCCCCACCCCAAGTTGCTGAAGGGGTTAAAACCCCTTCAGTGACTTACCAGAGTCCAGCGCCGAAGTCCCTCGGCGCTGGGTCAGGCTTCGCCTACTCTCCTCTCTCACCGACGTCAGCCAGTGGGGGAGACCTAACGCATATGTGAGGCAATGGCCGTGCATGCGCATTAGACCTCCCCATAGGAAAGCATTATACAATGCTTTTCTATGGGGATTTCGGCGAAGCTGGAGGTCCTCACATAGCGTGAGGACGTCCAGCGTCACTGAAAACACTTTTCGTGTTCTGAGAACACAGAAGTCCCTCTAGTGACTGTCTAGTAGACAGCCACTAGAGGAGGACATAACCCTGCAATGTAAATATTGCAGTTTATGAAAACTGCAATAATTACACTTGCAAGGTTAAGGGTGGTGGGAGTTGGCACCCAGACCACTCCAATGGGCAGAAGTGGTCTGGGTACCTGGAGTGTCCCTTTAAAAGGTGTTTTAACCTCCTTGGCTGATATCATCAGGCATGATGATCTCTGACAATCTAATGCTTTCCCATTGGAAAGCAATGGGAGGCTACTGAGCAGCAAAACGCCACTCTGCGGCAATCAGCATCTTCTCATGCATTGAATCTGCTCCTAGATCTCCTCATAGAGGTGCATTGAATCAGTGCATCTCTATGGGGAACGTTCAGCATGCATAGCGTGGAGAACCTGCACACTGTGCAGCACTGAAATATTAAGCACCTCTAGTGGCCATCTGCGTGGCTGCCACTGGAGGTTTTACTAGGCAGCAATGTAAACTAGGTAGCATTTACATTGAGAAGCCTGCAGGGACATTCTATAGACACCAGAACCACTGCATTAAGCTGTAGTGGTTTTGATCACTCTAACGTCTCTTTAGCTAAAACAGGGTGCAAGATAATTTGATTGGCGCTTGTGCAATAATCTTCCAATGCTGCCCTATGGCAAAGCTTTGGATTGGCTGAGATCATCAAGGCTGATGATCTCAGCCAAGGAATTGGGAGGCCACGGCAAGATCAGCACACTGTGGGATACCTCCATCACGAGTGCTGGCTGGTACCTAAATAGGTAGAGTAACAGTATAGCATTAGGAATACACATTTGTATCAAAAGCTATACTTATGTAAACTGTTTTTAAAGCAGGACCAGTAAGAATTTTTTTTTCAATTTGACAATTTTTATTGAGTTTTTGTTGTCAAGGGATACAGATGACAAAGGGACCTGTGCAAGGGACTTTGAATAGCTTTTGGCAAGCGACATTCCATGCCATGATTCTTGCCATCATGTGACAACCAATGCGCACTCCTCCCACCACCCCAGCCCTGACAAGGCCCTCCCATTCTTTGGCCTATCTTCGCCTTGTTGTCCGTTCCCCGTGTTGCTACTCCGTATGGGTTCTTTTGAGTCTGTACGTGATGTCTGTTACCAGCCTGTATAGCGCCCCTTGTAGTAAACTGTAAACTAGTACCAACTATAACTATATACATGTGGGTTTCTAATTGCACCGTTCCGTGTGGCTTGGCCCCTGTTAGAGCCTATTTTGTTCTACGACCTACTGGGTTGTCCCTCTCCGAGAATTTATTTTTATTTATTTATTTATTTATTTATTTTCCTCTCTACGTGATTTGCTCCCCTTCCTTCTCCATGCGCATTGTCCAATTCGCATATGCCAGATTAGCATATTTGTTTGTAGGGTTTTGTCTGTACAGTCCCCGTTCATAGAGCAGATTAGTGGTTATCTGCCTGATTAGAGCCTCCCTAGTGGGTGCCTGAGTCTGTTTCCATGCCCTGGCTATTAATGTGTTTGCTGCAATTAAGATGTGAAATAGAATGCGGGAATCTGTTTTGTTAAGCGTGTCTAGTCCCATGAGCAGAAGTCCGCTCTCTGGTGTTATGGTGAACTCCCTGTCCAGCGCTAGATTTGTGATTGACTCCACTTCCTCCCAGTATTTGGTTATAATGGGGCATTCCCACCATACATGGTACATCGTACCCTTGCTTTCCTGACATCTCCAACATGTCCCTGAGGCATTTGGATAAATTTGGACCAGTAAGAATTTAAGATATCTTAGACCTTCTTGAGATAGTCATTGGTTGGGGCCTCACTTGTCACCATAGAGTACTCGCCTCAAGCCAACAATTTTTGCTTTTCTTTAATTGAAATATTTTCAACTTTTTCTTGAACTTCTCTACAAGTGCCTAGTTTCTTTATGTAAAATGTTGGGTGTTTCAGGGCTCTGCTCATTTATAAGCAAATTGCATTAGAATGATGTGGGAGGACAGAACATACACATCAGTCTTTTGTTGAGATCCAGTGGGCTGCATGACTCACCGTTCAGCCCCCACACTGATTAAATAAGACATGTTCTTAGGTACACTGCTCTAGCAGGAAAAAGTAAGTTTATAAAGTAAATCATGCAGAGTTATTGGAACGATGGCTATTGTTATCTCTGGATACATGGAGTTCTTGCTTATAAATCTTCTTTTACTCTACAAAAATGACTTTACGGACGTTCTTTTTTTAAGTGTTTGGTCGTATTGCAAAACAGGTAAGAAATATAAGGGTTTATTTACTAAACGTTGGATTGTAGTTTTATATACTAGCAAATAAACCCAGTAGATTCTGATTACAGATGTCTAGTCTGTGGTGTCCTGGGAATGAAGACTTCGGTGAATCAAAACTTTGGGCTAACACTTTTTTTTTTTTTTAAAGTGCTTTAGAATTTTTATGAGTTTGACCGTGGTAGATAGAGACTACAATCAGAGAATGGAGTGCAATAGGGACACACAAATCAGACTAGCGAAAGTAGCATGAGGAGACTGTAGGTAGGCAAGTTGGTAGCCTGATAAATAGGAAAACCTCGGAACAAACAGTCTGGACAATCACTAGAACTGTGGCTTCTACATCTCATTGGCCAGTTTAGAAAAAAGATTTTTCAAAAATTTTAATTAATTTTTTTTAGGGTTAGCGCAGTCAGTGCAAGCGGGCTGTTATGGTTCTTGGAGTGTTCCTTTACGTTCTCAATCTAATCAGACCAGCACTGTAACAGTAGAAGACATGAGGCTGATATCAGGTAAAGCCTCTATCTCACACACATTCTCTCCAGCAGTTAAAAAGCCTAGACACAGATCTTTGATGTGACTTTCTTCCATCAGTGGTTTATTTAAATCTCTTGTTTTTTGCCTCTAGACTTTGGTTTTTACATTTTCTTTTCAGATTATACAGGAGTATTTACTAAAGTGATAATTTAAAGTGAATTTCAGGTTTAATGTCGCAACAGCCGAAAGTGAAAAGTTATTTAAGTCATCTATAGCTTTAAGGTTGGCTACTGTGGCTTTGAATTCTCACATTAGTGAATAGCTCTGGCAGAGGCTGGGTTTGCCCTGTTTATGCACTGTATAATTCCATAGCTTAATATAGATATACATCCCGAGCATTGTTTGACTGAATTAGCCATTGCTTCTTGGATAAACTGTATAAGAAATATTAAATTCAATCTACAGCCTTTCAATAACAAAGACATTTTAAAACATTTCAGAAAGCTTTAAAATGATTGACTTTGGGCTGAAAGTAACGTTGGTAATGCATTGAGAGAAGCTCCCAGAAACACTGACCCAATCAATTTTATTTTGTGTAAAACGAAAGTTCCTTACTGGGATACTATAGTCATCAGAACAACTACAACTTAAAGGACCACTATAGTGCCAGGAAAACAAACTTGCCCCCACCCTCAGGGTCCCACTTCCGCCGGGCTGGATGGAGCGGAATGGGTTAATCCCTTACCTTTCTCGAGCGCCAGGCTCCCTCGGTGCTGGAGACTCTCCTCCTCCTTTAGACATCATTGTCTGAATGCGCATGCGCGGCAAGAGCCGGGCGCGCATTCAGCTAGTCCATAGGAAAGCATTCTCAATGCTTTCCTATGGACGCTGGCGTCTTCTCACTGTGAAAATCACAGTGAGAAGCGCGGAAGCACCTCTAGTGGCTGTCAATGAGACAGCCACTAGAGGATGGATTAACCCATAGGTAAACATAGCAGTTTCTCTGAAACTGCTCTGTTTACAGCAGAAAGGGTTAATCCCAGGTGGACCTGGCACCCAGACCATTTCATTGAGCTGAAGTGGTCTGGGTGCCTATTGTGGTCTTTTAATGAATTTGTTCTGGTGAGTATAATCATTCCCTGCAGGCTTTTTGAGGTAAACACTGTGTTTTCAGAGAAAATGCAGTGTTTACATTACAGCATAGGAATACCTCCACTGGCCATTCCTCAGATGGCTGCTAGAGGTGCTTCCTGGGGCAGTGATGCACACTGTGCAGCAATGCCATTCAGTGTCTCTACCCTCTGCATATAGACACTGAACTTTCCTCATAGAGATGCAGTAATTCAATGTATCTCTATGAGGAGATGCTGATTGGCCAGGGCTGTGTTTGACTTGTGCTGGCCCTGCCCCTGTTCTGCCTCCCTGACAGCCTCAGCCAATCCTATGGGGAAGCATTGTGATTGGCTCAGACCAACATTTCTGATGATGTCAGCCAAGCATCATCAGAGGCAGCAGCTGCAGGCTTGAAAACAAGTAAGATTTCACTATATTTAGGAAGGCAAAGGGGGAACCAGGTGGTGGTTTTAATGCTCTAGGGTCAGGAATACATGTTTGTGTTCCTGATGCTATAGTGTTCCTTTAATTGTCATCTACCCTTTATACCTTAAATAGTGACAGAACAGTAACTTTTAAAGGAATATTTCAAGCACCATACCCACAATTATGTATTATGCCTATTGTACCCTGGCGCCATCCCATAGTAAGTAGTCAAACATTTTAAAGGGTACATGTAACCCCATGTACAACTTGTGCTCATTTTAAAGAGCATAAAATGTCATCTCTATATAGTGCTAGCAGCTTTTCTAGCAAATGTATAAATTGAAAAAAAACATATTTAAAAATAGATCCTTCTCCTGCTTCTCAGTCAATCAAATCTTCGGCATAGACTTTATGCTAACAATTTGACTGACAAGGGAGAATAAAAAAGAACTACCATAGCAGGTCCTTCTGCTCTCCCAAACATAGCAACCACAACGCATGCACTGTGGTTGCTATGGAAACTCCCTGTGCAGAGGCTGCTAGTGCTGGCTAAGGAGTATAGTAACGAAGCTTACCACAGGTGCCTGGTGGACCCTAATTAAGTTTTTTTTTTTTTTTTAAATACAATTTATTAGAATTTTAACCAGTCAAACCATTATTAAACTGTTTGTCTGCTTATTCTTTTAGAGCGCCAGGATACTCCTGGCACCATAACCACTGCAGAGGGCTGTAAGGGGTATTGTGCTTGGAGTGTTCCATTAAATGGACAAAATATGCAGGAAGCGCCCTCCAGATGTCATGCATCACTTTCATGCATCACCTCACTTTGAAGTGTCATGGTACGTGGAGTGATCGCTTATAGGACCAGTTTTGGCATAATAACAGCTTCATTGAAATTAAGTCGTTATGGTGCAAGGAAGTCCCTAATGCTGGCTCACCTTTAGTTTTTAACCCATTCTTGAACTGCTCCTGATTTCTCTGCCCGTCTGTCTTTCTATTTTCTTAAAATCTGGAAACTGTAATGCTCTTGACGCATCAGTGCAGCTGTTTTAAAATCATAAATTATTGAAATGGACTGCATTCACTTTAATATAAGGACCAACATCTACGCCAGTGGTTCCCAACCCAGTTTTCAAGTACCCCCTAACAGTCCAGGATGCAGGGATTAGCCAAAACCTTGTGTACCCCTCTGTGTATTGGTGTAGATGTGAGGTGTGCCTTCCCCTTTCAGCTCCTCTTTTGAGTTGGGTAAGAAAATTCACCTGCCCCTGTTTGGCACCTAGGGGCCTTACAGTAAATGGAGGTGCCATGTGTACATTACATGTCTACTGGGGTGTCGTATAGGGTGGAGGTTATGTATGTCTTTGTGTCTGAGCATGACCGCTGTGTCTGATTCATTGACTGCCGGCCTCTCACGTATGTACAACCTCGGGTTCAGCTCTGTGAGTGGTCGTTACTGTGTGAATCTGTCCGTCAAAGTGGTGGATCACTTCTCCCCCTTCTGCTGTGTTCTGGGGCTTGTGTTCCTAGTGTTTGGCTTGTCACCCGTGTCTGTGTCACAGAATGTGTCATTTTAATTGAAGTTGTCTGGCGTGTGTCTCGGTATGTCCTGGGTCAGCGCTTCCCCACCCTCTGGTAACTCTTGAACAAGTGTTCTGAAATCCCTGCGGCCCCGTCTCCCCCGGCCAGCCTCCCCCCCACCCCAGGGCCCCCAACCACACAGCCATGAGCAAGTGGGCGCGGAAGGGTGAAGAGCTGAAAAAGAGGACAAGGAGGACAAGGAACGGCGAGCGCACCACGCCCCAGCGAACCCCTCCAATCCGCGTACCCGGTCCGCCTGGAGATGAAGTGCAACCATGGCATCCACATCTGTGAGCAGTGCTCTGTACTCCAGCGGAGTGCGGCCGTAAGTGTCTCCATCTCATATAGGTCCTCCACCCTGTCCATCCAATTACGTAATGTTTGGGTGTCCACGTCTTTGCGAGAGTCTAAAACTGACCACCCAATCGCAGCCCTGAATGAATGCTATGCCTTTGACGTGTTCTGTGATTCTCGTTACACTTGGCTTTGACATGCCAGTGTCACTGATACTTTCAGTTTACCTGTGGAAGAAAAATCTACATTTTGGCAATCGAGACAGTTGCATGCATTGTTTCTTTCTAGCCCCAAATCATAACCTCTCAATCACATCCTCTTATCTCTAATTTCACATGTTGGTTAAGCATCATGGAAGCTTTAGTTTAACTATAGCTGGAGAGAGGCTCATCAGACCCAAACATACCGTGCAGATAGTGCTCTGTTCAGTTTCGAGTCCTACTGAGAAGAAGGTGAGAAGTGACATTGGCGCATGCTTGGGTTATCACTGGCACTGGGCTCTGAGCTCAAACAGAATCAGAAAATATGCACAGAGCTTTCATGTGGAATTTGGGACACAGCCAGGATCTGCTGAATTGGCAGCTACTATTAAAACCACATGGGGAAATGTATCCCTTATGTTTGGGCCTGCAACAAATGTGTCAGAGGCATTAACCCTTGTACTGGTATTCTAGATATGATATTCTCTTGAGGGACTCTTGACGAGCCCTGAATATGCATCCAAGATCTATTGTTTGGAACAATATATAAATCTGAACAGAAATTTGAATGCAGTCATTTTAGCTAAGGTAAAATATCATTAAAGGACAATTTGGCTTACAGCCAACCAATATGATCCTTTCAGGGGTAGATACTTGCAATACTCCGAGGGTGTAGGCACTTTTTCCAGTTGCTCCAAAAAAATTTAGCCAGAACCCAGCAGTTTAATGAAATATTTTCTATTGCTTTATGCAAAAAAAGATAAAACCGTAAAAACAATATCAACACAGCAATCCAACACGTTTCTTCCTGCTTACAGGACTTCCTCTGGGAGCACTTGGTTATAAAATATACAAACAAATAAGCATCACCATACAGACAAGACATAATCCCTCCCCCTCGATTCCCCATTTAAAATTGTTATCCTAATTGTTGACCTAGTGGATGTGTGGGTTGATCCTTCATTTCCATTTATTGTTTAGTGTATAGATCATGCCTCTGCAGTCTCACCGCTCAATTTACTGCCATTTAGGAGTTAAATCACTTTTGTTTCTGTTTATGCAGCCCTGGCCACATCTCCCCTGGCTGTGACTCACACAGCCTGCATGGGAAAAAATTTTTTATTTTGAATCACATGTGACAGCACATTGTGTTTACTTTAAATTTGTGTTGTGTTAGTTTTACTAGAATCATGCACAGGGGGCTCCTGCAGGGTCTAGAAGGCTTTTAACAGAGCAGGAGCTTATAAATTCTAAATCAAACAGACTATGCAATAAATGAAGATTAAACATTACATTTCTCTTTACAGGAAATCTAAAGCAAGGCTGTGTATGTCACATGCAGGGGAGGTGTGACTAAGGCTGTAGAAACAAAGTGATTTTACTCATAAATGGCAGACAATTCACCAGTTAGACTGCAGGGCCATGATACAATCATGCAATGTAATAGAGACAATGTGTAAAAGGTAATGGATAATTGATAACATGTGTACGTGTAATTGGATATTGAATTATGCAAACTATCTACGTCTACTATCTGTGTCCTCCCTTCTCCTTATCACCATTCCTGACAAAGCTTGGAGTAGGAAGCTCTTGTGTTGTATGTTTGTTGACTTAAGATCAGGGGTCAATTCATAAACAAAAACTAAGTCTGCCCAAGAGAATGAGGACCAATCTTTTTCAAGTACTGTAGGATGGTCTAATGCTGAGGTCCCCTTGTCTGTTGTTTGTACACAAGCCGTAATTTAAAGGTCTGGCTAAAAGGGAAATGAAAAATGTTAAGAATGACTGAAAACTAAGGAACAATGTAGGAACTCTGTCAACAAAACAAAAGTATATCATATAGAGAAACAAAAGTATATACTGTCCCTTTGTACACTGTTTCATAAATAATAATAAAGTGAAGTGATTGTAACTGTCACAACTCCCCATGTATGTAGTTATAGCGGGGTGTAGGCACACGTGCAATTTGCAGTTGTAAAATGCTGCGGAATATGTTGGCGCTATATAAATGATAAAAATGTGTAACCTCACTGGAATTTCCGTTTCATGTAAGTAGGTCAGTGAGGGGGAACAGGGAAATGTGGAAATAGCTAGATTTTAACAGATGTTGGAGAATATTTTGCCGAGCAAACGTGTGCTGAAAGGCCTCGCTCCGCCATGTTGTTGGAGAGTATTAATATTTCATGAAGACTCACAAAAACATAGCTGGAGCCAGAGCTGGCATGTGATATTCTGGCTGTGTCAGAACCGTGAAGCTTCAGAGCTCAGATCTTCAAACCAAACCCAGGTAAAATTCTCTCTTGAGTTTCTAAGTAGATGAGGTGATCCAACACTTTAGGATCCAACAAGATATCCCTCTGCTCGCAGAGTTTAGCACTGGTGATGTTTGTATATGCTGTGGCCCTTGGTTTCTGATGCTGTCAGAGGCTTTAAAGGGACAATATAGTTACCAGAACAAATACAGCTTATTGAATTTGTTCTGGTGAGTAGAATCATTCCCTTCAGGATTTTTACAGTAAACACTGTCTTTTCAGATAACTCCACTGGTCATTCCTCAGATTGCTGCTAGAGGTGCTTCCTGGGACAGTGCTGCATAGTGTGACTGCCTTTCAGTGTCTCCTCCCTCTGCATGAAGACACTGAACTTTCCTAATAAAGATGCATTGATTCAATGGCTCTCTATGAGGAGATGCGTTTGGCTCGTTCTGGCTCTGCCCCTGTTCTGCCTCTTTGACACACTCAGCCAACCCAATGCTTTCCTATGTGGAATCATTGTGATTGGCTTAGAATAAGACTTCTGATGATGTCAGCCAAGCAGGCAGAGCAAGCAGAAGCAGACTGGATCAAAAGTAAGATTTTACTATATTTAGGTAGGGTAAGGCTGGGCCAGGTGGACTAGATTGTGTTTTCAACATTATAGGGTCAGGAATACCGGTTTGTGTTCCTGACCCTATAGTGTTCCTTTAATGAGGAAGCCTCGGATTTGGTGCTGCTGAGAGTACCTTTCTCACACAAGTTTGTGAATGGGGAGCCAATGATGAGCTGAGAGCCAGCTGATGATCTCAACCTATAATCGGTGCCAAAACCGAGGCTTCCTCACAGAGACCTCTGACACCACCGGAAAAACAAGGTTCAGAGCAGATGGGTGGCGTCTTCACAACTTTGAGGTAAACTGTTCTTAAATGGTTTTACTCCATAAGGTAAGACTGTGCCTTAGGACATCTTGGCACCATAATAACTTAATTGAGATTAAGTTGTCATGGTGCTCAGAGTGTGCCCTTTTAAAGCATAAATTTAATGGTGAAATTCATGTTGAAATTCAACAAAGGCAAAGTAACTAATGTCACCTAGCCCTGCCATGTTTACAGCATAATATCAGGTATCCTACTTTTGAAAATGATACACCAACTCCTGTTTACATCATTGGTAATGTAGAACCCATTTACATCAGGGTTATGATGGGATTAATGGCCGCCCATAGAGGGGAAACTACCATAGTATTTTTTTGTCTAAATGACACTAGGGGCTCACAGATAGGAAAGTACACCCACTTGAGTAAGTGAGACAATACAGAATTTTAGCATTCATTCTCGTGTATCGGCACTGAATATTTGCCTCTGAGCCACCAGATCTTGATATTTAGGGTCCTTGGGCTAGGTCATGCATGTCGGAGAGAGTCAGCTATAATGCTATTTTTAATTCCATTCTTATCAGTTAAAATCTGTGTGTTCACATTTTATCTTGGTGCTGAATTGTCAAGTTATATCAGTATCACCTACTATTTAAACATACGTGTATTCCTAATGCTATGGTGTTCTGCTAACATTTTACTTCACTTTCTTCCTTCACTGCGCTGCTCTACACACTGACGCCCCGCCTCTCTGACTGAGATCATCCAAATTCATGATCTCAGCCAATCCAATTTTGTTCTCACAAGAAAGCACCTCTACTGGCTCTCAGGAAGTCTGTGTTTAACCCTGCAACAAAACATTGCTGTATCTACTGCAGGGTTAAAGCTTAAGGACCCCAACACCCGGACCACTTCATTGAGAGGTGGTCCTTTAACCTTTCAAACCAACATGTAGAAGTATGACTTGTCCATACGCGCATTCTTTTGTGACCTGTAGTGTTTCTTGAGTGTGATCCGTTGTGTCCTGCAGTTATTCTGATTTCTGATACCATAGTTCTTTGATATGGTGTATTTCTGATGCCCTGACTTTGGCTGTAGTTATTGATTATTGCTGCCTATCCAAAGAATATTTTTTCACCTCGTTGCAGGTATGTTATTAAGCCTGGCCACCTTAAAGTGAAACTCGTCACGAATAAATATATTTATATTTGTTTCTAACGTTAGAGTGCTCCTTTTATTAGATTCAAGGCCCTACCTTTTGGAAAACAAAAACAAACCTACAAGAAAACTTTTTCCAGTGTTGTCCCAATCTCCACCCGCTTTGAGATTATCAGTCTAATCCAATGCTTCTCATAGAGAAGCATCAGAGCACTATGGCGCATGTGCAACAATTGCTGCACTCCGCCAATTGGATGCTTCTCATAAAGGAACAGCAATGTTTGCATATGTCGGACTGCTGGGACAGGGTCTTGTACCCAAACCACTGTATTTAGATCTCTTTTTTACTCTCCTATCTTTCCTAAAATATGTTATGGCCGGTACCTTACAAGGTGGTAACTGACTAGAGTGTTTTAGTACTGATGCTCTACATCCAAGAATTTTAAGAATCCATCTGCTGCTTACTCCTGCCAGCAGTTAGGAGGTTACTGGACCATTTGATCATCTCTGGGCGTGCATTGCTGTGCTCTGATTACACACACACACACGGAGTTGGCTTGGCAGCTGGCCCCAGACTTTGGAATAGCCTCGCTCCCACATTCGCCCTGCTTTGGCCTTCTCCCTGTGTGCGTTCGGCCGCCGGGGCTGAAAGCAGCACATGTGGAATGAATAAGGAGTCAAAGGAGCGTGAGGGGGGAACCTGAAAACACACTTGGGGCCCACCACACCTCCTGTCACACTTCTGTGGCTCCCGCAGACCAGAACCCATAATCCGTACGAAGAAAGAGGAAAAGAAATTCTAAAACTTGTATATATCTGCAACACATGGAGACATGGATGTTACCCATTATATACTAAAATGTTTAGAGAGAATTCACGAGTTGTAAAAATAACACAAGGCTACCATAACACTGAAAGAGTTCACAGAGGTCAACGCTTCCACTAACATGTTTAACCCCTTAAGGACACAACTTCTGGAATAAAAGGGAATCATGACGGAATATTTCCATCATGTGTCCTTAAGGGGTTAAGGACACATGACATGTGTGACATGTCATGATTCCCTTTTATTCCAGAAGTTTGGTCCTTAAGGGGTTAAAGGGACAGTCCAAGCACAATAGCAACGTATCCCCTTTGCATTAAATATGTGCACTGTGTGTCTGTATTCTCATATAAGAATAGGACCCCAGCTCCTGCTTTTCTTTAATAAGTTGTGTTTAAAGCAGTGCTGCATTGGTTATGGTGCTTGCATAAATGCTAGGTGAAGTCTGGAACACGATGCCTATCTGCTTCTCATTTGAATATTCAGCAAGGCATTCTGGGATAATTGTGGACACACGCTCTCTCAAGACAATTGTTTTTGTTTCGTGATATGTAGATAATATAATCGGAATGTTATGTAACAGTACAGTAATGTAACATACTGTTGTCTGTATCTATTAGTGTTTAGAAATGGTCAGCGTCGATGGATTTTATATCACAAGTTAATAATGGGCTTGTCAAAGGGTACTTAAGCCCCTGTTAACATTTTATTGTATAACAAGGCTTGCTGTCTGTCATTCCTGTCTCAAGCAGGGATGTCAACTATGACAAACTAGTAGGAAAATAATAACTGGGAAAGTGCTATTGCGATTAAATCAAAGTAAAATATGTAGTATTCCTTCTCAACTGTATGACCTCAGAATTTGCCCATTTACTCAGTAATCGCAGTAAAAGCTGTGACCTTTCCCACACACGATTAGTAGAATAATTTACTATAATTATGTTCTGGATGTTACTTTGTAGTGGACGTAGCACTGCTTTGTTTCCCATAGGAATCTCTACGGCTTTGGTGTATAGGATATCGTCTTACTTTTTAGTGTCGTTTTTCTCTCTCTGTGTACAGCTCTGATGACCCATTGTTTGAGAGAATTTTTTTTTTTTTTTAAAAGACTCTTAGTTCGATTTAAAGTGGAGTTGTCACCTGTGAGATTGTTTAACATGCCAATGGCTAACTAAAAGTTTAAAGGGACACTATAGTCACCGGAACAACTAAAGCTTGTTGTAGTTTTTCTGGTGTCTGTAATATGTCCTTGCTGGCTTTTTTCTTCATCAGAAATTACAATCATAGCCAGTCCAATGCTTTCCTATGGGAAACTTTAAATAGAAAAGGTGAAATTTTGGTAGAATAAAAAAAGTCCTTGATTACAAAGGCATTGCATCTCAAGAGTAATGATTCGTAAGAAGTTAATAAAAGCATAGATAAATAAATACATTTTAAAAAAACAAACACATTGCACCTCTTTTTGAAATAAAATCGCAATGTAATGAAATGTAATCCTGTGTCTTGCCATGGGCACATGCTCATTCCAGTAAATAAAATATCTGTTGTTTTTTTTAATATTTTATCGGTAGAGTGTCTGTTTACTGATTTCATGCAGAAATTAATGTACTTTCCTGGTAGAGTAGCACAGCGAGCCATTTGCCTGATAAGTACATTCATTCACAGAATCATTAAAAAAATGTTAAAAAAAATATCTGTCACTTCGTCAGCAATAAAACATGATGTGTTTTTCTTGTGTTTTCAGTCTTTCATTTTCAAAGCAGACAACACATTAATCAGTCTAAGTGTGTACGTTTGCTGGAACCTCTTCTCACCCTCCATGTGTTGATAGAACTGTCCAAATACAGCAGATCAGTTATGAGTGCCACGTGCGCCACTTAATCCTAAAATCAGCCTGCATGGGCTGCATTAGGAAGCGACGTTGGCTTCACTCCAGGCCGTTGTGAAATCTTAATCCAGTTTATCCATAAATGAAATGGATAAATGACTGATGAGACGGATTTTACTATTTTTAGTACAAGACTAGACTGGACACACAACAGTGTAAAACTTGCTGAAAATTGTGGTTTGTGTAGTAGTTATGGTGCGATGAGGCTATGGGTACATTCCCTTTGTTTTGTTTTTTTGGCAAACCATTTTTATCCTGTTTTCCTTAAACAGTAGGCTTCCCCAGAACCCAAAACTTACACCTCCTCTATGCAAAATATTTGTAGAAGTTAGAGGGATTCGGTGGCGCAGAATAACCATTAACCCTTTTAGTGCTTCTAAAAAAGTGCATGCGTCAAGTTGGCAGTCAAGAATGTGTTAACATTGATTCACTAAAGTAAGAATTGCTGGGAATTCAAATACATTTCAAATTTAAGGCCAAAATAGCCGAATTGAAAAAATTCTCCAAGTCAGCTATGCTACCATGGTAACTAGTCTAACCATGTGTGAATGGTTTGACAGCTTACCTGGGGTACCCTGAGTGCTGGGCTTAGCTCATTGGCTGAGAGCAGTCAGCTGACACTGAGGACCCCAGGTAAGTTGTCAAATTGGCTGTAGTGGTTATGGTGCTTTGAGTGTCCTTTTAACTTCCCCATGATTTTCTAATTTTGGCCGACAACTCCCTTGTTACTCAAGTCAAAGTCGTCTCCTTTTTGCTTTTTCCGCCTTTCCCTAGAACTCAGCTTTAAATTATTTGGAATGTGATATATTGAGTCTTTTCTGTACATGACTAAGAGTGAGCATTTACCTGATTAAATACTGGGCAAGAAGAAGTCTTATTTACACAACCAACGTGACTGTGCGTCAGTATGACTTGTATCTTTTTGGCGGCTGTAAAAATCCACTCATTAGTCACCAAAATGCACGACAAAGCTAAAGAATATCTATTTTCTGTCCCGCTGCTGAGCAATACGATTTGGCTTCTTAATCAGAACCACATGTAAACTGAAACAACACAGACAGGGCGAAAAAGAATAGAGTCTCTCTCTCTCTCTTTTTTTATTTTGTTCTGGTTCCCAGGCATACTTGGGCCGTCTTGGTTACAAAATATACATTTATTTTTCTTTATTTCCCTCCACGGGCTAAGCTTACAGAGACTTGTCTATGGAACATTAGCGGGAGAGCTGGAAGGCGGCCGGTGAACACACGTTCAAATGTAGCTCTGTAACTTGCTGGCGATAGCAAAGTAGAATTGATTGAGAAAGGAGCAATTAGAGGTTTGCAATCTGGTTGCTGTAGCGGTTAAAAAATGGTTTAACCCCTTAAGGACCAAACTTCTGGAATAAAAGGGAATCATGACATGTCACACATGTCATGTGTCCTTAAGGGGTTAAAAGATTATGTAAAGTTTGGCTAGTGATAATTTGTTTCTTTAAAAAGAAAGAAATAAACTTAAATTGCAATCAACTGGGATTAAAGAAACTGTTATAGTTCAATGTTTAAACTGGTGGCAGTGCTGGTTGTGCAGCACAGGCGGTCACACTGTGTTTGTGAGAACAATTTTGTGGTGTCCCCAGATATATTCCATCAGGGAACATAGCCATGTCATTTGGACAGAACTGTGATTCTGGAGTCACAACTGTTTCGTTAGAATCATTTGTCTTGTGTACTTTATTGTACAGCGCTGCAGAATATGTTTGTGCTATCTATAAATAATTGCACACTGTAATTTTATGTATAAGGAAAGGTTGCCCCATTTTGCAGATCCCATGGTTTCATGTGTATAGTACAATAAAGGGTGTATAGAAAACACTATAGTATGTGGACTTTAAAAAACAAAAACCAGGAAATAAAATGTTTAGGTCAAAATAGCTAAATTTTTCAATTTAAGCATATTTTGATTCAGATGATGGATTTAACATCGGTAGTATCTTAAAAGGAACCAAGTAGCATAAACATATATTTATTCATATTTTTATTGTATGACTCTCTACTTTTAGACGGGCTGTTATTAAATCTAATTTTATTATGTGCAATTTCAAATTATCTTTCAAATATTTTAAAGGGACACTATAGTCACCAAAACAACTTTAGCTTAATGATGCAGTTTTAGTGTATAGATCATGATGCTGCAGTCTCACTGCTCAAATTTCAGCAATTAAGGAGTTAAATCCCTTTTGTTTGCATAAAAAAGTGGTTTCACTTTCAATTAGATGTAATTTACTTTAAAAGTTCTTATTGCCTGCTCTCTAAAGTGAACTTTAATCATACACTGTGGGGTCTAGCAAGCTATCAACAGTGCAGGGGATAATAAATGTTAAATTAAATAGAATTTGCAATGAAGGAAGTCTAGACATTAGCTGACTTTTTACAGGAAGTATTTTGGAAGGCTGTGCAAGTCACATGCAGGGAGGTGTGACTAGGGTTTATAAAGTCATTGAACTCCTAAATGGCAGAGAATTGAGCAGTGACACTGCAGGGAAATGATCTATATACCAAAACTGCTTCAAAAAGCTAAAGTTAATTTGGTGACTATAGTGTCCCTTTAAGGAATACCCTAGGAACCATAACCACTTAAGAACGCTGTAGTGGTTATGGTGCTAGGAGTCCTCATATACTCATAATCTGTTAAACCGTTTATTAACGGTTTCATGTTTGATGTGCTCTGTTAGACGTCACCGGTCCTTTCAGTTTGAGTTGGTCATACCAAGTTCAAATAGTGTTCATTGGATGACTGATCATGGTTCTTCGTATCACTTACATTAATAAAAAAAGACATCCATGGTTGGGAATATCCCCAAAAAAGTCCAACATATTGACCTCGTCTGTTGATTTGTTTGAAAACTCTGATATAAAAACCTACACCGTACATGAAAATGTTTGCTCTTATGCAACATATACCTATGTAATATATTAAACCCAAATGTTTCCTGATTTTTAAACTCTAGATGGCAGCACAGAAGCTCAGACTGGTTGGCAATGCCAAGTTCACTATCTCCAGCCGAACAGACACTGGGGTTCATGCTATCTGTAACTCTGCTCATGTGGATATTGAAAGGGCAGTGGGGAAGCCTCCATTTTCTGAGACCATACTAGTAGATGCATTAAATCATCACTTGAAACCAGAGCCCATCAGGTGAGCAAGACAGGTGCGTAGTGGTACTATCTATTGTTGACTAGAGTAATTACCGTTCCTTCTTATACTATAGGGCAGGGCTAGGCAACCTTTGGAATTCCAGATGTTATGCACCACATCTCTCCCGTGCTCACTGTGCCTAGAGGTGTATCGGATATATCTCGCTGACGAGGCCCAAAGAAGGTTAAAAAAGATTGTCCGGGGTGCCGAAGGTTGCCTGTCCTTGCTATATATGTATTTAAATTTAGTCTTCAAATCTAAATATAGCTTGTGAGTTTTGGTATTAAAGCCGCTGTAATTGGCTGTAAAGGTTAGTGGTCGTTTTCTCCCTCCCGTTATTCACTGTCAGTATTTCTCTGTGCCGTCTCGTACGGTTATATACCCTGACACAGACGTGTGTGCAGGGTTATATCTACACCAGTATTAGTTTCGATTTACAGGATTCCCTAACAGGTCGCTTTGCTACCCTACAGCAACCAGTAGTATCATATTCCACATCGGCAACTACGATCAGAATACCTTTTCTTAGATTCTCTGTAGGGACAGGTCTCTACGACTTTCTATTTACTGTTTTGCCGATCAGACCACTCAACTGTTGTATAGAAGCACGTTTGTAAAACATTAACAAAATTTATTTATTTTTTATTTTATTTCCCAACATATGTTGATAAACTCGAATAAGAGTGTCAGCTTATCTTCTCCCAGTTTTTCCTCTCCTCCCCTTACACTATTTTTTGTTTATCCACTTTAGTTTCTGTTTGGGCTTACCCCCCTATTCAAGTGTACTAATTGTGACCTTAGGCTCATTCTCTTCCTTTTTTAAATTTTCCCCCTTCTCCTTCGGTCTCTGACTTTCCATATCTTGCTTTCTTTTTTTCCTGCCTTTTAGTCTGGTCTTGACTGTCTAATTCCCATTCTTTATTTCCTAGTTTGTGTTTGTCTCTTTTCCTTGCTCTCTGTTTAGCCGTATCTCCCTTTTCCTCTCTCCGTTACTCCACGTTTTTCTTTCTTTCTGTCACGAGTTCAGCGATTGAGCGTTTTGGAATAGACTGCAGACGCCGCTGGCAGTCAGTGCATCGTCCACTTATCTGCTTTCTGGGTTTCTCTCGTGTGCTTATTGTTGCTAACAGATGAGATGGAGCGGCAGTGATTTCTGGCACGTGAACATACAAACTGCACATTCCTGTCATACAGCAAATCTCACACACAAAGCCTGGTTTCCATAGTAACTAATTACAATGGTTGTATATGCCGTTCAGATTCTACCTTGAGGGAGGGAGACGGGCTGGCCTCGCACACGCCTCTGTGGGACCCTGCAGTTTGGGCATTCAGAATACAATGTACTGAGGTCCATTATATTACAGCAATAACACACAGCAGTTGCTGAAGGAATGTGATGTCCAAGAGTTGAGAATTGTAGTCCAAACATAGAGAAACAAGTCTGGTAGCAGATGGAATGTCTCCCGGTGTTTGATGTTAAATGAGAGACATCTTGGCGGGGTTTACAGCAATCCTAGTACAGGGCCTTCCACATGAGAAAGGACATGATCTGGAACCGAACTGCATTAAAGAATTTTATACTTATCAAATACTTCAGTTGTATCTGAGGTCCAGCTACCGTGGAGTGCAGCTGGGCTTCCTTATGTTCTAATATATAACATGACTATTGAAGGTTCCTTTCCAACAGACAGCAGGCGATAACATATATATTTGATGGTTTTTATTTAGTCTTTCAGCCTGTGCATCCTTCCGTAGCATTTCCAGCTAACTAAATACGTACTCCTTGCTTCTTTTCGTCTAGTGTCCTCAAAGCTGTTCGAGTTTGTGACAATTTCCACGCTCGTCACAATGCGCTGTCTCGGACATACATCTATCGGGTAGTGACGGGATGCAAGCAGTTTGACCTGCCCGTGTTTGAGCGGAACCTATGCTGGGCGGCAAGTGTAAGGTACATGTCAAAGAGCTTGAATCTTAATAAATAGAAAAAAACAACAGTAGGATTTGTAACCATAACTAGGAGCGCTGGACGGCGTCTCTAACTTGCATTGCCTATTGAGGCATTTAAGGAAGAGCAGCAGAGCTTGGTGAGCAGGTTTTGGGGTCAGAAGATGAACAAGGACAAGAGTGATTGGACATTTACCATAAAATGTAGAGCTGGTAGATAGTGGACAGAACTAACTCTGACAATTTACTCGGAGAGCTGTACCCTAGTGGCCTGGCATCCAGTATAACTGGAGATTAGTGCAAAAATCCTAAAAGTCTGAGTTACATTATGAACTCAAACATTGAATATTGCTCCAAAACAGGGCAGAGATACTCACGTTGACTCAATACAGTTTACCAAACAAATGCTCAATTCTTTGACACTTCATTCCAGTCCATTATATTTTTAAAGTAACTGGGCAGGTGGTATTTGGGGACAGAGTAGGGCCTCCTCTTTGCCGGCCCTCTGTTTGTATCCAAAATGCCTGATGCCTCTGTCCACATTGATGGCCAGACATAAATACCCTGTTTTCTTGAGGGATTTGCAAGAACCTCACTTTGGAATTCAAAGTCCTACATTTTTGGAACAAACATAGGTACTTAGAAAGTGAGTTTATTTACCTTTTTTTCTATAAAGTGTTAATAATATGCATCAACAAAAAGGCCTGGATGGTCCTTTAATACTCTATTGGCAAAAAATTTATTTAGTTTTTTATTTTTTAAAACTTTTTATTCCATTAATGCTAATTAAGCAGTGCATAAAACAATAGGTACACATTTATAATGTAACAATAACAAATATATATCCAGGTCTGCGTAGTCAATAGAGAGTTAATAGCATAAGATATTCAACCAAACGGAGAGGAGGTATAAATAAGGTTTATCAAGGGTCTCTATTTTCCAAAACAAGATGCAGATTCACAAAAGTGCCTAGGCAGAATCTGTGGTATGTTGTCCTTGGGATTGTATTGTGACCACGAGAGGTCCTAAGAGAGTACCACTCAGTGTACTGGAAGGTGGTTTTAAGTTTTTCTAAAATGCATAATGGTGTCTTCACTCTTTAATATGGTGCAAATTAAATAAACTTTGTGGTTTCAGTGTTTACTTGCTGTCACCACTGCCATATGTCATCGAAATCAGATGAGGAATAAAAACCTCTTGTATGACAAAGACCTTGCTATCGTGTATGGTTTACATTTAATGTTTGTTAAAGCTCACATTTTTGTTAGGTTTGACCATGTCTTTTAGCTGGAAAATGTTCATTAAAATGCAGCTTTTATAAAAAGTTGAAATTAATTTGCCATGACTTTACTGGTCAACCTCTTCCTCACCAGAAACCTTAATTCTTCTTAATTTAGAAGTTTGGGACAATGTATAAAGTTCAGTCTTTATCTCGCCATCTCTGGCCAGCTGGATTTGTTACCTACTGCTAAAGACGTTTCCACCAACGACTTCAATAATAACTGCATACTGGGCAGTGATGTATTGTAGTGTCAACAACATTAAATGACACCAAGGACTTGGGGGAGCTCCATGTACCCACAGAAATCAATGTGTTTTTAAGTGACCGGGGAACTCTACCCAGCACTCTGGATCTCTGCGCTGGACAGGAGGCTAGCCGCGTCCTGCTGAACTTTGTACTTCCATCTAATTCGGGTGCTTTTTGGACAGAATGGGCGCTCCAGATAGACTTTTCCGTGGATATGACATGTGGGGGTGCTCAGTATTATTATGTGTTGTGATGGATGGCCTGATTTGTTTGGCGCAAGCCACAAGCTCGGGGCGTAATTTTTGTGATGATTTTCCATCCGCTCTATGTATAATACAGGTACACAATACAGCATTATCAAGTGTCTGTATATGCAGCTGTGGGTCAACAAAGTGGGGGGGAGGCAGCAGCTCTATAAACTATAAAATATAGTTAGGTGTGAAATGTATAATGTGGGCTAATAAAGTTACATGCTGCCCTGTGAGTGACCACCTGCTATGGGAGACAGCAAGACTATCTACTACAGCAAAGGGTTGTGTTGATGTAACCAGAGATTGCTCTGGATGGACAGTGGGTCCATTTAAGATAACCTTTTGTTGTCATGGTGTATTGGTACAGGGGAAGGTGGTAACTAGTGTAAGGAATCACTGTGTTGCATTGTAGTTCTTTCCCTGTGATCTGTTCTGTATTGCCATTGGTGAATGTTTTGTGTAATGTTTATTTTACTGTATGCTGTAATCTAAGGATTTTCCTTGCTATAACTATTCAAGATCTGCTGTTGGATAAAGATACTCCAGGCCCAGGTCATAGCACTTCGAATAGTGATCAGCTGTGCAAGTTAATTGAAGTAACCATGGACGATATTAGGGCCGTATCGTCACATGTGTGTTTTGGGGTGTTTTATGTATTGCGCCCTTTGTATCTGGTAGGTAATGAGTTTAACCGAGGGCTTACTCCATTATCTGACAGAGGCATGTAGGCGGGCTTATGTTACAGTGAATGGATACTCCATGCTGGGGGTTTGGGTATTACTCAATAAAAAAAGTTCTTCTTCACCCTTCACGAAGTATTGGCAAGTGTTTGTGTGAGACAGTGTACGTCTTGGAGGAGAGCATAATCTGAAGCTATACACACTGGGAAGGGACAACCTAGGTCAGTGATGGCTAACCTTGACACCATAAATTGTTTCTGGAATACATTTCCCACGATGCTCAGCTAGCTTTTAGAGTCTAAAAGCTAGCTGGGCATCATGGGAAATGTAGTTAGCCATCACTGACCCAGGTGGTATTAAGCCATCTACTCGAGGGTATAGCGCCACATCTTCCACTACTTCCCTTTTATCCCCACTATACCCCCAAATGCAAAAAACAAGCAGCCATTCTCAGACACACAACGCCAAAACAGAATTCCCACATACACCACAAGCAGCTTACACACACACACGCACACACACACACACACACACACACACTCTCTCTCCCTCCCTCCCTCCATCGTCCCAGGGCAAGAAGGGTAAATCCAGCTCTGCAAATGCCCCCACAATTCCAAGCTTGTTACCACACTAGGAATTTAGGCTGTTTTTGTACTGACAAATTACACAGAAGAACATGCTGTCTAAATCCAGATCTCAAATAAATATAAGGGATTTCCCCATGACAGTACATTTTATAACATACCTGCGCAAACTTCATTATCCAAAGGTAACAGGTTCCTAATAATATTGTGAATCAGTGTCTTTTATCTACTTTGTTTTTAACTTTCGAACACTGGCTCTGAATGTGATCACTGTCATTTCTGTTTGCAGCAGCCTGAGTGTGACCGCTATGGAGGAAGCTGCAAACCTGCTTCTAGGGACCCATGACTTCAGCGCCTTTCAATCCACCAGTAACGAAAATATTTTCAGGTCTCCCATCAAGACGCTATCACAAGTAGACATCAAGCCTTCATCTAGCTTCTGGCCACATCTCCTACAATACAGGTAACATCATACAGTGGGGCTGTTTCACGTGGAGCAGTGATGGAAAGATGGATGCCCTTATTTTGGAAATAGCCTCTGAACCGTTTGAGTACTCAAGGGATGACCTTGTGACAAAGCAGTTGTTTTGTTCAGCCCATTGGCACTAAAAGCGTCCATTTATTTGACACAGCTTCTCAAAAGGTCCTTTTAAATTAGAGACTTCCTTTTTTGATTATCTTATGAATTCTACTACCTAGCTGCTGGTACCCTACATTCTAAAACCCATACCACGGAATTCATAAAAAGTTAATGGAGTGGATTGGGTTTATTATTACCGTAATAGTTTCATACTCTGTCATGATTTAGCGGTTGAGCCTCGTTACTAAAGGTTTTTTGCATTTGGATTATAATTGATGGTCGTATGCACTGGTAAGAGTGTATTACCGTAACAGATTTTTTTAATATAATGAATATTCATGGGTGGAGCAAACGTAGTTTTCAAGCTCCCTTGACTCAGGCAAATCTCATCCAATTTTAAGATGGCTAAGAATCATGGGAGCTGTAGTTCAGCAACAGCTGGAGATCTATTTTTTGTAGTCTTGGGGTATGCACATAAAACCACAAAGACTTTGCAAAGAGATGGATTGGAAATTGAATAGTGGTCTTCAAACTGGTTGTGTAATTCTGTAACTCCTAATCCAATAAATGTAATTATTAAGCTGTGCACATGAAGCCTCGAGGGGAAATAAGAAAGTGAGAAATGGGAACACACCCAGTCTGTCATTCTCTCCTCTCTGCTCATAATCTTGGCTATAAAATGACTTCACACGTAGCATTGGTCAGAGATCTGTAGGGCATGAAAAACACTGAAGAATTCACCAGCACGTTCATGAGATGTTCGTTTTGAAAACACAACAGCCAGAATAATTTATAGAACATGCATGCCTTGTGATTTCACACATTAGAGAAATCTTAGAGCGGGTTAACAGTGAACGCCTAGAGTGGAAATGGTTTTCCCATGAATGAGACAACATCTGGTGGATATAATCATCTTGTTGTCCCTCAGGACCTTTTGCAAGCGTCAGTGGACAGCAGTCTCCACCCGTTATTGTAGGAACATAGAAATTTTAGGCCTTACACTGTTAAATCCCATGTACCAAGCTCAATATGTGACCGAAAACCCTCTGTAAACTCAGCTAATACATTATGATAGTTCGCACATTCCAGCACAACTGGTATTTATTTGAAACGATGGAAAGACTGAGCTCGGATTGTCCTGTGAAGAGAAACACAAAGTTCTATCAATAATCATGTTCTAATATAGTTACTTCAAATCTAAAACATTTACTAAGCAATGATTGCTACAATTATTATTTTATAAAGCTGTGTTTTCTAGACGGAAAACACACAACGACCCTTTGCTGGTTGTTTCTTGTCTTGGAGAGAGGAATTAAACTAGGGTGAGCCAGTAAATGCATCCAACAAATATATTTTATTGGATGCTGTAAAATTTGGTGCATGACAGATGCCCGGTTGGTGCTTGTGGGAAAGTGTAAGTAATATTGTGTTTTTCATTACTGGAGTAAGATGTTTCAAGTTTTCTTTTGCAACGATTTGTTGCCACAAGTCTGGGGGAGGAATGCCTAGGTTTTCAGCTAACTTTCTTCAGTTTTGACATTTTGTCCCACAGTCGTACCAGTTATGTCTCCACGAAAATCCATAAAATTATCTTCAGCTTTCTATTTCAAAAACAGCTACGGTTGCACTAACTCTTAGTTATTTGGATATTCGCTGTGCCTAGAGGGATGTCTGGAAGCACCTCACTGAAGAGTCCTCTGTCAGGCTGAAACATTGATCAGATGTGCTCTTTTTACATCTGGACTGCACTTGTGAGTGGAATCAGTCTGATATATAATTGGTCTAGGTTCCTTCTGCAATGGCACAAGATAGCAGACATGTTTGGCCTCCACTGGGAACACTATTATGCTTTTTGTCTGATATATTGACTGTTTCTAACATTTGTGTTTTGAGTTCCCAAAACTTCTCTAAAATCAACAAAGACATTTACATCCTACTTTAAAAGACTGCATGACAATTTACCAACAGACTGGTGAAAATGCTGCTATTAATAATGTTACGATAGGAATAAAATGACAGATTTCTTTGTAGAAAATGTGTTATTGGTCATCCCAAGCCTACGAAACGCTGTACTTGTGGCCCATGTTGGTGCTTTATAATTAAATGTTAACAAGGGAATTATTTCTTCACCTGGACAGGATATACAGGCACCAGAACTATGATTTCCCAGGGCATTGGTATTTCTACAGAGGGAAACCCTTATGTTGGGAATTCTCATATTCAATCTCCTGTTCTATTCCTCTGTTATTTAGCTTTGTATGGGGTTTCCATTTATTAATTTCTATTCTTCATCCGAAAACCTGATATAACCAAAAACAATTTTGTTCCTCTTGTTCTAGAGACCTGCAGTTCTGGGATTTAACCTTCAAAAGCAAATCATTTCTCTACAAACAGGTACAGTTTTCAACCATACCAGCTGCCATGTTTATCCAAATACAGAAATAGAACCAAATTCTAAATATTTCTTATTGTACGGACAAAATATATCCTTAGCACAATGATTTGACATTCCCCCGAAACCAAGAATCCATCACTGCCAATATTTCACGTTTTCCAGGATGCAGCATGGAAATCTCCCTATGTAAAAATTAATTGGCTCCTAAATTTGGTTTTCATTCTTAAAATGCTAATTCTTCTCAACCCCTATCTTTGTGATGCAAATATAATACAAACCTATCTCCACCACAAGCTATTCACAAACAAACAAATTGGTGGCCTCTGCAGATTGTATCGCGTGTTGCTCCCTAGGATTCTGTTTAGAGTTTGGCTGTGTCTTTGCACAAATTTTTCAAGCAGCTTCGCACAACTCTGTCAATTCCTTGCTGTCCGTGCTCCTGTTAAATTGACAAGGGCCTAATAAAAGGGAATCATGATATACAACCTTACTCACTGAGCATTTTTGCCAGGAATTGTTAAACTATTAGGTCGAAAAAGTTACACCTGGATGAGCTCAGCTTTTTCGGCTTGAAATTTGAAATTCTAATTTGAAATTCACGGGACACTGTAGTCACCAGAACTACTTCAGCTTAATATAGTGGTTCTGGTGTTTATAGCCTGTCCCTGCAGTGAAAAGGCAGTGTTTACATTGCTGCCTAGTAACACCTCTAGTGACAGTCACTCAGACGACCACTGGAGCTGCTTCCTAGTCTAGTCCTGCACAGTATGCAGAAATTCCCACAGGATCTTAGTTCAGTCATTCCCAACTACCCTTTGCTGTATCTGGACCTAGGCAGGTTAAACTCATATTCTGTGCAGATGTTTTTGTACACAAACCCAGGAACTTGCTTGTTCTACTCCTTGTGCGCTGTCCTTGTTAACATCTTGCTCCCCGGCTACAATGTGCTGGATTGTATCCTTTAGCAAACTATTTACAGAGTAATATATATCATCAAGCCATCTTGGATAATAATAATAAAAAAAACCACTAAATATTAAAACAGCCCAAAGAATTTACCTTTACTCCAGAAGTGGGACAGATTCCTCATTACATCCTAATCCTACTGTCTGGTTATCAATCGCCTGACGCCAGAGACATGCAGTTCCGGGTGCCGGGCATGTGGTTTCTTTTTTAGTTTAGCCCAGCCACAAGCAAACTGGCCCCACATTTACTGCAGGTACCGACATTGGCCATCCAGGGGGAGAGTAATACAAGAGACAAACCCCTCCCCTCTGATCCTGCGCAGCTGCCCGAGGAGTAACTGCTGACAGAACACTTCCTCCCAGCGCTTGCGAAACCACACAGGAGTGGACAGCAGCAGCCACAGCCAGTTATACTTTATTCCCAGGCCACGACTGGCGCGTTAGAGAGCAAATATTGCTCTGCGCTAAGACAGACTATGCATGTGCCTACTCTCCCCCAATGTATAGTGTCCGGGGGCGGGGGATGACATAGGTGGCGAGGCCACAACCCCCAACAAGTCCAAACACCAATGAATATTAGGGAAGCCACACTTCTGCTGCTAAGATTACAGAAACAGCAAAAAAGAAGGCAGCTAAAATAACATTAGTGTGTGTTCTTGAAAGTATGTTTAGCTGTTTGATTGTGTGTGTAGTGATTGTGTGTGTATGTGTGCATAGTGTCTGGCAATGTGTAATTGGATGTTTGTGTTTTTGGGGGATTTGTGTTTGACATGGTGAACTGGGGAGGGGAGGGTGGGGTCTCTGTGTGTATCCCATAAATGTGTCTCCCGTGCATTTCTGTGAGTGTGTATCTCTGTCTCAGAGAGAGTGAATACTGTGGTCTGCACCTGTTGGATGTGCACAACACATGCTCCCCAACTTAATCTCTACTGGACAACAGGGATCCAAGACGTCTGATGGACAACTAGTGATTCAGGACACCCTGCTGTGCCAAAAGGGATTACAGCACTTGTCCATGACGAAAGTTAAGATGGAGGGGGTAAAACACACTCATTACTGCACACACCACAAACACAGTAATTACACCAAATTATTCACATAATTCCAAACTAAAACCTGTCTATGTCCAGGGCTCTAGGCAGGGGCCTTAATCTAAAATTACTTTGGAGGTAGCGTAAGTAGATTGTCATACTACTTTTGTCCTTGGGCAAGTAGATTTTTTTTTTTTTAATTTCCACTACCTGACGACTGAGGACTTTTGTCCAAACAGAGCACACAAAGGCCATGTCTTCTTTTACAAGTCTGCAGGTACAGCATTGTAGATCTCAAAATCCATTCATGAAGATGAAGTAATTTTGATACTTAGAGTGTTCCTGACATTTCCTCCTTCCTTTGGCCCAGTAAACGCTATTTCAGTGTATACTGAGGTGGATAATGCAGTGGAAGTAAATTATCAAACAATTTGCTCTGAGGCACTTATATGATGAGGCGGCTCGATCCCTCCATCATGCCGTGTGCGCGTGTTCTCAGGCATCTGACAAATTCTATACATGTGAATGAAGTGTTTTCTTCAGGGTGCTATGCACACACATGAACTGTAGAAGAGTTAGCTCAATTATAACTTTAGCAGGCTTTGCATATAAATGAAAATAAAAGAAAATACGAAAAAAAGTAAATAATTTCACCAAAGCCTATAGATAATTGGAAATGAGCTTTTAGGTTGTGCTATGACAGTTCCCCGATTTGTAGTTAAATATGTTTTTTTATTAAGGTTGTAAACAGCCACAGGAATCATTTCGAAGACAAAGAGTCCATTAAATGCCACTTTAAACCCTTGACTATACAAAAAAAAAAAAAGCATCTAAGCTGACATTTTACGTGACTTGTTTAAATATCAGAGATCCACAGGACAATTCGGCAGCTCCCCTATGTCTCTTTTTTTTTATTATTATTGAATGCTGATCGAGAAGTGTGAGAGATGTAGTTTGGACACTAAGGGGGCGATTTTCGGACTTTTCATCTGTTGCTTTTTTTGCTCCCTAACTATAATTTTCTTAATATTATAAGAATGGATTCAGAAATCTTTCTGCCACTTTTTCCCACCAGATAAGTGGATATTTTTAATTTTTTACTGCCAATTTGGCCGTCTTCTGCAATTGATTTTTTCAGCAAAAACTGTAGAAATGTATTTTAACTATTCCAAAAACCTTGATTAATCCGCCTATATATTTAACTTGTCCAGTTCAGATATTAGTCAATGGTATTATTTATCACAGTTCTTGCAATATCTTTAACAATAGATTGTTCAGCCCATTCAATCATTTAGTCTGAAAACATTTATGAGAATATAATTGTAACCCATATCTTATCGTCATTCCATGCCATTTATTTCACATTGAGATTATATACATTATGTTAGCTATGACGAACATCATACGGGGTCTGCAAGAGTTGTCAGAACTTATTCATTTTTGCACATTACAGCTATTCGATTATTTTTTTAATCCATTTTAGTGCTGTTTATTACATGGCAGATTGCATCTCTTATTCACAAATGATTTCAGAGAATCACTAGTCAGACGCGAGGCGTACCTAAACTCCCAGCGGCACACCGAACTGTTAAGCATTTTTTCGTTAATTAGGTTTTGTCCCATCTCCTACCTGAATTATTAGTCCGTTTAAAGCAGATTTATAGTGAATGTAGTATTTCTAATTATCCTGTTCCTGTTTTTGGTGTAAAGTGTTGATATTTGTTTCACTATTTTTGGTAAGTATGACACAAGCACGATTAATACCAATACATGAGAAAATACTGAACAACCGTTTTATACGCTACGCCATGAATCAATGAACACAGTTGAAGGGACAATAACATCTTTTGTACCTTGTGTAGGTTCTGGTGCAAGGAGGTCCTTGGTTTCTTGGCACACAGTTACCTACAGCTGCTGTTTTAGTGACAGACATCATAGCTATAGTCTCTCCTCAGCCTGCCTAAATATTTGTATGGTGTGCACACACAGGGAAACTGCGTGAGTTTATGACATCATATTCCTGCGTCAGGTGTAGGTAGTACAATAGGGATCACAAAAATGGAGCAGGAAAGATAGATGTACTATTTGAAGCACAGTTGTCCCTTTCTCTCACTAGACCACCAGAGAGTTTCCTACCACCTTTAAGGTATGTGTGAGGAGGTTATTAAAAACATGAGGGTTTACAAAATGTGTGCTACACCATGCCTTGTTACCCCACTGATCATATAAATAATGGCACATTTTATCTGAGCAGATAAACAGTGGTAACTAAATAATTATTGATAGTCAGTGGACGTGCGTGGGCACTACACATCTGAATTTTGTCTGAGCAATATTTAACACTGAAATATATTTCAGCTTAGGAACAGATACAAAATATTTTAAAACAGTTTTAGACTACAACTCTCATTATCCACATTTTGTTGGCATTTATTTGTAGTTTTGCAGTGTTGGAGGCTCTGGTTAAAGGGATATTACAGTCACCCAGACCACTTCTGCCCATTGGAGTGGTGTGGGTGCCAACTCCTACTACCCTTAACCCTGCAAGTGTACTTATTGCAGTTTTCATAAACTGCAATAATTACCTTGCAGGGTTAAGTCCTCCTCTAGTGGCTGTCTACTAGACAGCCACTAGAGGGACTTCCGTGTTCTTAGAACACGAAAAATGTGTTATATGACGCTGGACGTCCTCACGCTATGTGAGGACCTCCAGCGTCGCCGAAATCCCCATAGGAAAGCATTAAATAATTAATTAAGCATTAATTAAATAATGCTTTCCTATGGGGAGGTCTAATGTGTGTTTAACCCCTTCAGCAACTTGGGATGGGGGGTGGGAGGGAGAGGGGCACTACCGGGTCCTGCAGTGCCAGGAAAACTAATATGATTTCCTGGCACTGGAGAATCCCTTTAACTGCCTGAGCCTCTATACAATGGCAACGTGCAATACAACTTAGCACCTCATATCCTGTTCTTTCACTGACCCCTAGTGATTATTTCACAGAATGCATGTCATGAAATTTAAACAGTTTTTTTCTAAAGTTAGAATTGTCAGGACTTCAAAATGAATTTGTAATTCAACGCCAAAACAGCCAAATTGGAAAGATTCCAGTTTTGCTCTTTTGGATTTCACTTTTAAATCCACTTTGAATTCCATAAAATTCTCACAAGACCAAGAGTGCTAGCACTGAGATTTTTTACATTTATGAATCTCTCAAAACATTTCCATAATTTATTTTAATTTGTACATAAAGCAATTCAAAAACAAAACTTTAAAAACATGTAACTTGGCAGTCAGAGTTTGCCACGATTAGACTCTCCTACATAAAATCTGGCATTGAAATACCTTGCAGAACAGTTTTGAAAATTCTTCTAAAGGAACCGAATAAAGACTACAATTATTATTCTAAACAAATACTACTATAATCAAGACAAAAGTGATTTTGAAGAAGGTACAATTTGGGCTTAACATGCCGAACTACCAAATATAATATGTGGCAGTATAATATATTTTTTTCTGTATTTATTTATTTTTTCTGTCTTCTTGGGTGGTAAATTAACAGATTGCTCATGGTTTTCCAGGTCAGGAGAATGACTCAGGCTCTTGTTGCTGTTGGCCAGGGACGACTCACACCACTGCAAATTAAAGAGATTATGGACACACGAGATCCCACCGCATTTCCTGGAAACCCCATTGCCCCAGCTGAAGGCCTGTTCCTCAAGGAAGTGGAATATGAAGGGATTGGTAAGTAGCTGATCTGACCGGTACAGTATACACTATAAGCTTTGTTAGGATGACCTTTCTAGGAAGAGCAGAGAGAGGAAGGGGTTTATTTTTTTAAAATTCTTTATTTCTAATTGCCGTCATACATAGATCAAAACACATCGTACAAAGCATTGATGAACAGGTCACAGCAGATGTCGTGCCAGTACAGTGAACAATGTACTAAATCCAGTGAAGCTGTATCTTATGCAGTAGAGACCCAGAAATGCCGAATGAACAGCTCATAATCTGACGACAAGGTTTTTTTGTTGTAATATATAAAAATAATTTAACAGTAGTAGGAAACCAAATACCAATATATAGAGATAAACCAATCCGACAATACCCTCTGATTGTCGGCGAGTGTGAATAGATAAATAAACATCTGCTTAAGTATGTCTTTTGTGCCTTGCCTTGGATAGCCATGGTTGGAATGACAGGTATTGGCCATAAAGATGAACGAAAGAGAGTAGAACAGAAAGGTAACAGAACAGAGAGAACACAGAGAAAGCAAGGTGAGTATGGATGGGGGTTGTAAGGGTTACCAGTGACGGTCTCGAAGTAACTGCTGTCAGCCCAGTTCAGGGTCGCTATTTGTGGGGCCTGGGATTACTGATCGCTGCATGGGTGCTCTCCTACTCTCGGAAATCAACTCACCGGGGATTCTGATTCTGTTTACTGGGCCAATCCCCCAGCTCCCACCTCCCCCGACCTCTCATTCCTCCACTCAATAGCCCCTAATCTTCATGACACCAAACCCCCCAAGAATCATCAACTGGTTATGTGAACCTCAGTGGGTCGTAGGGAGAGGAAGGGGTTTATAACTTTAACAATCTGAGTGAAGCTATATGTTGTTTGCTATCTCTTCCATGTTGTGGTGAGCAGTTGACATAACAATGTATCACTGACTATTATCATAACAGGTGGAGATGTGGAGAATGCAGAGGGGGGCATCCTTTCCAGCTGTGATCATTAGTATAGCAGTAAAATAATGCATATATAGTAAGAAAAAAATATTTTAATTTTCTCCAGCGGAACCAGACAGGACCAGGAGCTTACACCCAATGTGACAGTGTTACCCTATCTGAATGTCACCAACTATCTAAAACTGAGAGCAAATGAGCACCAAAGCTTAAATAACACTGATAGATAGATAGATAGATCGATGAATACATAGTTTAATGTGTACTTTCTTTCTGACCTGAACATGTTCCATCTGTAAGGTAATAGGTATTTTTACATTGCTTGAAGGCCTTCCTCTCAGACCATCCCTTAACATTCTTCCTGTAGATAAACATATACCCAGAGCACTCACAAGCCTTTAATCCATCTGGTCCATTTGAAGCCACAATGTTCTCAGAGCAATTATTATGGTTATTGTATATCTAATCCCTTGCAAGGTAACATTAGCATTATATTTCCTACATCTTTATGTTGACCTCAGTAATTGTCCACTTGATTTAATAACCTGCCATATCAAATGTCATCTGTTTCTATTTGGATATTCGCTGGGCCTAGCGGATGTCCGGAAGCACGTCACCGATGAGTCCTTTGTGAGTCTGAAACAATGATCAGATTTTGCTGTATCTCTTGTGCAAAGGAGACCTGACTCTCTTTTTACATCTGAATTGCACTTGCGAGTGGGATCTCCAAATGGTCTAGGTTTCTTCTTGATACGATGGGAATAAAATGACAGATATTTCTGTGTAGAAAATGTGTTATTGATCATCCCAAGCCTATGAAATGCTATACTTGTGGCCCATGTTGGTGCTTTATAAGTAAGTGAGTGTTACTAACAAAGGAATTATTTCTCCAACCAGACAGGACATACAGTCACCAAAACCCCTATGTTGGAAATTTACATCTAAATTCTGCTGTTCTGTTCCTCTGTTATTTAGATCTGTTGAGAGTTTCCATTTATGCATTAATATTCTGCATCCGAAAACCTGATATAATCGAAGACTATTTTGTTCCTTTCTTTGTAGAGACCTGCAGTTCTGGGATTTAACCTTTAAAAGCCAATCATTTCTCTACAAACAGGTACAGTTTTCTACCATGCCAGTTACCATTTTTATCTAAATACAGAAATAGAACCAATTTCTAAATCATTTTTATTGTATGGACAAAATATATCCTTAGCGCAATGATTTAGTATTCACCTGGAACCAAGAATCTATCACAGCTAATATTTCATGTTTCTCAAGGCCGTCTACAACCAATGGCTGTCTAAAAAATAGACTAGGCCACTTAGCCTGTAGATGGTCACACCTTATAAGACACTCCAGTTGTGTCTTGGGGCATAACCCCTGATTAGAAAAACTATAAGATACTAAAAATAACTAGTACCTGAGTATCCACTGGAATAATGAATAATAATGATTCTATACAAAGTGAGATATAGAGATATATACAATGAGAAAATACAATAATAGAAAAATGGGTGAGGTGAAAGTAGAAAATAACTGCCTAATGGCAAAGAACTCCCTTCCTAATGTCTCTAAAAGTAGATACTGCAGTACACAGGTTTAGACTTTAATATATAATGCTTCATAGGTCAATATCTGTGACTGCAGGCTGGTATCAATACATCCAAAGAATATATAAGAGACATCCAAAGAATATATAAGAGACATTAAGGACTTGCTTTTACCTAGTAAGTCTCAAGCTGTGGCATTATATAAGATATAATACCAGATTGCTAGCATAGTGGAACATTAGAGGCTGAGTAAGCAGAAGAGTATAAATAGATACTATATGTGGGATCTATTGAAACTAATTCAATCAGTAAATTGTATCAAAAAAGTAACTATAATGTTAACTGCCATGTACTCAATTGCTAGCATATTGGGACATAAGTAACTGAATAAGCAGAAGAGTATAAATAGAGACTATATATTGGATATAAAATAATCCAAAAAATAAAATGTATTAAGAGTAGTATCTATCATAATAACTGCCACATATAAACTAAGTCCAAAATTATTGAATAGACAGAATATATCCACAAATGGATCGGTTATATAATATGCCACATATTAGGAGGTATAAAGCGAATAGTGAAAAAACAGTGTGCTAAATGTGCAGAGCCATGCTTAGAATGCTGGCTGCCTGCACATGGTGACAGAGTAGCACACTGTTTTTTCACTATTCACTTTATCTCTCTCTTATGCTTTATACCTCCTAATATGTGGCATGTTATATAACCGATCCATTTGTGGATATATTCTGTCTATTCAATAATTTTGGACTTAGTTTATATGTGGCAGTTATTATGATAGATACTACTCTTAATACATTTTATTTTTTGGATTATTTTATATCCAATATATAGTATCTATTTATACTCTTCTGCTTACTCAGTTACTTATGTCCCAATATGCTAGCAATTGAGTACATGGCAGTTAACATTATAGTTACTTTTTTGATACAATTTACTGATTGAATTAGTTTCAATAGATCCCACATATAGTATCTATTTATACTCTTCTGCTTACTCAGCCTCTAATGTTCCAATATGCTAGCAATCTAGTATTATATCTTATATAATGGCACAGCTTGAGACTTACTAGGTAAAAGCAAGTCCTTAATGTCTCTTATATATTCTTTGGATGTATTGATACCAGCCTGCAGTCACAGATATTGACCTATGAAGCATTATATATTAAAGTCTAAACCTGTGTACTACAGTATCTACTTTTAGAGACATTAGGAAGGGAGTTTTTTGCCATTAGGCAGTTATTTTCTACTTTCACCTGACCCATTTTTCTATTATTGTATTTTCTCATTATATATATATATATCTCTATATCTCACTTTGTATAGAATCATTACTATTCATTATTCCAGTGGATACTCAGGTACTAGTTATTTTGAGTATCTTATAGTTTTTTCTCAGGATGTAGCATGAAATTCTCTCTATGTGACAATTAATTGGCTCCTAAATATGTTTTTTACTCTTAAAATATAAATTCTTCTCAACCCCTACTTTTGTGATACAAATACAATACAAGCCTATCTCCACCACAAGCTATTCACAAACAAACAAACTGGTGGCCTCTGCAGATTGCATCCCGTGTTGCATTCCGGGACTCTGTTTAGAGTTTGTGTGCATCTTTGCAAACATTATTCATATGGTTTTAAAACCTTTCTAGGAAGAGCTACACCACATGGTTCTCAGATGTTGCTGTAATTCCTTGCAAGGTCATATCAGCATTATTTCCTACATCTTTATGTTGAGTAACTGTCTACTTGATTTAACCACCTCTCATATCAAACGTCATGTGTCACATGCAATCCTTCATTATCGATACATTACTGGTTGGTGTGAGTTGCACCATTATTGTACATCTGGGTCCATAAGGAACACCTCACTCTATATCTATAGATCATATATTATTATTATTATTTGGTTTTCATTAAGAAACGTTAACTATAGTAATGTGTTTCCACCGACGACATTTCTAAGCAATCAACAGGGTCCAAATGCAGCCTCCACAAATTAAGGGTAAGCTCATATGATGCAAACTATTTAGAGTTACTTTCTTATGATTTCTGTCTATATCTCCCAATATATCAACAATACGGGACCCCAAATATAACACCATTGTAATGAGAATTCTAATAAAATTATAATGAGAAACCTACACAATAATAACAAACAATTGTTATTGTGCACTCTGACACTATAAGAAACTGGATTAAACCACCAATATAAAAGATTCAGACACATCTCCGTCTCCTTAGATATTTCAACGTATATTGGTCCTCACTCTTAGCCTCACTTTGTCCTACATTTTTTAATAAAACAAACAAAAGACAAATCACGTTCCATCGTGTACTACATTGTATTCCGAAAAACCACAAGAAACTATAAATGCAAAAATAGGCGATATTGACACCATAATTTCACTGCTTGTATAACAGAAACACCTTCATTATTTCCCACTGCCACCACGATGGAGAGATTAAATGGATGTGTACTGCAGTGTATGGTCTCAGGAAAGATTGTCCGTATGTGACTGTCTTTTTAGCCATCACCAAAGAATACAACAAGGTGGTATATTACAACCTAGTGGTGTCTGGGCCCAAATACTAATAGGGACGTAAAGCTATGTCTTAATTTCGCTTCTTTCCACCGTTCCATTGTTAAATCTCAGAAATCCTATAGATGTTACGTTCACTTTACATTTAAATTTCTTCTGATATGTTTTCCAGCACAGGAATGAAATGCTACAAAGGAACGAGAGGAACACATGACCGTACCTGGTTATGGGTCTGTCCTGTAGGAAGCCTGCTTAATATTGTATAGGGCGAGAGAGGGAAGCAGTAATATGTTTCCTTGAAGATGGTAGAACTTCAGAGCACAGTTTCAATTCTGCATCCGAAAACCTGATATAATCGAAGACTATTTTGTTCCTTTCTTTGTAGAGACCTGCAGTTCTGGGATTTAACCTTTAAAAGCCAATCATTTTATTAGTAAGACCAAGTGAGAGGAAGCGAGGCTGGCTCGGTTTACCCACGTCTGCCAATTTTAAATGGACTGACAGTTTTGGGGCATTCAGACTCCTGTAAGAATCCAGCCATGTGGCTGGTGGCATTAGACAAACACTGTATTCACTATCAATACTAGGCTGCTTACACTAAGAAAAATAAAGGTGTTTTAAAGGGTGCCTTTTGTAGTTTCTCCCTCTGAATCACATAAAGAATACGTGTAAGAAGTGTTTTATAGGAACACTCTAGTCACCTAAATTACTTTAGCTAAATAAAGCAGTTTTAGTGTATAGATCATTCCCCTGCAATTTCACTGCTCAATTCACTGTCATTTAGGAGTTAAATCACTTTGTTTCTGTTTATGCAGCCCTAGCCACACCTCCCCTGGCTATGATTGACAGAGCCTGCATGAAAAAAAAACTGGTTTCACTTTCCAACAGATGTAATTTACCTTAAATAATTGTATCTCAATCTCTAAATTGAACTTTAATCACATACAGGAGGCTCTTGCAGGGTCTAGCAAGCTATTAACATAGCAGGGGATAAGAAAATCTTAATTAAACAGAACTTGCAATAAAGTAAGCCTAAATAGGGCTTTCTTTACAGGAAGTGTTTATGGAAGGCTGTGCAAGTCACATGCAGGGAGGTGTGACTAGAGTTCATAAACAAAGGGAATTAACTCCTAAATGGCAGAGGATTGAGCAGTGAGGCTGCAGGGGCATGTTCTATACACCCAAACTGCTTCATCAAGCTAAAGTTGTTCAGGTGACTATAGTTTCCCTTTAATTAAAAAAGTAATGAAAATATACTCTCTTATGTATCAAAATAATGAATTGTCAGAACCTCAGTTTCCCCAACATTCGAAAGTGATTGGATTATAATTATTGCTTCAAATTGTTGCAAGTGCTGTATAAAAATACCCATGCTGTGTTTTGTATATAACCGCAATGCTGTAGTTTTCAGCGATGCATTATCTGTAGTATTTGAAAAGTCATAATATGAAAATGTAAAGCTGTGATTGTGTCCCTTATTTTTGTTATTATTATGATATTTATATAGCACCAACAAATTCCGCAGCGCTTTACAATGGGTGGACGAATAGACACGTAGTTGTAACCAGACAAGTCGGACAGACAGGAACCGAGGGGTTGAGGGCCCTGCTCAATGAGCTTACATGCTAGAGGGAGTGGGGTATAGTGACACAAAAGGTAAGGATACAGATTTCTGTAATGGCCCATTAAGAAATCTGTATACTTAAACAAACCCAAAGGCAAAAATATGGCCAAACCGAAAACTCCAACGTGAGACTAATCGGACACTGCAGATAAAGCCAGATAGAAAATGAAAGTAAAAAAAAAAAAGAGTGATGTAAAAAGACAGCAATTTGCATTTTTATGTATTTATTTTTTAGGTAACATTGTGTATATATACACCTTTTTTTAATTTTGGTGTAGATGTTGCATTGGTAATTTTTTCCAGACTTACTTAGCTTATACTAAAGTTAAAATGCAAAATCTCCCCTACGAAATAACCTTGATATTACACTAAAGTGTAAATAAATATAATAATCTGGACATGATTAATATTGGGAATAGTGTCTGGATTTGTGCCGTTAAATGCCCCCACATTATTTTTGCTGTTGGGACTAGGGTTTTAAATTCCTGACAGTTTACACTTTACTGGCATATTTAATAAACTCTAATTTGCAGCATATATACATTTGTATTGCAAATGAAAGTTAAAATATCCGTCAAGTCTGATCCAAATTTTTTTTTTTTTTTTAAAACCCCTATTGTGTTTGGAGTTTAGCGAATAATCCTTTCAGTATTTCCAATGACAATTTTCACATTTAAATGTCTGCTTTAAGATTGAAACAGGACCTCAAACAATAGATATTCTTTTTATTTTATTTCCAGCAATGTTGTCTGCTGCAGAGAAACCAGAATTGGAAAGTGCCCCTTACTTTTTTGCAGCTTAATATATATATAATTTTAACCACAGCCCCCATAAAGAGGGTGGGGGAATGCCAAAAAAATGCCTTCACTCTTATTTAAAAAAATGATTTGTTGCAGCTTAGTAAGCTGTGTGTGGGTAATTGCTTCCTGTCACTTGACAGATTCTGCATGTACGTTTGACACATACATGAACGGATTTTACACTTCCTTCTGTAGTTGCACACCGCAGACAGAGCTGCTGTATTTGGTCCTTGCACTACAGATCCAATGCTTTGACTCTCTGACCTAAAGAACAAACCATTCTTCTGATGATCACGATCATTTCTTGCAACAGTTGCCGTAGAGACTCTCTTCACTGTGCATGTAACGAACGTAATGCACTTACTTATCACAAATTCTAGTTTCATGAACTCCAGCGAAGAATGCCACTTAGAGGCAGAATTTCAATATGGATTCTTTACAATTATCTACAGCCTGGTATTTATACTGGGATTGCCGGTGAATGCATACGCTCTATACTTCCTGTGCCGACGATCACAGCGTGCTAAACGATCCAATGTTTATTTTGTCAGCCTGTCCGTGGTGGATACAATTTTCATATGCTTACTGCCAGTTCGGATATATTACCACAACTCAGGTAATAATTGGGTGTTTGGAGACGTGGCTTGTCGGATTACTGGCACTTTATTTTACTTCAACATCTACTTGAGCATTGGTTTTTTTACCTGCATCTCCCTGGACCGGTACATGGCAGTTGTGCTTCCGTTAACCTACCTGCGACTGAAATACAGTTGTTACCCACGGATATTGACGTTTGTTATCTGGTTGCTGGGCTGCGCCATTGTCTTGCCTTTGATTTTTGGAGGACCCCTTGACAACATGTCTGAAAACAGCAGCCGGATTTCTTGCTTTGAGGACTTCTCCCTAAGTAGTTGGCAAAATCGGTTGGTGCCTTATAACGTCTGTGCTTTGATCTTTGGCTTTCTTGTCCCCTTCTCAGTAATTGCAGTGGTGTTCCCAGTGATGGCACGAAAAATATGCCAAATTAAGACCAGTGTTCACCGAAAGGTTGCTCTGCAGATAATTGGATATATTCTTGCGGTCTCTCTCATTTGCTTTTTGCCTTACAACATCGCTCATCTGTTTCATTTCCTTATGAGACTTGGATTAATTCAAGAGTGTGCGATTGCCAGACACATCTACAAGCTACGCCGCATTACTTTAGCCTTAATTAGCCTCAACAGCTGTCTCAACCCAGTCCTCTATTTCATACCAGTCATAAATCAGGGACGGTTAAGCATTCCAAATTTATTTCACTCCAAGAAGGAATACAACATTTCCAACAAACTCACAGAGGTAAATGTCCAGGTCACAAGTCCAATCTACCAGCCTAAACCTGGCATTGTCACTGTGGTTGCTCAAGCAGAATGGTCGGTGGTGTAAGGAGATATAAGGATGTATGATTTATACCAATCATGACGTCTCATCTGAGTTATCATCTAAGACAGTGCTTCTAACTGCAAACCATCCCGGTGCTCTCTCATCCCATCACACTCAGAGCTTAGGAATCCGCAGTACAAAAGTATCTTGTATCTTTTTGATTTCATTTTTTTTTTTATAAACTTTTTTTGTGTGTGATATATACATACACAAACATATTGGTATCACTCCATTTTTATTTTTTAAGAGGATGACATTTTCATATTAACCTTGTTTGGGTTCAATTTGTCAACCCTTTGTGTCCCAGAGCAAGGCATTGGGTTAATAAATCATTTAAAAAGGGATACAGGATTTAGTTGAATACAGTAAAAAAAAAAACATGTAGCTATAGGTTTAAGATGGTTTATGTTACAGCTCCCGGGTTCCTTTGTATTCAGCTTTCGGAAATGAATTTAAAAATCTTGTCTCTGTTTTTGTAAGTAAATCACCAAGTTAGAGATGCCACCACTTCTATAATATACCGCAGGTCTTAAGAAAAAATTGAGTTATTTTGCTAAATTGGCAATGTCTTATTAAAGCGACACGACTTGATGACCAGTATCAGGTGGAGAAAAAATTCTTAGACAAAGTAGTCCCTACTGGTACTGGTTTTGTGTGCGCCTTGTGGAGGGGACAAAATGCCATTCTTCAACATGTGAATTGCCTGTTTTGTACTTCTATAAGCTAAATATTGTGTGATCTGATATCAAAAAGGGACATTCAGGTTTAAAATTCTTATGAGTGGAAAGTCACAAATATCAGGGTTATTTACCAAAGCGTGAATTGAAAGGAAATTAATATCAAAATTAGACCAAAGTAGCCAAACTAGAAACATTCTGCAATCAGTTGTGTTTTCAATTTGACTTTACTTTTGCCTAAAACCTACACTTCGAACATTCCACATATTTAAGGAAAAATTCTGTTAGGGTTCTGAAAACTGGATTTACGGTTTTCTACTTTTTTTGGTTAAGCAGTTTTGGTGTACATTTTGAAATTCACTTTGCATTCATATTACAGAAGATGGGGCTTTAGGTGTAGCCTCTTATATTTGGCAAAAAAAGAGATCCATATAACCAACCCATCAGAAGAGTTCCTGACGGTATCCAACAGACAGGATTATTTACTAATGCAAGAATTCAAAGTGAGAAGAACTGAAAGTATTCCAGACTAAGATAACGCTTCCAGTGTGGTTATTTTGAACTTAAATTTGAAATTCACTTTGAATTCTAACTCTTGTGAATAACCCTGTTAAAATGACTCTGAAGGCACTGGCAGAACGCTAATTTCAACCCATTTTGCCATCCCAGCAGATGAATGAATAGCAAACCCGAGATTCTGCTCTGGTAAAACCAGTGATCCTTGATCTATCTTTGATAGGGAACCAAGTTACATGCATTGCCATCAACTCTGTGCTCCGTCTGTATAACATGTAACAATATGAATTTACAAAACATCTTTGGAGATTTCTAAGAAACTTGGAAGATGCTAACACTATTTAAAGGCAGTGCTGCTACAGTAACGAATGTAATAGACATCCCGTGTTAGATTAAAGGGACAATGTAGGCACCATAACTACTTCATCTCATTGAAGTGGTTATAATGGCCAGAGTCCACTGGCATGGCCCTTCCATTAAGCACTAAATGTTTTAATGATCAACTAGAACCCCCCCAGCAGCCCATCCCCTCTGTGCGGCTTGGACTAATGTTGGATCTTGAGCTGTAGTGTGCGCATGACAGGCATGAATCGGTTTTGGCAGAGATATGAACCAATACTGGCAACACTGGTTGCCAGGGGAATCTAGGTATAATAACGAATTCAATGAGATGAAATGGCTATAGTGCCCACAGTGTCCCTTTAATGTGATGTGCCTGATCCAACTCTTATGGGCTCCAGTTACATAACACAGGAACCACGTTCTGGTCCTGACCCAGGTGTTAAGCTTAAATCAACTTGTTAAAAAAAATAAAAATCTGTTTTGAAATCTCTTACCACATAACTATTTAACTTGATAGAGCTTGGAACTCAACAATTTAGAGGGTGAAACCTGCTATGGCTTTCAGAACTGAAACACTACTGACAAACAGGGTGATCGATTTAACTAGCAACTGCACAATATCTGGGCCCAAAAAGGTAGATCTCCACGTTATAGAACTACAACTCCCATGATGCTTTTCATGCCTCTGGAATATCTATAGAATGACAAAGCATCATGGAAGCTATAGTTTTAAAACATCTGGGGAATCTATTTTCTGGGCATGCCAGCACTAGGGAATTGGGGAAAATTTTATAATTTTTCCAGCTCCGGCCTAGTCAATTCTCTGCAATTTCTGGTTTAATAGATCACATTGCTTGACTATCTCATTTCACACACTGACCCACTCTTCCTTTCCTGCCAATTATTCTCCCTTATTATTGTTTTTATCAAACATTGGAGACTTACACATTGTATGGTACTGGTTTAATCAGGCAGCACATACCAAAATGTGGGTTACCTCACTGCGGTCTTTTTATAGATAGACCTACTTGATAAAAATTGCCAAACAACGCTATATGGGAAAACATGGTCTACATTAAAAGCAAAGTGTGTGTAGGATGTGGGGGAATATGATTACCATTTGGTTATTAATGACAGCTATGCTAAATCTTTTGTCTGTAACTTGTTGAATAAGGCTTGTACTCTACAGTCTATGGGCCAGTCTCTTGTAAAGTAGACTCACAAACCGACGTTTAAATAAAAAAATTAAAAAGTTTTTTTTATCGAATAGTGTGTGTTTAAATTTTTAACTTTGTATTTTAGAAATGATTCTCACTTTTTCCTCCCATGCCACGCTGGTCTCACTGCAGCTCAGATCATCAATCTTTAGGATCTTAGAGGCCAGGCTTCGCCAAACTCCGGCCCTCCAGATGTTGCTGAACTACAACTCATAATTCTCAGCCTATTTCATTAATAGAATCATGGGAGTTGTAGTTCAGCAACAACTGGAGGGCCGGAGTTTGGGGAAGCCGGTCTTAGGCAATCCAATGCTTTCTTGTAGGAAAGCATTTGGGAGACTATTGGGCATGCGCAGCAAAGCGCCACCCATCATCTCCTCTTAGAGATGCACTGAATCAATTCATCTCTATGAGAAACATTCAGTGCCTCCTTCCAAGTTCCCCTTTCTTTAATCATACTTGTTCTTATAATTTGTTGTAAAATTTGCAAAACTTTCAATAAAAACTATTTGAAAAGAAACATTCAGTGCCTCTATGCCAGCGTCTGTACACTGTGCGGCAATGGACTAGGAAGCAACTCTAGTGGCTCTCGTCTGAGTGACTTCCCATTACATATGTTACTAGGCAACAATGTAAAACTGCCTATAGACACCAGGAGCACAACATTAAGCTGTAGAGTTTCTGGTTACTCTAGTGTGCCCTTTAAAAAGAGGATATCTGTATTGATTGCACAGTTGCACATAACAGTTTTCATCCATAAATTCTGATTTAGATAGCGCAATAAAATCTGGGTGCACTGAGGCAAACATTTAATCTGAAAGAAAATCTCCAACATTTTTTCTTCGGTTTAATAAACTCTTTAAGTGATACAAATGATTTAACAGTATTGGATTATTTGGAAAGCGTATTAAAGCTAGTTCTGGAATTTGACAATTTTGGTCTCACTTTTACCAAACTTGCACAAAATAGTTTTTCTGTTTAGTCACCAATAGAGGAATATTCATTATGCAGAGCCGAAGCATCCAGAAACCAATACAGTAGTCATTTATAGGCTGAGTGTGCAAATTCATTGGGACAATGCAAAAAAAAAAAAACATACAGACTCCAGGCACCATAACCACTTCAAATCACTTGCGTGGTCACTTAGAGTAATCCTTTAAAATAGAAATTCCACATCTTCAACTTTAATGCTCAAACAAATTGTTTTGATGGGACTTTCCTTTCAAGCGGAACAATGACATTTGTTTTCCACCTATTTGTCTGCGGTACATACAGTGGAGGAATGGAATAAAATACCACAATCATCACACATAAGGACTCCTGGAACATTTGTACTTTGTATTCGATGCCGGGCAGAACCCAAAACAACCCTCACACGTTGGCTTGCTTTTAGCTATTAGAAAGGTCTCTTCTCTGCACGTTTGTTTTTAAGCATTTCTGATATTGATTGTGATGCGATAGGACTATAGAGGTTATCTTGGTCGTAGTAATGGGAAGAATGCCAAATGTATCAGTTTGTTTCTTGCAGAGAAGACATTAGCAAACCACAGTTAAGACAATGTGGTTTTGTGCTTTTATTTATAAAGATAAAAATGAGCCTCACCGGAAACTTGAAAGTGCTCAGAAGGATATTTAGTTTCATTTTAAATAAGCCAACGAAGTCTCAAGAAGTATTTAGGCTCAAGCTTTTCGGGCAGCTTCAATTCACAAAGTTCAGTCACAAGAAACTAATTGACAAATCCAAACCTGGCAATAGTCTTGCCGCTGTGTGACCTAAAACACGGATACAAGCTGTGGGTTCCTGTATAATTAAGTATTGAGGTATCTTTTAATACCATTTTTAATTGGACTAACAGATATTAGTAATGACAAGCTTGCGGGAGTTCCTACTTTTTATCAAGTCGAGAGCATTTGTTACAACAATGAAACAAACAAGACACCAAGAAAACCAACAAATATTCCAGTGTGTCACAAAACAAGTTAGGGAGTAGAGAGGCACCTGGAAGGAACCAATACACAAGCCTGCGTGTTGAAAATACACCCACGCACCAACACTATGGTTGTATGTATGTACATTACATGACTTATACAGCAAATGTGCAATATGATTAGAAAATAGATAGTGACAAACACACACATATATACATACACATATACATACACATATACATACATACATTATATATATATAAATAAAACTTTAGCCCTCCTACCTCAGGCCAATAATAACGGGTGCCCAGCCACACTGTAATACAGAAAAACTAACGATTGCCGGTACTCCTGGAAGTCCAACATCAAATAGTTTATTGTCAAGTCGACCTTTTAGTCCCTAACACAATGTGTGTCCTGATGAAAGTCCGAGGTTAGGGACTGAAACGTCAACTTGACAAACTATTTGATGTTGGACTTCCAGGAGTGCCTGCAAAAAACTAATAAAAAAAAAAAAAATTATATATATATATTTTATCTATCTTTCTAGCCACATGAAATCACATGCTGCATAGAAAAATGTGAAATTTGTCACAACCTCTTACTTTGGAGATAACAAAACTAAATTGCTTTGGAAGCAGTACCTTTAATAGTGACAACACACAGGCTGCATGTTTATTATTACAAAGACCACATTGTCAACAGGTACACTGGTGTGTAAAAAAGCTATTTATTTAAAAAAAAAAAAAATTATATATATGCCTATAATACAAATAGAAAGCAGTGTAGATCCACACTGTTCAATTTAAGTAGACATTATCCACATTTGTTTTGCATTTCCAGAGTCGTCCAGCCAAGAGCTATATACACACACACACACACACACACACGTCAGTTGTCCAGAGGGTGCTACGATAAAACATTTACAGAACAATTTTATGCACCGTCATGTAACCACCTTAGCATCTTTGTACAGAACAATTTCTTTTTTTTATACACTGACATGTAACCACTGTAGCATCTTGTTTATTAGCTGATGTGAAGCTAGATACGGTCCAAGACACAGACATGGATTCCTGAGAACTACAGGAGCTGAAAAGCAGTCAGAGCACATTGCATTTTTCTGTTTTAATAGACCAGGAGTAGACTAACTTGTTCCTTGGGGAAGGCCTTTCTTCAGTAGGGAGGTTAGAAAACTCCCCAGCTCTTCATCCTGGTTTAAAACAACAACAACAAAAAAAACATTACAAATTAAATCAACATTTACAAAAGGAAATAGAAAAACAGAAGTGGAAATAGGAGCATTAAGAAGATGTCATTAGGTATAGCCGCCCTACTCTATTGGTTATAGTGGTATAAGGGTCCCCACCACCAATCCTATAATGCCGTCCAAATACAGAGAAAAGAGATAATTCCACCTCCATGTTAGCTTAATGCAAACAGGTGGCTGAATGATGGGTCTTGCAGCTCACGAACTCTTGTTTTGGTCAATCTATTCAAAAACAACTTGACCCAGGTCTGGAGGACTGCATTACAATCACTACTGTTCCTTTAAGAAACAACAACCAGCAAATTAAACAAAAACACAAACAAATCATGAATGAAGCTACACAGAAAGTAAAAAAAAAGATACTTCTGTGTAATACAGGTCAAACACTTGTTTATGGGATGCACAGTGTGATTTGATTTTAAATTCATATTCTGTAAATATTGCCGCCAGGGATATATCACGTGCTGGTTATGAGCCCCGCGGGGGCAGTGTTAATAAAAAAAGGAAGAACCTGGAACTCCATGGTCCTTAGGGCCACAATGCGCATACATATCATGGAAGACTTGCTTGGGGTCACCATTTATTTGTTTATCCTGTCTGTCTTGAATATTCTGTGAGACGACTTACCATCGGCAAAACTACAGGAATGCTGGGGAGATCTGCATCTGCATTGAATGCATGGCTAAAACGGTATGAACTTCACACAAATGTTGGCTCGTACAGTAGTTTATAGCTTTGCTTCCTTTTTATAATCCGTTTTAATGATTTATGATTTTATTGATTAATGGTTTATTTCTACTACAGAGATATTTTGTAGTAAGTACATTCTTATTAAAAAGGGAACCTTGAACATTATTCCAATTAAACTAGAAATCACAGAACCATTAAATTAAGCAATAATTAGATTTTGACCAATACTCAACCAAGGAATATAGGAGACATCTGGCATCCTGTGGGGGATATGGTTGAAGTAGGATGGCTTCATTAAGGCTTCTCTATCCCTCCTTAAAGTTACACTCTGTTCCCCACCAGATGCCGATCACCCGTGCATTCCACTGATTGTGGATTGGTACCTATCATTTTGATTCCTAATGGTTCTTCTGGATTAAGAAATGACGTAATCATTTTGACATCCTGAATAATAAAGTGTTTTAAAAACTGACTGCTATGAATATATTAATAAGGAGCTTGCACTATGGCCAGAGCCATTCCTAGTATACATTATACAGATTGTACAGTGTTTCCAGTACGATTGTAGCATTTCCAATAGAAAATCGTGACTGATTGTAGTCAGTTCTGTTATTTTAGATCTGGTGACAGCTCAGAAAATGAGCTTAGCAGCTAAGCAGAGGTTTGTCATCAAGCAGGAAGGAAAAGCAAAATGTAACAGAAGTTATTAGACTTTTCTCCTGTTGCACAGGACATGCCCCATGGGAATTAATGTAAGCTGGGTGACTGCAATAATATTTAAACTACTTGGCTTAAAGAGACATTCCAGACCCCTAAAGAACTTTAGCTTGCAGAAATGCATGTTGAGCTTTTTTTCATTTTACAAAAAGTGCAGAACTCGATTGAAATGGCACTTTTAGAAATTAGCCTGGTTACACTCCACAGCTGTCAGAAAAACAGTCCAGTTACTTTCTGGTTGTTTATCTCAAGTGGAGCTAAACTCAAGAGGCAGCAATTGCCCAGAGTACCTGCCTTGCAAAGACTTCTCATTGAGCTGCATTGGAAGCCTGTGATTGGACAGCCACAGAAAATCTGGGCGGGGTTAGAACGGGAGGGTTTACAAAGGCAGCAGACAAGAGACCTGCAACTTTTGCATAGTGTTTTTAGATATACCTATAATAACAAAAAACTATTAAAAGCATGCATATTTTCATTAGGGCATATCTACTAAATTGTGATTTTTGCACTCTGCACATGCCTTTGAGATTAGCTCCACAGAGCTAAATAACCAGGAAGAAACGCCTTTCAACTGCCTGACAGCCAGGGGAGTGTTTTACATTTCATTTAAATAAAAGAAAAATGCAGATTTCAATTGAAATCAGCACTTTTATAAAAATAATGAAAGAACACATTCTACATTATTAAGCACTTCAGCAAACTGAAGAGATATTGTGCTTGGAGTGTTGCTTTAAGCATCTCTAAGTAGAGATAACGCATATATAAATAGAGATACCTTGGTATGTACAGAATATTGAACCAGAGAGGATTTCAAAAAAATAAAAATAAAAAAAAAAGTTTGTTGAAGACATGCCGCCAGCCTCTCTAATGGCTATACATGTTCCATACACATATGGCTACAGATTGTCCTGTGCAGGCGCTCTATCATGATGCTACGGACCTCAACAACACCACGGGAATGGTCTAGCAATTTCAGCCATCCAATCAGTGACTCATTGACAAATCTACAGCGGCAGCAGTGAACCTACAGCATATGCTTGCTGGCTAGTTTCCAATGTTTTTCTGTAAACATCACTTCTACAGGGCCACGAGAGATACTAACCGTGCCGCTGCTACTGTGATGGTGTGTGTGGGTATTTACAGCTACTTTTAGTTTCCTACTTTAGGAAAAAAAACACATAGGAAACTAATTCTAGGAGGAGCTGTATTTATTTTTATTATTTATATATTTGGACAATTCCCACCAAAGGTCCCTATTACTTTAGCTGCATGAAAGTGAAGAAAATCACAGAAATTGAACTTGGAAAACACCTGAAAGACCAAAACAATTTGACTTTATGAATTTACAAAAAAAAAAAATCCAGATCTGCTTTTATTTCTTCTAATGTTAAATCTGGATTGTTTTTTCTATAATTTCATGTAGGTCCCCGTGGTGATGCCAAAACAGCTCTGATACATTGAGGCATGGACTTCACAAGACCAATACATTAGCTGTATATCACTATAGGCACCCAGATCACTTTAGCTCAATGAAGTGGTCTGGCTGACAGGTCCCCCTAGTTTTAACCCTGCAGCTGAAATCATAGTGGTTTTGAAACTGCTATGTTTACACAGCAGGGTTAATCCAGCCTCTATTGGCGGTCTCCCTGACAGCCACTAGAGGCCGCTTCGATTTACACTGAGTAAATTGCACTTATCTGATGCTGTACGTCCTCACAGAGTCCAGCGTCAGATAAGATCCCCATAGGAAAGCATTGATTAATGCTTTCCTATGGGCGGGTCTGAATGCTCGTGCGCCTCTGGCCTCGCATTCGGCTCCACTCAGGAGCGGACGTCGGCAGGGGAGGAAAGGTCATCGGCACCGAGAAAGCCTGGCGCTGGCTTAAGGCAAGTTTAACCCATTCAGGGCCGGGGGATCTCCAAAGCCTATATATAGGATCCCTTTAACTTCTGCAAGTTGTGAGGTGAGGCCTCCATGGGTCGGATTTATTTTTCAATCACATCCTGCAGATGCTCAGTGGGATTGAGATCTGCAGAATTTGGCGGCAGACATTTTCCATGCACGTAAAGGAGCAGTGTAAGTATAACCACTATATGCATGTTCCTTATGATGTTAGTAGGCTATAGGCAAAAAGACCCAACAGTGCCAAAGTGTATTTATTCTCTTCATCAGATGGACAATGAAGGTCTCCAAGACAGCCAAAGCCAAACTCATGTTCACTGGGATATTCCACTTCTGCATTAACAATATCAATTTCCGACTGCCAAGAACGCCATTCAAACAGAGGGAATCGACATTGCTCATGCAGAACTGGAACTTTTCATATTAGCAAACTACCAAGAATGTCACGGTTTGGACAGTGATTCGGAATACGGAACTCACAGTCTAATTCACCAGAACCACTACAATGGAGTGTAATGGCTATAGTGCCTAGACTGCTCATTTAAAATAAATATTTTAAAATCCCCAGAGTATATACATACTGTTGGCAAGTCGGAAAAAGCACATAATGCAAACACAATTTAAATTAAATTATCTGTGCAAGTGTAAAAATAGATCAACCTGATAGGTCCAGGATATAAGGAGAACCTTTGTTGCTGAATCATCTGAGTGAGTTGACACTTGAAGAAGAATAGATTCCACCATGATAGATCCATCAGGCAGCTGCTGTACAGTTCGATCTTTAAGTACACTGCAGAGGAAGTGCAATTTCATTATTAGTGGTAGACCAAATGGATAGAAATAAAACACCGTCTACATCTACATTTTTCTAGTCAGGTGCCAAAAAGTTTGAGGTGAGATCAAAACACCCCACAGTGTAAATAAAAGAATTACTGTTGTGCTTCGCCGGAATATCTCAAGTTAGATGTTGGAAAGACGCCATTGGACACAAACGTGAAAAAAAGATTCCCCAACTATCCCAGAGTTCCCAGCTTAATATGCAAATGAGCACAAACTGGCATCATGTTTCAGACTTCATACTGCATATACCCTTAGTACTGGAAGCTGTATTAAACACAACTTTTATTTTATTTTTAACCATAGCATGGGTTGTGATCCAAAAGAACGAATAATCAGCCATTGACATTAGTTTTTACCTGGTTCGTCTCATCAGTAGGACGCCAGTTCTGGTCTGGAATTTGAAGTCTCTCAGAGTATATAGCTAGGTGTTTCAGTGCCCAGGGGTACTTTCCAAAGTCCAATCTGAAATATGCAGGTGATGCACAACAGTAATTTTTCTATTTGCACTTTGGGGAGTTTTTATTTTTTGTTTGTTCTAACCACAAGCTTTTTGGCACTTTAGCTAGGAAAGTTTGTTTTCATTTTATATTGACCTGGGTCTCAGAGTTACCTTTTTAGATGAGTATATATCCGTGATACAGTCTCTGGTTCTTTGTGTGCATCTTGAATGTGCAATCTGCAGGTGAATCGAAGCTGGTGCTCCCCGATGCCAATCTCTTTCAGAGCCTGCTCAGGTGAAACTAGGCGCAAAGTCTTCAGAGAGAGACAAGATCTCTTACTTTGTATACAAAGCGCATTCTTACACTAGTTTAAAGACATCTTACGGTGTGTACAGAATAAAGGATAAATGTAGATAACCTTGTGTTGCACGTGTGTTTTAGTGCAGTGTCACAGTAATAGACATAGTTTGTATACTTGAAACCCGGGCCAAATTGTATGTCGCCAGCCAAGAATGGTTTCTTAGGATCCTATCGTGTTTTATGCACTCCTTGCATCTTACCCACCCCTTGTGTCACTTATGCCCCATCATGGCTTCTATCCCTTGTGCCTCTAACCCATCTTCTTTCCTTATACCCCCATAGAGTCTTACCCCCACTTTGTGTCTCTTATGCCCACCTTCTATCTCCTATACCCCTTGTGTCTCCTAAGCCCATTGTGTCTCTTATCATCCCATGTCTCCAACACCCTCTCCTCCTTGTATCGATTACTTTTCTGTAGCGTTGCATCACAAACCGTGAGCTTTATTATTCCTTATGTGGGCTGAAAAAGCAGTTTGCATGGAGTGGCAGGTGGTTGCTCTGTGCCCCCTCCTCCAACCGGTCACTAGTGGCAGACTTCCTTCCTCCCTCGCACTTAGTACACCACTGGCCAAAGTACTGCTTCCTATTGAGGTCTTAACACATCCATTTTATAGTAAGTGGCTCAGCGAGTGGAGCCAAACTGGGTGTTTTTAATTAATGGAGAGGGGAAAAAAAAAAAATATCCACCTTCCCCTCCTCATGATGCTCTGTAGGAATATTGGTTACTCTATATTTTCCTGTAGTGTTCCTTTAAAAACTATCAATCTCTGACACTATCAAAGCTCATACTTGAGAGATGTTTGTAATGGATTAACATCAACTAAGGGTAAATTCTCTGGTAGTACCTTGCTGATAAGCATCCTTACTTACATTATCCTTCATTATAAGCATCCCATGCATCAGTCTAGGTTTCTTGCAGTCTGGTCCAAAGCCTAAAGGTTAAATAGGAGAAAACTTGGATGAAGGAAACAAACTCACAACTCACAGATGTTTATCCAATTGCAGTTTAAATACTTGAAAACAACATAACATACAGGGATATAATTTATACTTAGTGGGGTAATAGCTGCTTGATCCAAGGAGACATCTGACTGCTATGTTGGGGCCAAGAAGGAATTTTTTCCTAGTTTGTTGCAAAATTGGAAGTGCTTCAGACTGGGTATTTTGCCTTGTTTTGGATCAACAGCAAAAACATATGTGAGGAAGGCTGAACTTGATGGATGCAAGTCTCTTATCAGCTATGTAACTTTGTAACTACAACAGTAGACATTAGCAAGAGCAGTCTGCTCAGAATGTATTCATTGTCAGGGTGTCAACATACAGCAAAAACAGTCTCATCTGTAAACGTACCTGTCACAATGTACGTTACCTATGTTTTGTTTAGATAGAATGCAATATTTTTTGATATATTGTTGTATTGGAAAATGGGTAGCTACTACATGGTGTTTTCGTCTAAAATTGTTCTATGTCCACCTTTACCACTACTTTAAAGGACCACTATGGTGCCAGGAAAACACTTGTTTTCCTGGTACTATAGTGCCCTGAGGGTGCCCCCACCCTCAAGGTCCTCCTCCCGCCGGGCTGGATGGAGAGGAAGGGGTTAAACTTACCTCTTTCTCCAGTGCCGGGCGGGGAGCTCTCCTCCCTCTTCGTCTGAATGCGCATGCGCGGCAGGAGCCGCGCGTGCAGCCAGTCCATAGGAAAGCATTCACAATGCTTTCATATGGACTCTGGCGTCTTCTCACTGTGATTTTCAGAGTGAGAAACGCGGAGGCCCTCTAGCGGCTGTCAATGAGACAGCCACTAGATAACAATAAAATGCACTGGTGAAGAAATCCTAAAAAGAAAAAGTGGTGCTACAATCACCTTAGTGGAGCCACAGAAACCACTAAATAAATACAAGTGACAGTTTAAAATATAAATGGTGAGAGCACTCAAATAAAACAAACAATAATATTACCCAAACTTGGTTAAAATCTGGAAGTAAACACAGATAAACACACATACGGTAATAACGTAACAATAAGAACTTAAAGACTTGAATACTGGTCTCACTCACATAAAAAGAGCCACTTAAATAGCTGGCTCAAACTGCATGCCTTGAATCAAACTCTTATTGGGCTTTCACTGGGTCCTTTCTGCAGTTATATTCCATGCACCACCAAGAAACGCAGGTCCAAGGGGTAACAATACATTTTATTATCCAAAATAAATAAAATATAACAGATATTAAAAGAAAGTCCCTTCATATATAGAAGTCCAAAAAGCACCTGACGTGTTTCGGCGGTCAGCCTTCGTCAGAGGTGATAATTATGATCCATGGCATGCTGTCTTTTATCCCTGTCCCTCGCGCCCTTTTTTGCCGCATTCGCGGCACTTTACTTCCGGGTTTCCCGTAATATTATTGTTTGTTTTATTTGAGTGCTCTCACCATTTATATTTTAAACTGAGACAGCCACTAGAGGCTGGATTAACCCTAACATAAACATAGCAGTTTCTCTGAAATTGCTATGTTTATAGAAAAAAAGGTTAACCCTAGATGGACCAGGCACCCAGACCACCTCATTAAGCTGAAGTGGTCTGGGTGCCTATAGTGGTCCTTTAAAAAAACACACCTCTGGCTTCATAACAAATTCTCAAGAAAGTGACCCAGCACTTGGCTTAGCACATCTTGCAAGAAGGAAAGAGAAAACTATACGATTTCCTAGATTTAAAAGCAAGGAGCAAGACAGGTTGGATAGGGATCTGACAAACTCACTCTGTGCACTCTCTTTCAGGAGGTTCAAAGAGATATCCACTGGTATGTTTGGGTTTGTGCTGATGGTGGAGGTCTCTCCATTGCATGGCATGAAACATGTAATTCCTGTGGAGAAAGCACACAACGCAATGAATAACTTCTAAAAATAAACATCTAATACATTACAACTGGATAGACATATGGTGGGGATGGACAAATGGTGGAAAATTTAGACCAGTAATTAAAAATGAAAATAGAGTTGGACATTTTCCCCTTATCTGGCTTTTTTTTTTTGTCTAAAATGTTCATGTCAAGTCTACACAAATCCCAACTTACAGGGCTATTTACTTAAATAAGAATTCAAAATGAATTTCAAATGTAAGGCCAAAGCAACCAAACTGGAAGACTTTGAGAACTTAGAGAATTATATGAGTTTGGCTATTTTCTCCTTCAAATTAGAAATAGGCTTTGAATTCTCAATTTAATAACGTACCCTGTTAGTGAATAACCTCTTAGGAGAATGTTATGCAAGAATGTTTGTAAAGTGATAAAATGTGCAGGGTTCAAGAAGTTGCCGACTTATATAACAGCTGAACAGCACAGATGGTATGGTTTAGTGCTAGAAGGAAATTCATTTGAGAAAGACTCTGCACATTGAGAGGACACACAGCAAGAATCAACCAGGGTGAAAATCATAAATATAAATGTTGATCTATCTACTCTAGTGCTCTTATGTAAATTGTCACATATTACATGTTCAGTACAAAAGAGGATACAGCACACTCTCTTATCCCTGATCACAAGCACATAAATAAAGCACATTCTGAAAGATTACTGAAAATAAGGTAGAAGGGAAAATAAATAGTTTACTGGTCTCTAAACATTAACTTTTAAAGATATCGGTCTCTAGCCAATATGTGTCTTGCTTTCAACTCCGCAAAGCTGGTGCCCCAAGCAGATTCCCACTTCTCCCGTTTAAATGAAACATTGCATTACTGGTGGAACTGAAGCAGATCATGGCTTCTGACAAAGCAATATTGAAAGCCTAAGCAGTTATCATAGGGGTAATATAGGCTGTGTAAGAGGACCTGGCAGATATTAAAACCTAGCATGCCTCAAAAATAGCCTCTGGACCCATGTGCATGGGACACTAGCTGTCTGGCCTGAGGACAGAAAAAGGTGGAATCGTTTTTTTATTTGGAAGCTTCTCTTAAGAAGTAGCTTGTAGCAATCCCTTACAGTTTTATTTGAAGATTAATGCATGCCATACTGCCACCCTTCACAACGTGAGTTTAAAAGTCCTATTTTGGATTTCGAAAATCCACTGGGGGTCCAACATTGGATACATGTGAAAGCAAACTAAAAAGGGGAACTGTCACTTCCCAAGATGTGAAAACTTAAATTAAAAGTAGAAACTTCCCACCCTCTTTATTCTGCAACTGGTCACCTAAAGTTTTGCCCTCTGACATTATAAACACCTGGCATTCAGCACAGAGAAATATTATACAGAAGAAGAGAAAACCAACAATGTTTCTATTCCTCCTTATCATTAGCAATGTTTGCCCTGGGACTACCTCCCCTAAACTGGATTATATTGTGAATCTTTTAAAGGGACACTATAGTCACCATGAACAACTACAGTTTAACGTAAGGTACTGGTGTCCACAGCCTGTCCCTGCAGGCTTTTAAATGTAATCATTGCCTTTTCATAAAAATGCAGTCTTTACATTGCTGCCTAGTAACACCTCCAATGGCAGTCACCCAGATGGCTACTAGAGGTGCTTCCTGGGGCAGTGCGGTACCTACGTTCAGCAGCTCACGCTCTGCATGGAGATGCTGAACGTTTCCCCATAGAGATGCATTGATTCAATGCATCTCTTTAAGAAGGTGCTGACTGGCGCTGTGCAGCGTTTTTCTGTGCAAGCGCAATAGCCTCCTATAGCTTTCATATGGGTAAAGCATTGAATTGACTGAAATCAAGATTGTGATCTCAGCCACGGAGGCGGAGCCAGCCACGGCAATACTGGTGCGGCGTGGGAGAAAAGGTGAGACAATCACCTTTTTATTGAGATCCGAGGGGGGCCAGAAACCTAAACAGCAACTTCTGGATCAGTATGGTCCAGAAGTTGCTGTTTGTATTCCAGACACTACCGTGTTCCATTAATATAAATTCTAACTGCAGTTCTAAGCCAGTCTATCTGGCCCAGACAGAGCTCAGTAGGGGTTCCCACAAGTGTACAGGTTAGGATTTAATTTATTAATACTTCTTTGGCAAGTTACTATTTGGTCAAGTTCATGGTTTCCTACATTTAGGCGACCTGGAACGTGGCATTCCTTTTGTGTCCTCAATCAAACTAATATCAATCCAATATACTAGAAATTGTATTTTAGTTACAGAAATCAATTCCATTTATCATGTAATGATATGTATATATTCATGCGCACGATTTCTGTAACTCAAAATATTTAGGGAGAAAATAAATAAATCACATAAAACTAGACACCTGGGCCACCCAATTGCCATCACTGAAACCCTTCTGTGATCTTGCTGAAAGAAAACACATCTACCACTCTGTCAAAATATAACAAGCTGGAAGTTACTCGCCACATGCCCAGAGGATTAGTGTTAAGCAGCCCAGTTTGATAAATGTTCCATTTACTGCATAGGCTTCACATAGGCTGGGCAAATGGCAGAGGGTAATCTTATTGCAAACAAGCACTCACGAAACTCTTGCTCTATTTTCTGTTTCAGAAACTCCATCTTTTTGGCCTCTCCGTGTACCAGTAGCACATTCTGTGGTTCTGCCTGACGAATCAGCTGCATAATTCCTTTAGCATCAGCGTGGGCACTGAAGGACATGTATTCCACCTGCATTTTAACTTCCAGCTAATGAAAAAGAGGATGGGAAAAAAACCATTAGAGACTACACCTGCTAAATAGAGCCCTAAAGTATATTGTAGGACCTTGAAATCAATGGAGCTCACCGTCTGCCTGCCTTCCATTTCTAACTTGCGTTGACCACTGAGGATTTTATGACCCACCGTGCCTTGTACGCAATAACCAGGCATAATCACCTGCAAGGGGAAAACAAAGCTAGTCATCTTACAAAAAGTCTGTGCAATCTGAACCCCCCCCCCCCAAAAAAACGACAAGGCCCAGCAAGATTACACCAAAGAATGAAATCTAAAACACGTAAGCCCCTTTAAGGCAGCCTTAGCACTTTTAGAACACAGACATCTTGTTTTTGCTCTGTAAAGAACAACAAAGAATCTCAGATATTTGTCAAGATGATATGGACTCGAACAAAGAATATCAAGAGATTTTTTTTTTTTTTTTTTAAAACAGCGCTCATCCACTGATTATCAAAAGGGGACTCACCATGTTTTTTTCATTTCCTGCCCATTTGCGGAAAATCTGCAAGGACTGACCAGCATGCAGCATTCCTGGGGTTGCAAACACCACCTAGTAGAAACAAACTAAACAGGTTATTTTCTCAACAATTCTAGTTAGAAAACAAGAAATTTAAAGCAAAAACATAGGAGCAGGCACAGCTGGCCTTTCCAGTACTTAAAAAAACACATGTGCAGGCTATACAAATCTACAGCTTGCCGTAGTGAAGCGTTTAAATTGCATACCTATGGGGGAGCACAATCACTTCTGATACCACCTTTCACAAGACTGAAGGAGCAATCAGTAAAATGATAAATATAGTTCCTGCCTGCCAAGTCCTGGGCTACATGTCCATATGTCTGATTGGCAGTTCTAGCATCACTGGTCCTTGAGTCTAAATTATTAGTCTAGATTTAACATCACTTCCAAATTATTGCAGTCTACTTTTGATGAATATTTTTCTGAAAAACCACACTAGAAAGTGAAAAAAAAGCAACATCATATTTTTATGTCTGAGTCTTATGACTTCTTTGTTATAGGTGTGGCATTTGTGAACGAAAAGTGTGCATAACACAGAACGTTCAATCAATATAGGTTGGCTGTCACACTGCTTCTGTGTCAGAAAAACACAGGACCACGTACGAACAGCTGCACAGAACATGCATTCTGTAAGTCAGATAGCAACCCACCATTGGACCTGGGTTGTCGGCAAACGCCCTGTCAAAAGCCTTTATGTGCTTAAATTCAAACATGTTCCTCTGTACAAATGTTTTCCTAATCTTCTGGTTGGTCCAAGTGATGAAGAGTTTGTAGTAATGGTTTGCTTTCTCGGTTAGGCCTGTAGAGAAGTAAATTGGGGCTTTCAGGTTCATCCGCTCCCTGAAAACAGAAACACGGGAATTTCAGTGTGTGTATATATATATAAAAAAAAAATAAAAAAAATAATGTCTGCGCACAATTACAAGGAATAAAAAACAAATTCATAAACATACAATATGACAGTCTTACATGCACAATGCAAAAACTATTGTAAAGTGGACCCATAATACGAGCTATTAGAGTAGCATAAAATGACATTGACACACAGAATGGAAAAATGGAGGCAACAAAATAGCTCATCAGGGAAAAAAAAAAAAAAACCAACAACTCCCCAACTCAGCCATAGTCACAGTTTGGCGATGTTTGCCTCAGTTTTGCCATTTGCGAGTTTAGTGAATAAGCCAGATAGTGTCAGTAGTACAGGGCTTGACCAATTTCTTTGGATCCTAGGAGCCAGCTAAAAAAAAGTTAGGAGCCATTTTTTTTTTTTTTTAAGGGGCACTATAGTCACCAGAACCACTATAGCTTAATGTATTGGTTCTGTTGCCTATAGCCTGTCCATGTAGCCTTTTCAATGTAAACGCATTTTTAGAGAAAAGGCAGTGTTTACATTGCTGCCTACTAAGACTGCCAGTAGAGAGAGTCCTGTATCAGTGTTCTGCATGGACGCGCTGAATGTTACCCATACAGAACATGCGCAATATCCTCCCAATGCTTTCCTATGGGAAAGCATTGGCTTAGCTGAGATCATAAAGATTGATAAACTCGGCAATGGAGGCGGGTCAAGCCATGGCAAAACCTGCACAGCATGGGAAAAAAAGGTGAGTAAAAACACCAATCATGTGATCGCAGGTACCTAAACACACACACTTTTTTTTTTTGTTTTTTTAATTTTAATCCACCCAGCCTCCTTACCTTTTGGACTTTCCCTGGGGTCCAGTGGAGCTGCTCTCTCTCTTCCTGTGTGAGAGGGAGCAGTTATCTACCATGCAGCTCCTCTCTGCTCCCTGTGATGCCAGGGCCGGAATGATGTCATATTCCGGCTCCTGGCATCACTAAACAGCACAAGTGAGCAGAGAGGAGCTGCTGGAAAATCACTGCTCCCTCGCACGCTGCCCCAGCCAACCGCCTTGTTGCTCCACTGAGCCGACCGCCTCCATAAAACCCAGGGCGGCCAGCTACAACGCTCACTCAGCCGGCCGCCTCCATGAAGCTCAGGGCGTCCGGCTACAATGCTCACTCAGCCTGCCGCCTACATGCTCCCGCTGGTGGACGGCCGGCTCCATTATTTGCCCTGCCGGGCGTTTTAGATAAAAAGCTGACAAATCCCAGGCACCAGGGAAAAAATTTTAGTCGCCATGGCGACCTGGGATTTGTCGAGCCCTGCAGTTGTAGGTTTTGGTCACCATCACCATTTATCTCTTCTTGTCCAGATGGAGTCCTGCCAACATCACACACTTTTTCAGCTACAATTATAATATGTTAGTGGAGTTCTCACATTAATTGCAAATCCATCCAACCTGGCCTCAAAGATTGGCTGAAAGGGTTGTCTTAACCCAAATTCTCTCAACAAACTATATACAATGCACTTTTTTTATAATCCACAATTATTTTAAGCAATGCTGCACACTGCTGTAGATTTTGAAACCAACACTTTAGTTACAGTGAGGGGGAAAGTATTTGATCCCCTGCTGATATTGAACTTTTATAATTTTAATGTTTTTTTTTGTTTTGTTTGTTTTTTTTAACAGTGAGAGACAGAATAAGAAAAAAATAAAAATCCAGAAAAAATGCATGTCAAAAAAGTTATGAATTAATGCATGTCAATTAATGAAATAAGTATTTGATCCCCAATCAATCAGCAAGATTTCTGGCTCCCGGGTGTCGAGCTGAGATTAATCTAATCTCAGCTCATTACCTGTATAAAAAGACACCTGTCCACAGAAGCAATCAATCAATCATATTCCAAACTCTCCACCATGGCCAAGACCAAAGAGTTGTCCAAGGATGTCAGGGACAAGATTGTAGAACTACACAAGGCTGGAATGGGCTTTTCACCAAGCCAAGCAGCTTGGTGAGAAGGTGACAGCAGTTGGTGCGATTTTTCGCAAATGGAAGAAACACAAAAAACGGTCTGTCTCCCTCAGTCTGGTGCTCCATGCAAGATCTCACCTTGTGGAGTTTCAATGATCATGAGAACGGTGAGGAATCAGCCCAGAACTACACGGGAGGATCTTGTTAATCATCTCAAGGCAGCTGGGACCATAGTGGCTCAAGTAGAAGCATGTTAAGGTCCTGGAGTGGCCTAGCCAGTCTCCACACAATCCCATAGAAAATCTGTGGAGGGAGCTGAAGGTTCAAGTTGCCAAACGTCAACCTTGAAACCTTAATGACTTGGAGAGGATCTGCAAAGAGGAGTGGGACAAAATCCCTCCTGAGATGTGTGCAAACCTGGTGGCCAACTACAAGAAACGTCTGACTTCTCTAATTGCCAACATGGGTTTTGCCACCAAGTACCAAGTCGAAGGGGCCAAATACCGTATATACTTGAGTATAAGCAGAGTTTATTGACATTTTTTGTGCTGAAAAAGACCCTCTCTGCTTATACTCGAGTCAGTGTCGTTATTATGGCAACTTACAAGCCCGGCGGTCCTGTTGGGGGGCTGGCAGGAAGCGTTTACTTACCTTTACAGCAGCTCCGTGCAGCTCCCCTGCGGCCGTCAGAGCGTTGCCACGGCAATGCTCCACGCGGCACGCAGGCCGCGAGACTTACACTGTGAGCTGAATGGGGGAGCTGCACGGAGCTGCTGTAAAGGTAAACGCTTCCTGCCAGCCCCCTACTGCACAGCCCATCCACTGGACCACCAGGGATTGCCATAGCCCCACTCCCTGGCCAGGTATTAAGCAGGGAAGGGGGACAAAAAAATTAATTCATTTTATAATATTAAAATAAATATAAAATATTAAAATAAAATTAAAAATAATAAAAATGCCCTCCCAGTTTACACACACACTACATTCATTATATATATACACACACACACTACATTCATTATATATATATATATATATATATATATATATATATATATATATATATATATATATATATATATATATATATATATATATATATATATATACATATATATATATATATATACATACACACACACATATATATACACATATATATATATATACATATATATATATATACACACACACACACACACTACATTCATTATATACACACACTGCAATAAGTTTCCCCAGTTTTTTGTGGTAAAATTAGGGGCCTCGGCTTATATTTAGGTCGACTTATACTAGAGTATATACGGTACTCATTTCACTCATTGACATGCAAATCAATTTATAACACTTTTTTTTTTTTAATTCTTTATTTTTGTTGTTCAAAAATGTGTACAAACAGGCCCGCAGTGCTATGATGTCAGTAACAAGCAAATCAATGCATTCAGTATCATGACATAGGATGGAACTGCACAAATTTAAACAAGTAAAAACAGTGTAATGTAGGTCTCTGCAGAAGATAAGCGGGTGGTACGAAACAGGTATATAAACTGGCATTTTTGGTATTTAAAAAAAAAAAAAGGAATAGTATTATAATAAGATAATAAGAGCATGCTTCACAGGTATAACCAGCTTCTGAATTATATGTTAGCTTGGGATTGTATATAAACGGGTAATCGTTCAGGCAATTTACACATATAGCAACATGGGAAGCCTGTTGGGTAGGTATGGGCCTTAATTTTAGGTTGCAAGCCATGTGGCTGCTGGTCAAGGTTGCCCCTTGTATAAGTGTATGGGTCAAAAAGCAACACCATGCTTTTATGCCGCTGGGTTGAGACAAAAATACAGAAGCCATAGGCCACAAATACCACTGGGTAAGACAATGTGTATGGAGTTTAAAAAGGAACTAAAAAAAAATAAAATAGTCTAAGAAACAGTAGTTCAATCGTGTTACCAGTTGCATTGCATAGCTTTAGCTGGTTGAACCGGACCTCTAGCTGTCTGGGCTCAAGTTGTGTTATGGGAGCTGTAAACCAGGAAGAAATATTATTTAGTGCAGTATTACCCGACGCTGACTGTGAGCTGTATCTCTGGTACTCGCTATGTACATTTAGGGTTAAGGTGTGTCGCTGGGCATTTTGCATCTTAGTAGCTACTAGATCTTGTGCCGGAGATCCTACTGGAGAGATCTGATTGGTCTCTGTGGTGTTCTTTGGGGCTGTGAAGACCCTGAATGATGAGGAGTGGGCCCTGTGGCGTGTAGTAGTTTGATCCCTGTAAATAGTGTGACGCTGTAGTGTTTGGATTGTTGGGAGCCTATATGTCCCTAAGTGGGCATCTAGTAGTGCGTGAGTGAGGCGGTGTGCGATTGTTGCCTGCACTGGATTTGGGAGATAGTGAGGCTCTTGCTTGGTGTTCCCCTAACCATGGGGGATGCGGGAGGGGGTGTCGCAGGCTCCCTTACTCGCGGGGTTGGGGGTTGTAACGCCTCTCCTGTGTTTCCGGTCTTAAGAAGACCCTGATAGTGATGCAAGCATTTGTAAGTGTATCAAACAGGAATAAAAACTTGTAACAAAATACTTGAACAAAAACAGTGATGATGCGGCCCTTGGTTGTTTGCATGAGCCGTGTCCAGGTAATCAGTCATGTCCCATTCCGTGGTTCTTGTTGTTGGCGTCGTGGGGTGAAGGGGACTATGGTGGTCGGGTCCCACGAGTGGTTGCTGGCTGAGTCATCAGGAGGTGCGGAGAGTGCCAGTCTCCCAAATAGGGCTGGAGCTTCCACTGCCGAGAATATAATGTGAGCTGTTCCGTTGTGGAGCACGCGGAGCGATCTTGGTGGCGTCCAGTGGTATGCTATTCCAGCGTTCCTGAGCAGGCTTGTCACTGGGAGCATTGTGCGCCTCCACTGTAAGGTGGACCGTGATAGGTCTTGATAAAACGACAGGCCTCAGCCCTCAAACTGGTAACGCGTGTGGTCTCGTAGTGCTGCCAGGAGTGTCCGCTTGTCTTGTGTGGATGGGCAGTGGATGAGGATGTCGCTGACAGCAAGAGATGGGGCCCTGGCTGATTTTGGTAGGTGGAACACACTGTCGTTACTTTTTTGGCTTGTGTTGGAGGTAGTAGTGAGGTCACTAGGCGCCTTAGATAGTGGGGCAGTTCTTCCATTGTAATAGTTTCAGGTACCCCCCTGATTTTCAGGTTATTGCGTCTGGAGCGATCATCTAACGTAGTAAGTTGTAAGGAGAGTGCTTGTTGGGCTTTCCTCACTTCCTGGAGCGAGTCTCCCATGGTGGATACTGCTTGCTTCACATCTATGTCTTCTTCTGTGGTACGGACCCTGTCAGTCACCATTTGCAGATCTGTCTGTCAGCTAGAAGTGCTTTAATGTCCTGCTTAGTGGCTAGATTGGAGAAGTCAGAGTAAGGTGGTGCTGCTTGCTCATACCCCTGATGCTCAGATTGAGGCTGTGCCTCCTCCTGTGTGGGAGCCTGAGGTGTAATGGTGGTTGTACCGGCTTCCAGCGTCGCCATCTTGCTTTGGGCCAGTTTCTGGAGCATGTCCCCAATGTCAATTTATAACTTTGACATGTGTTTTTCTGCTATTCGGTCTCTCACTGTTAAAATGCACCTACCATTCAAATTATAGACTGATCATTTCTTTGATAGTGAGCAAACGTTCAACAACAGCAGGGGCTCAAATCCTTTTTTCTCTCACTATACACAAGTCAAGGACATGGTGAGAAATTCATCTTGGTATTCAACACAAGCAACATAAGATTAAGGTGTTGTATAAGGTGTATAATGAATCATAGTAGTGGTAGAACACTTTTGGATTCAGATGTACTTCTGTTTTACATAATAATGTATTTGGTATATAAATAAATGCAGATTGCACTTCGAGACACAAAATTATTAAACCCTGAGAAATTCTTACCAGAAGGTTTCCAGTAAGATGCACAGTTCCTGAGCACGTCCTAGAGCGAATACAGGAATGAGAACCTGACAAGAAAAAGATAATACATGATGATGTTTGGTCTAAAAAAAAAAAGTAGTCAATTTTGACTTGGAGTAATGTCTCCTGCATTAAAATATCCTCTTTAGCAATGCGTGTTTTAAAACCTCTGGCCAGGATTGGCTACTATTGACACCTCTGGTATATCAGAACTGCATTTGCCATGACACAAAGACTGGTGGAGCATCATGGGAAATGTAGTTTACATACATCTAGAGTTAGTCATCACTGCCTTAAACTGTTCTACCAGCAAAATTAAATAGTATATTTTATACTGCTAAAACATGTAAACGGTGGCACCTTTCCGCCCTTTTCCACAGTTTCATGGACCTTCTTCAAGAAGTCTCGTTCACGGCAACGCTTAGAGTCTCTGATGGTTGTTGCATAAGTGGACTCTGATATAAGCAAATCAGGACGGCACTTGTCAATCCAAGCAGCTCTAGAGGGAAAGAAAACAGTCGTGTGTAAGATTCATAAAAACAAATGTCTTTAAAAAAAAAAAAAAAAAAATTAACTAGGTTAAGAACAACCAAAACTGGTTATTTCAGGCTAAGACTGATATGGTCTCCAGTACTGTGTACAATACACCAGTGTTCTGTAGAATGGCATGAGCACCTCCCTCTTTCTACTGCTAATACCTCTCCCTATACAACCAAGCATTCTGCTAGCATTTCCTGCTGCTCTATTACATTAGAATATACAAAACACAACGAGGGAACCGGCTGATTGTCTAAATGAAGATAAATAAAAAGAGGTATAGTGTAATACAGTTTTAAAATATTAACACTGCGCAATATGAAATGCACTCACAGGATATTGGACAGTTCAGGCATATATGGTGCCACCCCTGATGATATGGGGGGCTAGAGAAATCCCCTGGACACTTCCACTCAAAATGCAGGACTCCAGGTGAAGATATGAAAAAAGCGGCTTTAATTGTTTAAAAATATAAAATAGATACAGATAAAGAATTCCAATTTTTTATTTTATTCCAAAAATTCACAAATGTTTATTTAATCCCCCAGGTCGCCCCATAATTAGTGGGATAGATTCGTTATCAGCCAATCTTTCTGCATTTGTGGATTCATATCTACAAAAGTACGCTCAAGGCTCTCTCTCCTATATAAAAGATACAAAATCATTTTTACAAGAATTGGAAAATATTGAATGGCATTCTAACTATAGTTGGGCTACATTGGATGTATCATCCCTTTATACTATAATCAGTCATGAATTGGGATTAGAAGCTATCAACCATTTCATGATGGAAGATCGTAATTTATCTCAGGATATTAAAGAATTTATTTTATATTCAGTTAAATTTATTTTAGAACACAATTATTTTTTCTTTAATGATAAATTTTATTTACAAATCACGGGAACCGCCATGGGCACCAGGTTCGCCCCCAGTTATGCCAACACCTACATGCGCAGATGGGAAGATTTAACAGTGTGGGTTGGTCATGACTGGAGGGAGAACCTGGTGCTCTGGCGGAGATATATCGATGATGTTATTATTATTTGGAAGGGGTCTTTTTCTTTATTTCAATCATTTGAGAATTATTTGAGTCAAAATGAATATAATTTAAAGTTTACCTCCACATGGAATCAAAAAGAAATAAATTTTTTAGATTTGTCTCTGATATGCGAGAATAATCAGATTAAAACAAAGTGTTTCTTTAAACCAAGTGATGGGAATGGGTATGTTCATCGGCAAAGTTGCCACCACCGTCCCTGGCTTAGAGGGATAGCTAAGGGACAATTTGCCAGGGTGAGAAGGAATTGCTCACAAGTTCAGGACTTTATAACACAATCTAACCATATAAAGAACAAATTGGTGGAAAGAGGTTATAAGAAGAATACACTTGATAGGGAAATTCGTATAGCTTTACAGACCGACAGGGGGAATTATCTGATGGACAAGCCCCGTGCCAAACCCTATCAGGAGAATATAACTGCCTTTAGAACTCAGTATTGTATAAACCATACTAAAATTAGGAGGAGTTTACAAAAACATCGGTCGATTCTCCAACAGGATCCTGTACTAAATCCTATTTTACCGGATCAACCTAAACTTATTTTTAGAAAAAATCAGAATTTTAAGAATACTTTGGCACCTAGTTATGCTATAAAAAATCTTGAGGCTAATCGAAAACCTGTTGATAATAATTCCTTTAGAGGTTGCAACTCTTGTAAAGCTTGCCATACTGTAAATCTTGAAAAAACAGATACTTTTTCCAGTTTCATTACAGGTGAAGTATTTCAGATAAAATCTGAAATCAGTTGCCGCACGGACCATGTAGTTTATTTACTGCAGTGCCCGTGCGGCAAGCAATATGTAGGCAGGACAAAGAGGCTTTTGAAAGTACGATTTCTGGAACATATAAATAATATCAAAAAGAACTTGGCTACTCATTCTATTCCAGTACATTGCAATCAATGTCCACTATTTTTCTTCACTGGTTTAAAATGTATTGGTATTGAAAGGGTATTAGCTGATTGGAGAGGGGGAGATAGGGTTAAAAAGTTGTCACAAAGAGAGACATACTGGATCCACAGGCTACAGACATTGGAGCCTGGTGGACTGAATGTGGATGTGGACTTAGTGTGTTTCCTATAAATGTATATTACTATTCATAATAGTCATTATATATATGGGTATTTTTGAGAAAGGTAATGATAAAATAAGCACAGAATTTTTAAGGAGGAATTAGGTTAATTAATAATAATAATATAATTAACAAATAAGACACCATTGAATTGATTATAAGAAGGATAACACATTAAAAGTTAAAGGTTAATATTCTGGTTATTGAAATAATATGTCACACAATTAGGGTATGAAGGATTAGTTTATAAAAGCTTCACATTATTAGATTATGAGTATATATAATATGTAAGAAATTTTGTGATCGGTTAAGTATTGTGAAAATGGTGTAAAGTAAATATGTATATATTATGAGAAAATCCACTATGAATAGATTTGTGGTTAAGTTGTTGGACTATTTGTATATAATTCTATGGCTAGATATTGCAGAATACTGATGGAACGCAAAAAAAACGAAGGTGGAACGCATGCCATTTCCGGATATACATGACTTCCGGGTTTACGAGTACAGTTGGAACGCATAGCACTTCCGGTTTTTGGAACGCACGGAAGTGCCGAAAATAACCGGAGAATTACAAAAATGATGAAGATCAACTGTGAACACCTGGGAATAAGATCTTCAACAGATGAAACTCATCTACACAGGACCAATGAGGAAGGACAGAGAGGCACATGTGATTAATTACATTTAGGGATTAGCCCTATTTAAAGGACTTGAGGGTGGAGGGATGTTAGGCTGTTTTTGTGATTGTACTGCATTGATTGTTATTTTAATATTTTGGTCCCTGAGGAAGTCCCATATTCTGTAGAAGGGACGAAACGCGTAGGACCTTTATCTGTATCTATTTTATATTTTTAAACAATTAAAGCCGCTTTTTTCATATCTTCACCTGGAGTCCTGCATTTTGAGTGGAAGTGTCCAGGGGATTTCTCTAGCCCCCCATATCATCAGGGGTGGCACCATATATGCCTGAACTGTCCAATATCCTGAGAGTGCATTTCATATTGCACAGTGTTAATATTTTAAAACTGTATTACACTATACCTCTTTTTATTTATCTTCATTTAGACAATCAGCCGGTTCCCTCGTTGTGTTTTGTATATTCTTGTGTTCAAGTTGATTGCTAGCTGGGAGCGATCTGAGGGAGGCTGCATTCACTAACCACTGATAAGTATCCTTGTATATAAGTGTGTGTATAAGGTGCATTTCTTTTTGCTCTATTACATTGTCTGCCTACTTTTAAGTCATCAGAAATAATCACCCCTAAATCCCTTTCCTCAGATGTTGAGGTTAGGACTATCAAATATTCTGTACTCTGCCCTTGGGTTTTTACGTCCAATATGCATTATCTTGCACTTATCCACATTAAAGGTCAGATGCCACAATTCTGACCATTTTTCCCAGTTTACCTAAATTGTTTGCCATTTGGCTTATCCCTCCTGGAACATCAACCCTGTTACATATCTTAGTATCATCAGCAAAAAGACATCAAAGTGAAAAAGAAAGGAAAGGAGGGGGGTGCTAAAAAGATAATATCCCAATATTATACTTATATCTGTACATCAGTTATTCAATCAGTATCTTACTGGATCAATCTAAAAAAGATAAACAGAATGTACATAGCATAATACTGTATAGAGAGACTGCATATTAACAGTATTTAGGTATTGGGTCACTCACGATCTGTAGAGCCTTAAATAGCAGGCTCTAACTGTATTTGCTCCTCAAATAATGTCAGGCAGACTGCTTCATCCAGCGGAGTCAGCTTCTCATTCCTCCAAATACTCGTCCAATCACACCACAACTCGGGTAGCCAAGTGGGTAAATATATGGAGAGATTTATTACAATATAAATACAATTAAAAAAAAAAATAAAAAAAACATACAAGGCATAACGCGTTTCGACTTTGAAGACGAAAAGCGTTGTGCCCTGTATGTTTTTTTATTTTGTTTTTATTTTGTTTTTAATTGTATTTATATTGTAATAAATCTCTCCATATATTTACCCACTTGGCTACCCGAGTTGTGGTGTGATTGGACGAGTATTTGGAGGAATGAGAAGCTGACTCCGCTGGATGAAGCAGTCTGCCTGACATTATTTGAGGAGCAAATACAGTTAGAGCCTGCTATTTAAGGCTCTACAGATCGTGAGTGACCCAATACCTAAATACTGTTGATATGCAGTCTCTCTATACAGTATTATGCTATGTACATTCTGTTTATCTTTTTTAGATTGATCCAGTAAGATACTGATTGAATAACTGATGTACAGATATAAGTATAATATTGGGATATTATCTTTTTAGCACCCCCCTCCTTTCCTTTCTTTTTCACTTTGATGTACCTATATAGTGCCTTTGGTGATTTACTTGGCACTTGGGGGTAGTTGCTGTTCTCATTTTCATTTTCATTAATAGCGCCAATCCACCCATATATATTTCTCTAACAGGAAATATATTTAGTTTATTAGCAAAAAGACATACTTTACCATCAAGACCTTCTGCAATATCACTAATATAAATATTAAAGAGAATGGGTCCAAGTACAGATCCCTGAGGTACCCCACTGGTGACAAACCCAAGCTTCGAATATATTCCATTAACTACAACCCTCTGTTGCCTGTCACTCAGCCACTGCCTTACCCATTCAACAATACTGGAATCCAAATTTAAAGGTTGCAGTTTATTGATAAGCCTTCTATGTGCAACAGTGTCAAAAGCCTTACTGAAATCTAGGTAATCAATATATACTGCACCACCCTGACCTATTATTTTAGTTACCCAATCAAAAAAATCAATAAGATTAGTTTGTCATGATCTCCCTGAAGTAAACCCATGTCGTCTCTGATCTTAAAATCCATGTGATTTTAGATGTTCAACAATCCTATCCTTGAACATGGTTTCCATTACTTTCCCCACTACTGAAGTAAGGCTTACTGCCCTATAGTTGCTCGGCTCCTCCCTGCTACCTTTCTTGTGAATGAGCACAACATTTGCCAACTTCCAATCTTCTGGGACTACTCCTGTTAACAATGATTGGTTAAATAAATCTGTTGTTAATGGTTTTGCTAGTACACCACTAAGCTCTCTTAGTAACTTTAGGTGTATTCTATCAGGCCCCATAGACTTATTTTCCTTTACTTTTGACAGTTGAAATAGAACCTCTTCCTCTGTAAACTCACATGTAACAAATGACTAATTTGTCCTTTTCCTAATTGAGGCCCCTTTCCTTCATTTTAATCTGTAAATACAGAACAAAAATATCCATTGAGGCAGTCAGCTAGACCTTTATCCTCTTCTACATACCTTCCTTCCTTTTGTTTTTAATCCAACTAATGCTGGTTTTACATTGCTTTTCTCATTTATGCATCTAAAAACATTTTTGTCCCCTTTTTACTGACTGTGCTATTTTCTATTCTGTGTGTGATTTTGAAGCTCTTATAACTTGCTTAGCCGCTTTCTGCCTAATCTTATAGATCTGTCTATCTTCCTCACTCCGTTTTTTTTTTTTTTTATAATTACTAAATGCCAATTTTATTTACTATTTTGGCTACATCTGCAGAGTACCACAGTGGTTTCTTAAATTTTTTGCTTTTACGGATAAACCTATTGCAATTTTCTGTTGCCTTCAGCAGTGCAACTTTTAAATAATCCCAGTTCTCTTGGACTCCATTTAAATTGCTCCAGTCTGATAATGACTCCTTTACACATATTCTAATTTTTGAAAAGTCTGTGTTTTTTTAAAGTATAAAACTTTTTTTTGTGTGTGGTGTGACTCAGTTACTGTTCTTATATTGAACCACACTGACTGATGATCACTGGATCCTAAACTTTCACCTACAGTAATATCGGATTCCAAATCTCCATTTGTTAACACTAAATCTAGTATTGCCGCTTTACGAGTTGGCTCCTCAACGACTTGTTTTAGAGACAATCCCAGTATGGAGAATGTGTGTGCTTCTGGCACAAGCAGCTATATTGGTTTTCCAGTTCACATCAGGAAGATTAAAGTCACCGATGATAACTTCCCCCTTCATTGTCATTTTAGCCATTTCCTAAACTAGTAGATCATCTAATTTCTATTTTTCCTGGGGGCCTATAAAATCACACCTACACGAGTTACTGTGTGATTACCAAATTCTAAAGTAACCCAAACGGACTCTATGTTCGCCTCGCTAACTTTTATTAGTTGTTTGTGGAGGATTCTATCAGGCCTCACCATAGTCTCCAAGCCGGTCTCCACAAAACCACTAAACTCTGTGCCTGAGCCTGTCTCCACAAAACCACTACACTCTGTGCCTGAGCACAGGTGAAATCTTGTGCTTTAGTTAAATATGAACTTGATATGAATCTCCATTATTCATAAGTCCTAATCAAGTTTAATTAATTTCATCAGATAACAAGCTGCAGGAATTTAGACTCTCTGGCAATGTTATACAGAAGAAAAAAAAGCCAGAGAATGTATTAGCATTCTGCAGCACTTTACAATTATGGAAAGGGGTAGAGGTGAAGTGGGAGCTGCTCAAATGAGCTTACAATCTATGAGGATTTCAGGTATATATCTAAGGGTCTTAAATTAAAGGGTGTCTGACTGTGATTCAAACCTGGAATTCACAGTTCTACGGCAGTTCTTGTCCTATGTAAGATCCCCATAATTCAGCCAGAAAACCAAAATTCACCCACAATATACGCCACTAGTACAGAATACCACACACATATTATAAAAACCAATGATCATGCATTTCAGATGCATGCCTTCCCCATACATATTGTAACAGGTGCTGTATGAATACAGAAACCGCTAGCCAGCTAACAAATCCATAACAAAAACAATTCTACGAGAACTCTTTAACCATTGACATTTGTTTATCCCTGCTGGGAAACATTGGCTGGATCAAGTCCCTATAGTGTGTGTTGGTTATTAATGTTAGAAGTGTTTTCAGCCCCCTTTTCTATGAATTATCATGACCGTCAAAAACAAACATTTCCACTTAAAATATCTTACCCCAAATGTCGATCTGGAGTCATGTTGTAATCACCCTGCAAAAACCAAATTGGGAATGTCAACAAAGCACTAAAGGCATTTTTGAGACAAAGGAACACTTATGAGAAGATGACAGCCCGTATTTAAAGAGTTAATTTTTATAAAACATCAGACTTGCAGTCTAGCGGCTAGAGGAAGTGAAATTCGGATGTAGCTTTATTTACAAAAGAAAAGATAGAGGATCCATGAAACTTATAGTGCATTTATACTCACAGTATAAACCACAGACTCTGACCCCACTTTGATCTGAAACATGGCAGCTCCTAAAACATGCCCAGCATAGTACGCCTTTATTTCTAGCTCATCGTCTACCTGAAAAAAAAAACGTATCCAGTTAGTCCAGGGATGCACCAGGCAGAACATACAAAGCATAGTTACTTACAACATGATCACGACACGTCAGGCACTGGGAAAGTGTGCACGTCATCTCACCTGTACAGTCTGATGAAGATTTACAGCCACCACTTTCTTCATGCAATCTTTGATCATCTGTGATGTGAAAAAGTTGGTCTCCCCTTTCTTGTCTACAGTAATCTTCCTGTAATCTTCTAAGAGGATGGGGCATATTGCTTTAGTAGGGTGAGTCATGTAAATTGGGCCATCAAAGCCAACCATTTCACTCATGTAGGGCAGAGCTCCACAATGATCCAAATGAAAATGGCTAATGAATACAAAACAAAAAGATGTCTAACTAGAAGGATTAATTACATCAGATTTATTCTATAAATTTTACATCCCTGCACGCCCTGTTCTTATTTATGTAGCAGGATTCACAAACTGTTACCAATGATCCTTCCTTGTCATCTGATGGCTGCACAAACACAAGCCTGCCCAAATATGTATTCCTAACACCAACATGTTCCTCTGCCCCAGGTGCCCACCGAGCATTGTAAAGGGTTAAATAAAAACAGAGAATATGAGAACTCTTAGAACGGACAAAATAAAAAAAAATTAGAGGTACATAGTAGCTTGCCCCTCTAAAAAACCCTGCTCAGGTCTTAAAATAGTTTTAGGGTTAAATAAACCTTTATTCACTTACCCAATTCCAGCGCTGAGGTCCCTCAGCGGCAGGTTGCACTCTGTCTATGCTAACTCAGCCGATGGGAGGCCTAAAATGCATCCACTGCAAGCTTCAGTGTTTTGTTTTTTTTTTTGTTTTTTTTTGTTTTTTTAAAGAGTTTTCTCTGGCGCTGGATATCCTCATGCAAAGCTTGAGGACGTCAATCTCTCCAGGACTTTAGGGGCAATCTTAGTGCTGCAATGTAAACATTGCAGATTCTCTAAAACTGCAATGTTTTATATTGCAGGACTAGGTGTGACAGAGACACTGCATCCAGATCACTTCAATGAGATTGTGTCCCTGTAAGTCAAAGATACTCAGAGCACCATAACCACTACAGAGTAACGCCTAATGCAGCCAGACAGTAACTATCAAAACAGGTCAGAATGGTTTGTCACTTATCTGTCCTTCCAATCTGAATTCGTATGACTTTCATACTGCCACATTATCACTGAAACTCATACCAAGTTGAGACATTATTCATTGCAGACATGTATGGATGGTATATGCACATACGGCACTCCAAGAGAAAATTACAAACACATGCATGGACAATTTCTCAATGAGATGCATGCTTATGTCCAAGGCATCAGAGGTCGCAAATGCAAGTAAGGTTTTATTTATTTATTTTAAACTTGCCTCCGCTGCTGCAATCACCCAACGAAATGCCAAAATAACATTAACTGGGTTGTAGGAGCAAGGAACTGCTACTACTCTGAAAGCAACACTGTAACTATTTTATCTCATTGAATTGGCTATGGTACCTGGAGTTCACTGGCATTGTCCACCCACCCAATGTTAAACAATCTCTTGGCTCCTACTGGAGGTATGGAAAAGGCAGAAATTGCGCACTTCATTTTAGCCATACCAATTCATACCAACGGTCAGCTGATGCTCTCAGCCAATCACAGCCACCTATTGCTGCTAAGGATAATGCTCTCTCATTATCACAAAACAACACAGACAAGATGAGCTGCTAAGGACTTTTGTTTTGAGTCACCTGGCACCATACTGCCACTTTATGTTCAACTGTATTTTTCTTAATTTGTATTTTATTGGAGGTTTGGTACTCAAAAATACATTGTCATAGTATAATAAAATATATCTTCTGTAACATCTTCGGCAAAGCAACTATTATGGGTTACCCTATAGCCTCATTTGCAAAGCGTCTATTATGAGTTACTGGGGGGGGGAGGGGCGCTCTTCCCCAGAAACAATCTGTTGCTATGGGTTGTCCTAGAACTATATAGATGTAGACAGTCTGTACTGTTGGGGTATTTACGGTATCCCCTATACTGCGCTCTCTACGTTACAAGGAAGGAAAGTGAAAATCACGAGTCGAAGTAAAGTGGTGTAACATCTGGGTTTCTGAGGCACTTAACTTGGTTGGTGAGTGTTTTCTATCGGTTTGTTACTGCGCGTGTACTCGGCGTGTGGTGACTTTGTTGGCCTTAGTTTGCTCTGTGGGTGCCTGTGCTTATGGATGTCGTTTTTCGCTTTTTTCCGCTTTGTGCGGTCTCAGCTGGTTAAGAAATTGCTCCTGTTCATCCGTGGAGGTGAGGGTGAGTGCCCGGTCCCCCCTCAGCACTGTTAGGGATCCATCTGCCCCCCACCAGTATTTAATTTCCTCCGCTCTCAGTTGTTTGGCCACTGGCACTAGTTGTCTCCACTCTATCAGGGTCGCGAACGGGAGATCCCCATAGAATGACACTGTGCTACCTTCTAGTTGCACGCTTCTGATTTCTCCGATTCGGATGCCCGACACTGGGCTCCATCCTCTGCCAGAGATGAGGTAGGGCTGTCTCTGTCATCCTGGGATTCATCCGAGGCCTCCTCCTCGCTGGGTGCATCGGGCGCCATTTTGACTGGTGCCGCCAGGTTAGGCCACGTGAAGGAAAGCTGAATGTCCGGCTTCGTTGGGGGCGAAAATTTTATATTTTTTCACCCCATGTCTGTCTCTTAGTGGGGGTTTGTTTGTTGCCTCTTTAGAGACCCGTTTGCAGGTTTTTAATTAATTTTTAATTTAATTTATTTTTTGTGTCTCTGCTCCGGAGCTGCACAGGAAAACATCCTCCTTGTTAGACAGCTGGCCACACCATGTTCAACTGTTTTAATGTCAGACACTGTAACCACTTCGATAGGATGAGGCAGTTCCAGCGCCTGGAGTCCTTTGACACCATGAGATAGTTAGTGTCCCTTTAACTACCTCATAATCAAATTATAAATCACTGTGAAATGTTACATTTTAAAGAGAACAGCAACAACAACAAAATACAATTCAATGAATCATTCGTCAGAAAACAGAATATTAACAAACAATACACATATACAGCCTTCAACCTGCAGCCAGTTAATCCTCAGTGCTGTATCAGAAGATTAGACCAATACATAATCAGTTCCCTACCTGATTATTACACAATCCAGTAAATCTGTGAGGCGTCCATTCTGTGTGATGTATGTGAAGTCAGGGAAGCGACGCTAATTAAATGGAGTGGGGGAAATATTAAAAAAAAAATTTAAAACAATGGTATAAGGAACCATGAAAACAGACAAAGTTGCAAGCAATGATGACTTAATTAACTCGTGACTCCACGATTTTCGTTTTCTTATTTCAGGTCCAACCCCAAGTCTTGTTCTACAGCTATTAATGAGAAGAGATCAGCTGCCCCCTGACTACTCACTCAAAATTGCTGTTCTACAGGATTTTATTACAAAATATACAGTGCTCACATCATCATTAAATCCCATGTGCATGCCACAGTCCAGCATTATATTTTTGCCTCTAATGGACACCAGTATACAGCTGCGTCCGACATCCTGACCAGCACCTGTTGGAGAGAAAGGTTAATCTGGTGAGTTTGAAAAATAATATATAAAAACAACAAAGCAAAGAAACTATATAACCGTAATAATATACCCCGATACAAGTGATTAACCTCACGACATAAAAATATAAAATTGTATTGAAAACGGTGCCTCGAGGCATGGTCCTGAACTGACTTCTATATAAAGACAATTCTCATTGTAAAAAAATTGAACATTATTAATCTGCAGATGGCAAAAACACAAACGTATACAACAATGCCAGTTCGTTTTAAGAATCGTTTGATAGAAATCAATATAGACATAAGCAAGGAAGATTAAAAAGGAAGTCCAAGCACCAAAACCAATACACCCTTTCCGATGACACTGCTCCACTCTAAGATGCAAAACAATTTTCAAATTATTTGGAACATACCTATCTCCTCCGGGTACTGGTGGAACTTCCATTATTCTGGATATTGTTAAAGCAAAAGTTCCCATTTCACTTTAACTATATCAATTTTGTCTCATTTCAGACATCACTGTCAGAAACATCAGAAAACCCAGAAGTACTGTTATTTAGGCAAATGTTAAACTGTTCGGAAATGGTTTATCTATATACATTGGGCAGCACCAGGGAACTCCTGTAGTGGTTATGGTGCTTAAACTACCCCTTAAAATGTGTCTAGCTAGATAACAAATATAAAAAACAAAATGCAGGGAGATTTTTGTAGTTAGACTGAAGGCCAAGTACCCACATTATCAATTATTTTGTTTAATACCAGTACTACCTTAAAGGACCACTATAGGCACCCAGACCACTTCAGCTCAATGAAGTGGTCTGGGTGCCAGGTCCCTCTCGTGTTAACCCTGCAGCTGAAAACATAGTTTCAGATGAACTGCTATGTTTCACTGACGGTTAATCCAGCTTCTATAGTGGCTGTCTCACCAACAGCCGCTAGAGGCGCTTCCGCAATTCTCACTGTGAAACGATGCTGGACGTCCATAGGAAAGCATTGAGAAATGCTTTCCTATGGGCTGTTTGAATGCGCTTGCGTGCATTCTGAGCTGATGTCGGCAGGACGAGGAGGAGAGTTCCCCAGCACCGAGGGAGCCCGGCATTGGAGAAAGGTAAGTGCCTGAAAGGGGTTTAACCCCTTCAGCCCAGCAGGAGGGGGTCGTGAGGGTAGGGGGACCTATTAACACTATAGAGCCAGGAAAACTAGTTTGTTTGTGGTCCTTTAAGAAGGCTCTTTAGTTTGTATATAGCCTGCCGGTCTCATTAAAATGGCAAATCCACACACACATACATACATACATACACACAATCATTTATAGATTTCATAATACAGAGATTGCAGTTCCCTAAAATATACAGAGCATTTCAGAGCTTATACCATTATAAGTGCTTTATGGGCAGAGCAAGGGTTTCTGGGATTTGTATTTCAGTTTTCTACTGTACAACATTAACTAAACTACTATTCCCAGAAACCCAAGGGAAGCTGTTTTACCACAGTACTTTTGGAGCAAAACTAATTATTCTTCAAAAGGATCACTGTAAACCATTATCATAAATTTGCATCACTGCAAAGGTTATGGTGCAGAAAGTACTCTACATCTACCCTACTTGTCCAGAAAAGCTTAAAAGCTATACTGACTGGTTTGAAAATAAATTACAAAAATACTGCAAATTTTTATTTGATCTTTGAGCATAATGAGAGGCTACTGAGTGGTAGAGATTTTTTTTGTGGACGTGGAGGGGACTTGCCTTAGTTATATTATTAAATAATATGCACAATATAAAATGAACCGAGGCCAATTCTTGCAGTTATACAAAAAAAAAAAAAATGCTATAAATTAACTTACACATGGCTGGTATTCTTACCTAAAGGGGTAACCTTGATTTCAGGCATCCTGTGTTCAAGTAGATTCTGTGGCAGGTTCACAGATGCTCAAATAATCTGCATTCAGAACAAAGTGAGGAGAAAAATAAATATCTTTAATAAGCATAATTCTTGTGTGGTTCACAGCTTAAAAAGAGTTAATAAATTAAGTGTAGATTCTATCGGTTTCCATACATAAACTGCACCTATGCATACCGGTTTCATTTAAAGGACCGCTATAGTGCCCTGAGGGTGCCCCCACCCTCAAGGTTCCCCTCCTGCCCGGCTCTGGGGAGAGGAAAGGTTTTAAAACTTACCATTCTCCAGCGCTGGGCGGGGAGCTCTTCTCCTCCGATCCTCCCATTCGGCTGAATGTGCATGCGCGGCAAGAGCTGCGCGCGCATTCAGCCGGTCTCATAGGAAAGCATTTGCAATTCCTAGCTTAAGCTGAAGTTGTCTGGGTGCCTAGAGTGGTAGTTTAATTCTAAAGTATTCACTTGAACGTTACCTTACGACCATATGTTTATAATATGACCCTTTATCCTTTGGGTATCTGATTATTCACTCGATAAACCGGTCATTAATCGGGTGTTTGCAGGACTGTATTTGCAATTTATTTTCTTATATTTTAATGCATTACTATCCCATGGGTGGTGTGGGCAATTATGTCATTAAGGAAGTGAGGAGGGCATTAATGATTTTACTGTACTTGAAGAATTGTTGAGTAGTTCCAAACGCGTTGAGGTTTCTCTTTTTTGTTTCTGGGTTTTCTTTTCTGTACCCATCCCCACTGTGTTTTGCTGTATGGAAACCATATGAATTGTTGCTCTTTAACTTAAATTTGTTTATATTGCCTCGTGTATCTATTTTTGCAAAAAAACAGATACGAGAATATGTTCCCGATATTTTCACGATTGCGGTTGTCCTACATCAGTTACTGCAGTTTAGAGTCTAACGAATAACCTCACCAGTTGCAAATAGTTGAAAAAAACTTCTATAACAAATTTAAGAAAAAAAAACCTCAGCCTAAAAAAACAAATGTAATCTGGGAGGTATGTTATTATCCAGGACCACCGCACCCAACAAAATTGCAACAAGATTATTTTCAGCATAGAATAAATTTCTCAGGCAACGAATTCTGGACATATTGCCTTCATTAAAGAACCACTATAGTCACCCAGACCATCTAGGTTTAACCCTGCCTCCTGTAAACATAGCAGTTTCATGACAGCCGCTAGAGGCACTTCTGTGCGTCTCGCCAGCGTCCATGAGGAGGAGGAGAGTTCCCAGTGCTGAGGAAGCCCGGCGCTGGAGAAAGGTAAGCCTTCCTCCCCCTAGAGCCCGACGGGAGTGGGACCATGACGGTGGGGGGGGGACACCTATTAACACTATAGTGACAGTAATACGAGTTTGTTTTCCTGGCACTATAGTGGTCCTTTAAACATATTTATTTTAAGGAAACACTTTACATGCTTGGCCCATTCTGCTGTATACATTTATAAATAATAATAATAATAATAATCAGCAGAACATTATTTACCTGATCCCAAGGAAACATGTTTTGTGTTTAATAGAGTCAGGGTTTATTCACTAAAGTGAGAATTCAAAGTGAATTTCAGATTTAAGGTCAAAATAGCTGAATAAGAACAAAAATTATTTGAATGTTGAGAATCAGATCTAATGAGAGTTATTCAGGGTTTATATAATAATATAATATAACACAGCCCCCTTCCCGTAACAGTGAGATATTCAGGGTTTATATAATAATATAATATAACACAGCCCCCTTCCCGTAACAGTGAGATATTCAGGGTTTATATAATAATATAACACAGCCCCCTTCCTGTAACAGTGAGTTATTCAGGGTTTATATAATAATATAATATAACACAGTAACAGTGAGTTATTCAAGGTTTATATAATAATATAATATAACACAGCCCCCCTCCTGTAACAGTGAGTTATTCAGGGTGTATATAATAATATAATATAACACAGCCCCCCCTGTAACAGTGAGTTATTCAGGGTGTATATAATAATATAATATAACACAGCCCCCCCTGTAACAGTGAGTTATTCAGGGTTTATATAATAATATAATATAACACAGCCCCCTTCCTGTAACAGTGAGTTATTCAGGGTGTATATAATAATATAATATAACACAGCCCCCCCTGTAACAGTGAGTTATTCAGGGTTTATATAATAATATAATATAACACAGCCCCCTTCCTGTAACAGTGAGTTATTCAGGGTGTATATAATAATATAATATAACACAGCCCCCCCTGTAACAGTGAGTTATTCAGGGTTTATATAATAATATAATATAACACAGCCCCCTTCCTGTAACAGTGAGTTATTCAGGGTGTATATAATAATATAATATAACACAGCCCCCCCTGTAACAGTGAGTTATTCAGGGTTTATATAATAATATAATATAACACAGCCCCCTTCCTGTAACAGTGAGTTATTCAGGGTTTATATAATAATATAATATAACCTGGCCCTGTAACAGTGAGTTATTCAGGGTTTATATAATAATATAACGCAGCCCTGTAACGGTGAGGTTATTCATACAGCCATTGCCAGTCCCCCCCTCCCCAGTGACCGGCTGCGCCATGTTAGAGCGCTCAGTCCGCCATCCCAACACTCACACATCCACCAGCAACTGCACGCCGGGCAGCGCCATGACACTTACTGCGGACATCGTCATCGTCACAGCCAGCCAATAGCCGCCGCGCTCACATCCAGTCCCTGCATCGGGAGGCGGGGCCGTAAGGAGGCGGGGCTTGTGGCTGGAGCCGCTGGAAGCTCAGCACCGATTGGCCGAGATTTTGTGGAGGTTGGAGCGCGAGCGGCTGATTGGCTGAGCTCGGTTGATGACGATGCTGGGGGGGCGGGGCGGTGTGGAGCTGAGAGCTGGGCGGGGTTTACAGGTTGGCAGGTGCTGCATACGGTAGACAGGTGAGTCTCCATTCCCATAACTCTCAGCCAGCATTGTGCTAGGCAGGGAGAGGGTCACAGGTTATCCAGAATATTCCCACCGCCCATAGCCTCTCCAGCCTGCAGGGTGACAGTATGGGCATGGGGGGGGCTCCTGATCCCCAGACTGGCCCAACAGGAAACCTCAGACAGCCTGTCTGTGAAATCTGACTCAGACTATAAGGGACAGGCAGCACTCTCGTACAGCTCTCTCATTCAAAACATTTAGCTTTGAGTGAGACCGTTGCCTCACTGTCCAGGCTGAAAAATGTCAGTCAATCTTACACTCCAGGGGGGGCTCTGATCTAACCAATCAGTGTCCTATCCCTAGGAATGCTGGAAAACTGCATTGGACATGCCTGAAAGGTTTGAGTCTGGAAGATCTCTTCACCTTGGAATATCCTGATAGGGGAAGAAGAGAGGGATTCAGGCAGAACAGTCTCCACTGTCATAGAAACATAGAATATGACGGCAGATAAGAACCATTCAGCCCATCTAGTCTGCCCAATTTTCTAAATACTTTCATTAGTCCCTGGCCTTATCTTATAGTTAGGACAGCCTTATGCCTATCCCACGCATGCTTAAACTCCTTTACTGTGTTAACCTCTACCACTTCAGCTGGAAGGCTATTCCATGCATCCACTACCCTCTCAGTAAAGTAATTCTTCCTGATATTATTTTTAAACCTTTGCTCCTCTAATTTAAGACTATATCCTCTTATTGTGGTAGTTTTTCGGGTTTCTGTTTCTCTGTTGTGTTAGTCATTTCCCTGTTTCTGTCATAGTTGAAACATAGTTGAGTTAGAGACTTATTTCTATTTGGCTATTTTGACCTTAAAGGACCACTGTAGGCACCCAGACCACTTCAGGTCAGTGAAGTGGTCTGAGAGCCAGGTCCCCCTAGTTTTAACCATGCAGGTGAAAACATGTTTACATTGAGGGTTAATCCAGACAGCCACTAGAGGCCACTTCTGCAATTCTCAATCACACTGAGATGACGCTGGACGTCCATAGAAAAGCATTGAGTAATGCTTTCCTATTGGTGGTTTGAATGCATGTGCGGCTCTGGCCGGACATGCGCATTCGGAGCTGACGTCGGCAGGGGGAGGAGAGGTCACCAGTGCCAGACTAAATTAAAGGGACACTATAGTCACCTGAACAACTTTAGCTTAATGATGCAGTTTTGGTGTATAGAACATGCCCCTGCAGCCTCACTGCTCAATCCTCTGCCATTTAGGAGTTAAATCCCTTTGTTTATGAACCCTAGTCACACCTCCCTGCTTGTGACTTGCACAGCCTTCCATAAACACTTCCTGTAAAGAGAGCCCTATTTAGGCTTTCTTTATTGCAAGTTCTGTTTAATTAAGATTTTCTTATCCCCTGCTATGTTAATAGCTTACTAGACCCTGCAAGAGCCTCCTGTATGTGATTAAAGTTCAATTTAGAGATTGAGATACAATTATTTAAGGTAAATTACATCTGTTTGAAAGTGAAACCAGTTTTTTTTCATACAGGCTCTGTCAATCATAGCCAGGGGAGGTGTGGCTAGGGCTGCATAAACATTAACAAAGTGATTTAACTCCTAAATGACAGTGAATTGAGCAGTGAAATTGCAGGGGAATGATCTATACACTAAAACTGCTTTATTTAGCTAAAGTAATTTAGGTGACTATAGTGTTCCTTTAATACAAGGCACAGAGGGGGGCTGTACAAGAAGACCTCAGTAATCCCAGCTCCACCTTTCCCAAGGAAGGGCGGTTGCGTGTACATTTAAATAAATAAAAACCAAGTCTGTGTGTGAATGTGTATGTATTTGTCGGTGATTGTTGTGTGTTTGTGTGAATCTGTGTATGTTAGCATGAGAAAATATGTGTATTTAAATATTACAATCACACATGTCAAATTAGGGAGTTGGGTACTAAACAACCGAAAAATCTAATTTAAAGGAACACTATAGTGTGAATATAATACTGTATTCCTAACACTATAGTGTCATTCTGGTTCCACCCACCCCCACTGGTCAAGAAAGGGTTAAAAATCTTTTCAGCCTCGATCTCTCAACGATCTAATGAAAAGCATGAGGATGTCCAGCGTCGTTTCACAGATATAACTCTGTGAAGATGCAGCAAGTGCCTATATTGGCTGTGTTGAAGACAGCCACTAGAGGCAGTCTTAACGCTGCAATGTAAACAAATTGCAGTTTCAGTGGACAGGGTCACTGCACCCAAGCCATTTCATTGAGATGAAGTGGTCTGGGTGCCTATAGTTAAGCTACTACACGAGCTGACTAGTGGAGTTGTCTTGTGATTTCACATTCATTTAAATCAGGAGTGGCCTCAGAAAGAACCCCGGCTGTTTTACAACAACTTACATGATGTTTTGCCAGCTTTAAAGAAATACTTAACTACACTGTAGTTGTTATTGTGGTAGGAGTACCCTGGCACTGTCCAACCATTTTAGCACTTTTGCCTTATGGGTCAGGTGAGCTTACACTTTGATCTCTCAGCAGGTTAATGGATAACTCCCAAATTTGTTATTCTTGCATAGAATTGTCATATTTAATATCGAGAACACCATTTAACGTTTGGCCAGATAGAAAAATATAAAAATGAACCACTAATCAAAAATCTTGGAATTACTAATCACCCTAAGCATGCAATAGAAGGGTGTAACTCCTAACTTGCAGGGTTTTTTTATGTAGTGGTCAAACCTGTTTTTTAAATATGACTAATGACTTATTCGGTCAATGTATTAACAAGCACAAACACTGACTTCCAAGAGGAAGTTAAAGCAACTGTGACGGAACTCCCGTACTCAGAGTACCTCCGCCAGTTCGTCTTTCTTGCTGGAACTATGGAGAACTTCAGACCCAGTCGCCGAAGCTTTACTGGTGTCTCTGAGACCTTCCACTGGACCAGCCTGCAGTAAATATAGCTCAGGAGACTCTCTCTCCTGTAGAATATTGATTATAGCTTTTCCCCAAACACATTAGACGAGCCAGAATGCAGGGGGTAGATTGATTTTTATTGTACAGAACACAGCTATTTATACAGAACAGTGTTGACTCTCCCTGCAAGAGGTCCTCCATACAATATACAGTACAATTGTCTCTCCCTTGCGGCACTCTCTTTGGGGACTTAATTACATTATCCCCAGCTATCACTATTGGTTACCTGCTGTGCCCTCACAGTCCTAGACAACATGTCCACCAGATCCATCATTTCCTGGACCATACTCCCACACTCTATATATCCCCATATAGCTCGTCACCAAACACCCTAGCTGTCTAAATAGTGCCCTGATTGGAGGAGTGGAGCCTGAGTTACATGGTATTAACATTTTACCGGGTGTTGGCTTTTCTCTGATCCAGTGAGGAGTACCATGCATGCAGAAACTTAGTCCCGGTCTTCAAATAGTGGTTCCCTTACCTCTGGGAAGGGGAGGGCTCTCAAGCCCCAGGTATCCTCCAATGCCTCCTGACCTTCCCTCCAAATAGCATTCTATTTGAAGATTGGGGGACTGACCAGACAAGACAATCCCGATCCGAGGAACAGTTCAAGAGTGTTTCAGAGTATCTCTCGGCCAGACACCTAATGTGTAAAATGAGCAAATCGATCCCCAGAGATCCTCAAATCTGTCCTTGGAAGCACAATTAGTGTCTGGGGCCCCCATACCCTTCTCTACATCGACAGTAGCTACTTTTAGGGGCTCTTGGGACTAGGCCTCTTGTCTGAGGGAAGGAGGATGGGCTTCACGCCTCTCTAAAAGTCTGTGGCATGGGAGCTTCCATCACAGCAACATTCTAACATTTAAAAGTATTTTTGTATTTATTCTTAATTTTATTGTGTGCTTTACAATGTTAGTATTACTGGGTTCCCTATTAAAATAATAATAATTCCAACAGCAGCTATATACTAATGTTAAAGCTTACCAAACTAATTAACAAAACATTTTGATATCCCTATGTACCAAACAGATTAAAATGATTTTCATTTAACCAAACTGCCTTGTGAACATAAGTATCTTTATCAAGGTCTTGGAATTTTCATATTTTTCTAACATGATTTAAAACATAAAAAAAATAAATAATATAATTTGTTGCTTATTGGGTTAGCTTGAAATATTTCAAATATTTCCTCCTCCCACACACACACCAATAGGTATAGACATTTCTGATGACCATCTCACTTTTAAACGTATGTTGCCGGTGTCTGTCAGTGATTTGCTACATAATTAAGATTCCACAGGGATGTACAGGATCATTTTATGTTGGCTGAATTAGCTTTTCCATCCTGTATATCATCCTGTATATCTGCTATTGGAGGTCGCGTCTCTCTCCTGGTGAGTAGATTCATGGCTGTCAGGTTTCTTTACCTCCAGAGATTGTTTGAGCAGTTCCAGTTCTGAGACTCATTACAGTTTAGCAGCACACGTGGCAGACTTTTACCCCTGATGCAGTTGACTGTTTGTCTTGTTTACATATGTTGGAAAAGGGAAAGACGACCGTGATCTGTCAAGTGCTACTGTACTACAGCACCGTCACAAGTCTTCGTTTTCTGGCAGTCTTGTCCGGTACTCTTCTTATACCGGTAATATATTGGTGGAAAACAACTTCCATGTTGCTTTAAGTCTTTTGTGTTCCATGTTCTATGCCATCTATCAGATATATCTCTTAAAGGGAACGTATAGTTTAGAAAATAATCAATATTTTGGGATCATAGGGTTCCCTCCTATTGATCAATAATCTATTTGACTTGCCTAGTTTCTGGAGCCGATATTCCACTGCTGTAGTCTCTATTGAGACAGCATCGAAGCTGATATCACCTGCGATCTCATTCAATACTTTATAGAGAGGCATCGGGGACACGAACACTTGCATCACACAGCACCACTTTAATGAAGAACCAAGTTTTTCTCCGTTATGGGGGTGGAAGCTCTTGAAGTGGCTGCCAGGAAGACAGTCACTAGAGGCATGATTAACCCTCTCATGTAGACATTGCCGATTTTACTAAAAATACTACAGTACCACTGTACCCAGACCACTAATTGAGATTAAGTGGTCTATTAATGTTAAAAGTTGGTAATAGCCAAGTAACACTCAAATATTTGTGTTCTTTACAAAAATGTTTGATTCTTTTTGTTTAATGCCAAATCTAGGTGAACTTTAAGTTAAGCTCAGCTGTGGTATATCGCAGTTACAAGTGTTATTGTTTTATGTGGCTGAGTAATAAAGATTATCCTTGTTCTTCACCTGGTTAGACTGGTAGAATAGAACTGTATCAGTGCACTTGATTGAATAAGCATTTGTTGTTTTGTATTTCCTGCAGGCCAGCTAGAGACATAAGCCGTTTTTTTGGTTTGTCGTAACCGATTTAAAAATGGCAAGTACAGAAGAAGAATTCTCTCTCAAGGAAGTTCTGATCCACTTCAAGTCCTGCTTGCTGGATGATGATAAAGATGTTCTTCTGGAGCATTACCTGAATGGTTGGAAAGGATTGGTTAGGTACAGTACATTCTTTGCTATCAACCCTTTAGACAAATGAAGGGATTTACTAAAATGGCCAGTGTAACACGGTAGTGGTTATGATGTCAGAGGATCTCTGGCACCATCTCACAGAAAGTAGTCAAACCATTTCTGAACATTTAGATGATGCTTTGCACCAGTTTCATCCAAACATATGCGGAATAGTCGTCACTTTTGCTGAAGGAGCTGTAATTAGTGCTATGAGATTATTATTATAATAATTATATTTATAGAGCGCCGTCAAATTCCGCAGCGCTTTACAATGGGTGGATGAACAGACATGTAGTTGTAACCAGACAAGTTGGACACACAGGAACAGAGGTGTTGAGGGCCCTGCTCAATGAGCTTACATGCTAGAGGGAGTGGGGTAAAATGACACAAAAAGGTAAGGATAGTATTAGACTAGTGACAGCTGCAGAAGAGGAATCAGTCAGGAGCTATTAACAGTTTAATTGATACGCTTTTATGAAGAAGTGGGTTTTTAACGATTTTTTGAAGGAGTGGAGACTGGGTGAGCATCTAACGGAGAAGGGAAGCGAGTTCCTCAGGAACGGTGCAGCCCTCGAGAAATCTTGAAGGCGAGCATCAGAGGTGGGTGTACGGACAGAAGATAGACGTAAGTCTTCAGCAGATCGTAAGGGCCTAGACGGGACATACTTGTGTATAAGGGAGGATAGATAGGTGGGAGCAGCATTATGTAGAGATTTGAAAGCAAGAACCAGAATTTTAAATTGAGCTCTATATTTTATAGGAAACCTATGTAGGGACTGACAGAAGGGTGAGGCATGGGAGGTGCGGGCGGACAGGAAGATGAACCTCGCCGCCGCATTCATTATGGACTGTAACGGTGCAAGTTGGGAGCACATAAGACCACTAAGAAGCGGATTACAGTAGTCAAGGCGAGAAAGGACAGTGGAATGGACCATCACCGTAGTCGCATCTGGCGTTAAGTAGGGGCAGATGCGCGCAATGTTTTTGAGATGGAAATGACAGGATTTGGCGATAGGTTTAACATGAGGCTTGAAGGAGAGGTCGGTGTCAAAGAGAACACCTAGACAACGAGCCTGCGTGGTGGAGCTGATGGTAGCACCGAGGGAGACAGACACAGGAGTAACAACACTTGAGGGAGGAAAGACCAGAATTTCAGTTTTGGTCAAGTTTAGTTTAAGGACGTAGGCAGCCATCCAGTTAGAAACAGCAGAGAGGCAGTCAGAGACACTAGTCAAGAGGGACGGGGAGAGATCAGGAGAGAACAGGTAGATTTGCGTGTCATCTGCATAGAAATGATATTGAAAGCCAAAGGAGCTAATGAGTTTACCAAGGGAGGCAGTATAGATGGAAAACAGTAGGAGACCAAGGACTGAACCTTGGGGGACACCAACAGAGAGGAGTTGGGGAGAAGAAGCAGAGCCAGAGAAAGAAACACTGAAAGAGCGCTGGGAGAGGTAGGAGAGGTAGGAGGAGCACCAGGAGAGAGCAGTATCTTGTAGACCGATATTACGGAGGATGAAAAGAAGCTGTTGATGATCAACGGTGTCAAAAGCCGCAGACAGGTCAAGGAGAATTAGGATAGAGTAGTGACCACAAGATTTTGCAGTGAGTAGATCATTGGAAACTTTGGTCAGTGCCGTTTCCACAGAGAGCTTAGCGCGGAAACCAGACTGAAGCGGGTCTAGCAGAGAGTTGGACTCGAGGAAGTCTGTCAATCTCACATACACTATTTTTTCAAGGATCTTGGATGCAAAAGGCAGTAGCGAGATAGGACGATAGTTGGATGGGGAGTTAGGGTCAAGATTGGGCTTCTTTAGAATTGGGGTTACAGTTGCATGTTTGAAGGGCAATGGAAATATACCAGATGAGAGAGAGAGATTGAGAATTTTAGTGAGAGGTGGAGAAAGAGAAGAAGACAGAGTACGGATGAGATGCGAGGAAATTGGATCTAAGATTTGAATTGGAGATAAGGAGCTTGGGAATCCAGGTAGATGTCACATCATTCGAAAATTATTTGACTATTTCCCATGGGGCTGTTTCCTCTCTGCTGATTGACAGATGCAAAGGTAGAGCTTGTTACCATGATTTCAGCCAAGATGGAGGAACTCAGGGATGTACATTTCTAAATGATTATTTTTGTTAAAAAAAAAATTTAAGCCTCACAAACCCATATTTGTTGATGATAATCCTTGGGAAGGACTCTTTTTATCAATATATATTACATCAGGGATCAACATTTTCACTTGCCAACTATGTATTGTAGGGATCTTTTGATTGTTGATTTTTTTATTTATTTTTTAGAGCTGATACAGATAATCTGTGAATTTTCAGGCCCATAACTTACTGATATTCTTTACATTTACCGTATGATTTATTTATTTATTTCAAAAAAATTTATTACGTGGTAAATGCACAAAATATACATGCCAGTCAGATTTTTTTTTCATGTTTTCATGAATATTTATGTTTGTGTGTAGTGGATGCAGTGAGAGTATTTCATTAGTAAATAAATGCAGTGTGTGTGTTTGTGTAGTCAATGCAGTGTGGGTAGTGGGGGCAATTTGTATGTTTGTTTAGTGGATGCAGTGTGGGTAGTGGATTCAGTGTGTTTGTGTGTACATATGTGCGGTAGGAACTCCCCTCCTCCTCACCCCTTGCCTGTCTCTTAGTGCCCACCCCCATTCCTCTTCCTTCTCTTTTAGTGGTCCTCCCCCTTCCCAAGTGTTCCTTTTCCCTCCCCTGTACCTTAATGTCCTCCCTTAATGTTCCTCTCTCCCCCCCAGTGTTCTTCATCCCCCTTCCCTGTCCCATAGTGTTCTTCACCCCCATTCCCTGTCCATTAGTGTTCTTCAACCCCTCTTCCCTGTCCCATAGTGTTCTTCACCCAACTTCCCTGCCCCATAGTTTTCCTTTCCACCCTCCTGCCCCATAGTGTTCCTTACCACCCCTGTCCCATAGTGATCCTTAACACCCCCGATCCCTTAGTGCTCCTTGCTCTCTCTCGGTGTGTCTCGTGGTAGCGTGGCTGAGCGGAGCAGTGCGCACCGCGGTACAGGAGATTGTCTCTCAGTGAGCACTTCCTTTCAGTCCAGCCAGGTACAGGAAACATAAGTTTCCTGTACCACGGTGCACACTGCTCTGCTCGGCCACGCTATACAGAGTGCCTGGCAGGAGGGAGCGCTGTGCGTCCACCTCCTGCCGGTCACTCCGATCTAGCGCCTTCCCCGAAGTTGGCCACTTGTGCCAAGTTATGGACGCACCGGCCCACTCATTCATTATCGGTATTGCCCGCAAAACCGATAATCGGTCGATCCGTAATGTTTTGGTGAGTGTGTAATGAAAATGTATAGTGTTTTCTTAACCTCTATCTATCTTTCTCTCACTCTATCCATCCCCTTATTTATATGTTGTCTTCTTTTGAGTTTTTAGGATAAAATATAAATGCTGGGAAACTCCAAATACATGACACTCAGAAATAGAATATAATAGAATATAGAATATAAATATATATATTTTTTCATAGCTTCAAGCTGATTTTATAGTAGTGTTTGTTTTTCACACTTTTGCCACAGTTAGTTTAAGGCTTTATGTATTCACTATTTTTATGCTCAAAATGTGTTTTGGTTTTATTCCTTTGTTGAATATATGTCTCATTTCTTTATGTTGTCATAAATGTACAGAAACCGTTTTATTTAAAAAGATCATCTGGGATAATCTCAAGTGTTCTTTTATCTCAGGTTTATGAACAGTCTCGGAAGTATTTTTTCATTTGTATCAAAGGATGCTGTGAGTAAAATTCAGATCATGGAAAACTACTTGAAGGGGGAAAGTGGAGAGAGGTATCGGTCTCTCCAGTCCATGATTGAGTATGAGTTAAGTGGTAACCTAGTGGATTTAACACAACGCTCTGGTCATCCCGACTCTGGCTGCCGCACATTACTGCGCCTGCATCGTGCTCTGCGTTGGTTACAACTGTTTTTGGAGAAGTTAAGAATAAGTAGTGAAGATAGTAAGACCTCCACCTTATGTTCAGAGGCTTACAATGACTCTTTGGCCAACTACCACCCCTGGATCATACGCAAAACCGCATCTGTTGCCTTTCTTGCTCTCCCAGTTCGTAACAAGTTCTTTGAGGTGATGAATGTTGGAACTCCAGAAGAAGTGGTAGACATGCTTGGGGAGGCCCTTCCCTATGTGTCCAAAGTATATGACTTTACGGAGGAGCAGTACTCGCAACACAACCTGCTGAACCTACCTTAAAACATCATAAACGTCAAAATATGAATATAGGTTATCACACAAATAAAATGATGTATGTGTGAATATCATGATTCCTGCCAGGTGCTCAGAAGCTTATTGTAACAAATGAGCCTTTTACAGTTGTAAATATACTTTTCCCATTGATTCCTAGGCGACTAAAGCCTGCTTTTGAAATGTCATGTGTGTTGTCACTGATAGGTATTGAACATGCAGTCATAAAATGGACACGGACCAAAGGTCTTTCTTTTAATGGAACTTTTTTTTTTTTTTTTATTAAAGTGTTTACATTATAGTTCTTACTTCTTGTTCCGTATGAATTTATGTATACATTTTGGAAGAAATGTCAGTGAAGTTTATTTATTAAAATGTGGATTGATGGGAGTTGATAACCAAACTGCAAAAAATAGCTGGTTTGGAAAAGATTCTCCAACTTCGCCATAATCATGTCTTGTCTTATAATAACCTAAATTTTGCACATTTGTTTTCAATTCACTACTGTTTAGTGAATATACCCCCATTATGACCATACACTTACCTCTAGGAACACTTGTCAAACTCCATTTTCTCAACTAAGCTGATAAAACAACAGTTAGATTAATAGTATACTGCTTTCTTACACAATGTAGGGCCCTAAAAGTACGTTTTTTAGATGACTACTTGTTAAAAAGCCCTATGTCTTGGTATAAAAAAGGGGTTTTAATAAAATATTTTGGGATTCAATAAACTAAGGGCTATATTGGCACATATGGGATAGTTTCTGAAAATTCGGGCATTACGGAGTCTTTTTTTTTTTATTTTACTCCTGCTGTACTTTAATGGAACACTTAAAACACCATAACAATGGTCAAACTGTTTTAGGGTGGTCTGCCAGGTGCTGTTCTCTTCTTTCACTACAGCCAACCGCTTTGAAGCTTCTGTTAGCTGTCCTGGACTAAACCATGCAGGGCTAGCTCATTGGCTGAGACAGGGAGCTTCCAGCTCTATGTAGAATGTATTGGAGAAGGGGAGTGTTGCTCTGCAAATCCCAAATAAGAATTCACACTGTTCTAAAACAGAATGGGGGGAAGCTTCAGTGCATTATTTGCACCATAACTGTATGAAGGCATTTTAGTGGTTACAGGGCTTGAAGTGATTCTTTAATGCTGGTTGGCTCTGTAGAACTATGAACAGATTTGGGAATGTTAAAGGGAGATCTCTAAAACAAAGAATGCTGTAACTTGTGATTGAATTTATTTATGCCAAACACATTTGTCTGTACCTCGTGTTCAATGAAATGTTTACTTGAATATACTCGAATAAAGCACTTTGCTGGTGATACAGAATACCCAGCAGTCACTGCTGTGTCTTTCTATGCATTTATTTTCTGTGACACGGCCTCTCACCCCCCACCTGTCCACTTTAATCTCTCTCCCTCCCTGCACCATCTCTCTCTCTTTTTCCATACATGTTTCTTTTTTGTCCTATATCTCTCCACCCGGCCTCCTGCCCTCTCTCTCTTAGGCGCTAACTAAAAAGGATAACAAGAAATAAAAGAAAACAGTGTAGATTAATGGTGCATGGGGGAAATGGCTCCTGATGATGGTGCATACAATTTATGCTGGTTCCTTAGAACTAAATAAATTAAATGATGTGAATGCAAGAATGTGTGAGGTTGTCTGTCTGTCAGTCAGTGAGTGTGTGTTGGTCAGTGTTGCATTGGCTGCAACTGGACAGTGGGGTGCATGGAGGCACTCAATGCCACGTGACATCGACGTGCTATACCATCACAGGGTTTCAAGAAGTAGTGGGAGGATTGGATTTGGCACAGGGTGGTAGAGGGGGGTGCTGTGGTTTAGTAGAAGGTGGGGGGGGACTGGGATTTAGTAGAAGGGGATGCTGTTTTTTTTTTTATACTGTAGTTTTTATGTTTCTATGTTTATGTGGCCCGTGCCAGACTTTGAGTATGACGTGCTTGATGTACACTTAACTGGTAATTTAATCTTTTCCTACTTGCATTCATTTATATTTCAATTTATCATAATTAAGATATGTGTTACAAATTAGGTGCTATTTCTGAATTAGAAACAATTTTCCTTTTAAGACTTATCAAATCTTCTTTACCCCTTCATTTAATAGACAAGATACTTTCAGACAGCTGCGCATTTTTCATAAAATTAAACACTCAAAAAAAAAGGGAAAAAAAGAAACCCAGACACAAATGTGACATAAAATTATTTTTTTCTTTTCAAAATAGCAATTATATATAACCAGCTGCATATTAACCACTTCAGTGCCACACTGTTAAAGAAATGTACATGTAGCAATTTAGAGAACAATGCATTTGCAGCAATAACAATATTATACAATATCTACAATGCACGGTTGGTAATGCACAATCTACCCGCAGTCATGAATGCAGGATTTTACAATGTCAAAATGATCATCAATATTTTTAGTGTTTGCTATTTCTTAATGAGATTTGACCTCTTGAGTACAGGATGGTTTGGAGAACAGGGAACAATAGTTAACATTTTTATTACCTTAAAATTCAAGATGGTACAGAGAGATTTATTAAAGGACCACTCTAGGCACCCAGACCACTTCAGCTTAATGAAGTGGTCTGGGTGCCAGGTCCCTCTAGGATTAACCCTTTTTTTTTTTTTTAAATAAACATAGCAGTTTCAGAGAAACTCCTATGTTTATAAATGGGTTAATCCAGCCTCCAAATCCTCTAGTGGCTGTCTCATTGAAAATCACAGTGAGAACACGCAAGCGTCCATAGGAAAGCATTGTAAATGCTTTCCTATGAGACCTGCTGAATGCGCGCGCAGCTCCTGCCGCTCATGCACATTCAGCCGAAGAGGAGGATCGGAGGCGGAGAGCTCCCCGCCCGGCGCTGGAATAAAGGTAAGTTTAACCGCTTTCCTCGCCATCCAGCCTGGCGGGAGTGGGACCCGGCACTATAGTGCCAGGAAAACAAGTATGTTTTCCTGGCACTATAGTGGTCCTTTAAGAGTTGAAAAGTCAGAGTTTAGTTTAGAAACACCTAGGATGCCAACAAGGTCCATTGCAGTGTTTAAGCATTGTACAAATAAATCTTAATTTCATTTTTATGTTTTGTATGACGCCAGATGCATGCAGACCATAGACAGCAGAACAGTGCACACCGGCACAAATAAAAGACACTCAACACCACTAAATGGAAGTTGCCAGCAGTTCCCATTCCTTTGCATGGTTTTTATTCTTTTATTTGGACATATCTGTGCCTTTTACCAGGTTTATGAAAAACGTAAACTACGGAGAGAGACCTGAATATAGTGATTGTATCTGCAGTAGAGCAACGTTGAATAATTTGCTGCAAAATAACAAAAAGACGACCGGTCACACATTGAGCCAGTTTTATGCAGCAAATCAGTAAAAGTTTGCGCCAATTGGGAACAAATTAGTTTAAAATATTAACATAACTAAACACTAAAACAAATAAACAAAGAACCATTTTACATTTTTCAACTCATTTGTTCACAATTGGCGCAACCTTTTTCTGATTTGCTGCATTATTCTATTTGTGTTGGGTCTTTGAGGGAGCCCCATCTTTTAGGTTTGCTGCCACCTTTTCTATTTGGTTGTAAAACAACGCTGATCATTTTTATAGAGCCAGTTTTGCTGGCTTTAATGGAGTGAGACAACATTTCGGCTCAAGCAAGAGCATTTCTGAAAGCCATCATAGTTTTAAACGCAATAGATGGTGTGGCACCATAGATTTAAAAATAAATAAATTGCCCTGCCTCTTTCAAATTGCTGCAAAATAATGACATTTAGATAATTTTTGTAATTATCTCTATAATTTATACACATTGAACAGTAAACCACCATGGATTATATCTATAATAAAAAATACAGAGAAGGAGGAAAGTTGGTGGCCGTGGGCATGGATGTAGTAAGCCCTGTCCATTGCCTCTTTCATCCCGCTAAAAAAAAAGACGATGTATTTATCTTATAGGAAGTACAGTCCTCTTTATAAATAACGTAGTAGGTTTCACCACTTACTAAATCTCCCACACAGGGTCTTAATATACTATCTGGAAAATACACATTTTTATTTGTAAATATTACTTTCGTGTTTGTTGGGAGGCTTTGAGATAAGCCACTTCCAGCCAGCTCAATGGTTTTATAATGCCCTAAACAAGGGCTATCAACCTTCAGCACTCCAGATGTTGTGGACATATTCTCTGATGCTTTGCCAGCACAGTGGCTTTACTCCACTCCACAAGACCTGGAGTTCCAAAGGTTGACTACCCGTGACTTACACCATTGGGGGACCATTTTATGCATCCAGCAGCAACAGATACATTTAGAAATGAGAGGGGACTACGTTAAAATACTGCTCAATGTTTGCGGAAAAATGATATGCCTCTGTAGCTGCAATACCTTTTTAGATAAGCATGATATTCAAAAATTACCCTAAACATGATCTTGTATTTCTCTTAAATTACACAGAAAAGCAATGGGCACCCACTGCATAAGTGGTCATCACGAAACTTCACCAATCAGCTGCTTGTCTATGGGAAGCACTCACTTCAGCTTAGAAGAATATAGTTCAAAGCTAGTAAGTCAAGAAACCCTCCTGGCATTTTGCTTAACTGCTGGAGGGCATTAAAGGAACAATCGCCATTACAAATGGAACTAATTAGCAGATATACCCCCTCCAAATTTTCCTCCAGGATTTCTTTAGGGGTATATAAAAAAAAAACAGCTTGCAAAAGCCGCAGACCTACAATCTGCAGCGATTGAAAACCCTCCACTCTTTCAGTCTGTTCTAGGGAATTGACCAGAGGCTTCTCATAGAGAGAGATGGAGCCACAAGTGTGGGTGCACATGTGAGGGCTTTCTAATGTTTCTCAGTGACCTGTAGTACAGCTCATTAAGAAGAGTGGAAGGCAAGTGCTATCTAGCCCAGCAAGCATGCCACTTCCGTTAATTCTATGGAGCCAACAGAAGCAAACCTCTCGGGCCGTCTAGAGGGGCGTGCAGGGAAGCGTCTCTGGTCCCAGTTATAAAAGTGCCAATTTCTATTGAAATTGGCACTTGTATAAACTTAAAAAAAAAAATGACAGACTCCACACACATAAAGAACATCAATCTGAATAAAGCCAAATGTGTTTTGTTTTGAAATTAGCAGTTTTATAAACAAGCGTGGGTGGGACATACTGTAAACCCCTAAAACAGTCCAGCAAGCTGAAGTGCTTTTATTCACTGGAGGGCAGCCATCTTTGATGTTTATCACTATCTTTGAACCTTAAATAATCGTTACTGTTAAAAAAAAAAGCAACTAACACATAATATGTGATGCTAGCAACCAATCAGAATCTAGAACTGTTTAGCTCCCAGCATTCCTTTGTGCAGAGAAGAGGTAAATCAGTTTTAATCTACCTGATCACACCGCAGCCACCATATCTCTCAGGAAGTTCCCGCTATGTAAAAACTTTTTTTTTTTTTTTTTTTATAAAAACAAAACAAAAATAACCTCTGATGAAAAATTCATCAACACAAAGTATGGGCAGTTTTTAAAGTGCTATCTGATGAGGCAAATAAATATTCTGATAGCAGGGCCACGTTACTGGAAAATTTCCTTTATCTAGTATACAGCTGATGTAGACCGGCTGCTTACTTCATCCTGCCTCCCCAGGACTGGTAAATACAACGCTCGCTAAGAGGTTGCAGAACATTTGCAAGCAGTATCATTACATTCGATGGCGGCAGTCAGGATCAGCATATTTTTTTTTTTCAGACGCTTAGCAACAATTAAATCCATAGAATGTATGCAGTCAGTAGTAACATTTTGAGGAGTCAGTTCGACTCCCGTGATATCTCAAGTCCTGTGTTACACCCCTTGTTAGAAAACGTTGTAACAACACACTTTCTTAGACTGTATTTACTAAACTGTAAATTTCACAATTTTTTTAATAGACCCCCAAATTCTTTATTATTCCTGAGACGCAAAACAGAAATAACACAATTACCCTTATAATTGGGAGTTTAGCAAAAAACCTGGTAAATAATTTCATAAGTATAGAGTAAATTCATTCAGCCCGAAATACCAATGTAGATGGCTTTAGTAAAATCCTAAAATTGTAGATATATCAGGTTAGGTCAGTTTACAAATATCTAGATGTCTGTGTGTGATTGGAAAACTGCAAACATGTCTCTCTCGTTTCTATAACAGTCTAGCATCGTACAGTCAAACAAAGGCGAGAAATTTCATATTATTGGAGTAATCACAAGACATACTAATAAAACAGATGCAGTTATGGGCTGCTGGAAGGAACGCAAACACAAAATTCAATGACATTTGTAAATCCTATCAGAACTCTGGGCTCTGTTATCAGACTGCTATATACACCAATATACATATATATTAAAAACATTAAATTAGGACGTGTTACTTATACACAGATTCTCTGTACATCTCGTTTATGGTAGTTTGCAGGATTAGTAGGAAACAATCACAGGGTGAAAATAGACTGTCTGCCCAGCCTGTGAGCAGTTCGAGCAGAGACTGAGGAACTATTTGGATTCCCAAGTGCTTAATTCCGTTAATAACAAAGATTAAAATCAACGTCTTGTGCAATGCAAGATATCATCATAGTACTGGTTATTTGAAGTGGCTGTAGTATTTTACTTTCTATATTTAGTAGTAGATTAAAGGGAACTTTGCTTTTATTAATGGATCTAAAACATCTGTAGGGAACCTTTGGAAAAATAAGACAGAGCAATAGCTTCAGAAAACTCTTATTTGGCCAACACTTCATGGCTTTGGAGGTACTCGATCCATCTTCACTTCATTCTGAATGCCCAAACTAGGACTTTATATGTAGTGATGGATTCTTTGAGTGGGCATTTTGACCATTACCCATGACGATCCCTTGGAGGCTTCCTATGGCAGTGGAGATCCTCAGTATCTCAGGGCATTCCTATAATTACTTTGCTGGCCTGGTGGCTGACTCAGAAGGCACTTTGACTGTCACATGATGTCCACAAAGAATTCACAGGGGTTTCCCATGGCCTTTTGGAAGGACTGTCGACTCCCAGTAAGTTCTGGGGGGACGTTGCCAAGCTCACGGTTCGGGAGAGTGGCTTGGGGGCCACCAGTGCCACATAACTTGCTTCCAATTTTTGGCAAGCTGTAATGAGGAGGATGCCCTGAAGGAACATGGGAATGATGACTGCTGCGATGACTACGTTCACTTCTCGCTACTGAGCTCTGACTTCGTTGACTGTGTTGGCTCACTGGCCTTTCGCTCCTGCTTCCTCCACTGCGAGGCGCACGGTCTGAACCACTGCCACTGCCGGTGGACTTTCGGTCTTTCTCTCGTCCAGATGATCTTTTTCCCTCTCGGTTGCTCCGGCTGGAGCTGCTGCTTTTGCTTCCTGTAGAAATAAGACTTTAAATAAATAAATGTCCTGCACCAAGAAATACTTAGAGGGTTATTTCCTAAAGTGAGAATTGCCAGGAATTAAAAATTTATTTCAAATTTAATGCCAAAATATCTGAACTGGAAACAGAATTGACCTGGAGAATGTTTCTCATTTAAGAGTTCTGGCCAAAAATTTGAAATTCACTGCCAATGCACTTTGAACTCCTGACAATTCTATCTCTAGTGAATAAGCCTGTTCATGCTGCGATCCTAGCACATTCCAAAATATTATGAATTGGAAGAAGTAATTAAGGAAAATGCAATTTATTTAATAATATTGTGTTGACTTTATATGCTGGTTGAGAGATTTAATGTGTTTTTCTGCGTCTCCTTTCTAACTTTGTGACCAATACAGAGGCTTAGATTATGTTTTCTGTTACCAAATATATTGGCAGCACTCTTATTTTGGTTTTAGTCTTCAAAAAAAAAAAGTAATAAAATAATTAGCACTTATTCAGTAAACCAGGAATTGCAAATTGTCTAACTAACTGAAGTGAAACATTCTTTAACTTAACTACTTTTCCACCTGACAATGTGTAGTGTGACAATGTGACAACGTGTATGTAATTTCTTCATAATTCCAGGTGAATAGACCTCTAGAAACAATTAGTAAATTTACTGCATAACCATAGGATTATTAATTATTCTAAAAGAACAAAAATAAACTTTAACGTGCACCTGTCATTCCCAAAGCTATTTATTTTTATTTTTTTAAAAAGCATCAACTTTTATTAATACATTGTGCAGTTTTGCTAGCAAATATATAGATTAAGAGGAAAAAAAAAACTATTCAGAAATATTTTTTTCTCCTACCTGTTGATTAAAACTTAGATTCTGTTCTCGGTTGATAAAAGAGAGCAGAGGAGACCTCCCAAAGGTGGTCCTTCTGCTTTCCACCCGTAGCAACCACAGCACATGTAGCCCTAGCCAAGGCTAACAGAGTGATGTCCAGTTGGTGTCATGAAGGAGGTTTCCATTGCTATGGGAAGCATCCCAGGCAAGGCAAATCACTGAAGTGACTGGGTGGACTGGAGGTCTGTGTTACAGATTCCAGAGGGCCAGGTAAGTAGTGACAGGCTCCTTTTAACATCAGGGCTGATGTATAAAAATTACACTGCTTTAGTTTTATTGATTATTTATTCTCTAAACACAAATGTGACACCCAGAATTTTTTTTCTCCAAATATATTATTTTAAGCCCGAATGTTGCTGCTCATTGCTCAATTCACCACTATGCTATAAACACGTTGCAGATTTCTATTACCGTTAATATGCCTTACTGTAAGGAGCCATGTAATATTGAGGGGTTATTTAAATAGAACATTGTACATCACAAACCTGGCATCATGTATTCAATGCCAAATGACTTATGACATGCATACACCCACTATGACAATGAGATGAAGCTGGCCATGCATCACCATGCAACTATAGTCACCAACTAGCATATGTTGGTTCATTTCTCTAAGTGTTACTGTGGTGTGTAAAGACATTCTGTTTGTATAGCTTAATAATTCGAATGGGGTAAAATGCATGTAAAGAATTATTCACTAAACTCTGATTTTAGCAATGAAACAAATAAGGCCTAGCTGTGTATACCATTATAGAATACACATATTATACCATACCATATCATTATATTATGGTATAGTTGGAGAATTTCTCCATATCAGCTATATTGCTATAATTCTACGGGTCATGTTTCAATTTGCTGCAACACTGTGGAGTTTAATAAAGAACTCTGCTACAATTACCATATTAACAGATGTTGCACACAAAGATATAAGCTCTATGAGAGGCGATGACACGTGCATAGAAACTGAGGCTGTTTGGAGTATGCCCTCTACATGATCACAGGTCAGTGATAATTAACATTAGCACTGCAGATGTTAGTTTTTACACACACTTGCAGAGCCAAGGTTAACCATCAGCGGTCCAGGAGCTTGCACTTTGCATAAACAGGATGAACTAATGGAGTTTGCCGTCACTGTGATTTGTTGTATTGGCATTCTAGAATCTAGAACTCCAGCCATAAAACTTAATTTGACAGCAGTATCTAACTGGGGAATTGGGTCTTTTATATTTGAATTATCCAAAAACTCATCATCTTTAAAAGGCCCTTGTCAGACCAAACATAACTTGGTGTAACTTGTGTACAGCACACAATTTTAACTATACACCAAGCTAGCTGAGCTGTAAATAAAATAATTAATGAAAAATTATTTTACTCTTTTTCACCTACCTTACCTCTTGCTATGCCATTGGCTTAGTTTTAAAGACTACAAACATGGAGGACAGAGGTGGTTGTGAACACAATTGCTTGACCTCTTAAGGATGCAGGAGCCTCCCACAACTCCAAACATCTGCACGCTAGGAATTATGGGCATCAATAAGCATCATTTGATGATAGGCAGCTGCACTCAGGATACTATTTGGGAGAAATATTATTTTTCAGGTAAGTATTTCTCTTCATCTATACATTTGATATATAATTTATTCTATACAAAAGCGATCATGTCAGAAAAATGTATATAGACTAAATAAAGGTGTACCTTCCTGAAGATAAATACATACTTGTGTACTACCAGAATGAAGACACCAAGGAAGCACAGAGATTATTGTTAAGGTGTTCTGATGTCTTATAAGCTAAAACTAAAAGTCCTGGACCTCTCCCCTTTTGGAAGATAAAGTTCTTTACTTGGTATCTGAAAAGTAGGGTTTTTGTAAATAAACTATTAACGTTGTACATTAAACAAGTGGAAATTCTGCATTTGATATTTTTGAGATTCAGGGTAGAACCTTGTGATATGAATAAAAGCCTATGTTAACTGGAGGGAGATGGGGAATGGTCTAGGTGGGTGAAAGACAGGCCAAAGGGATCCAGACGGACATGCCATGACTGGGGTTACAGTCTGAGTTTCACGCTTACCGATGACCTAGATTGTTCCATTCCTTCAATGCATCCTTCAGTCTAAGGCTTGCTCAGCACAAAACAAGGGAATAACACAGTTACTTTAACAGCACAGGACTCAGCAGGCGATATAGCAAAGTGTTAATGAAAAGAACAGACCAGCACTGTGTCCTGCACTTCCTTTTCACAGAGAACCCACAAGGTTTTCCATGCAGAATTTTGGCTTTGTCACGTTTAGGAAAAGCTTTCATTGTTCCTCTGATTTCTACTAGACTATATTATATATATACTACAGGGCTCAAAATTTCCACTTCCCATTAGCCATTGGTGAGTGAAAATTCCACCCTAGCATGTAGAAATTCAGCCCTGGCAACTGTGTAAGTGTGTCATGGACCCTCCAGGCTTGAAGTGAGGCACATGCAAGGCCAGGCTATTAGTGTAGGACCTGTAGTTTTAATCTCTGTTATACTGTATATACAATCACTCTGGGAAGTACCGTACATTCTAAAGTGAAGTAGCCCACTGCCTAAATAAAGATCTAACATGTAGACCCTATTATGTAACAATCTATCTCTGCAGTTTCAGAAAGTTATCAGGAGGACAAAAGTTATGTACACCTATGAAAAAAAAGAATACTACAACAGGAGGGGAATGACTTGAAAATGGAGGTGGACAACTCAGGGATAGTGGCCATAAAACAGAATTGTGGAGAATTGACAAGGAAATTACACCTTTTGGGATAAAACTGCAGAGACAGAAATATACCTCAGTTGTTTTCAAACTCAGCTCTTTTTACAAAATTTGCAATTACTTCCTTGTCAATTCTTCACAATTTAGCAAATGAACCTGTTTTCTGGTGCTCTGCCCATTGTTTTTAGCCAAACAAAATATATTTCCCAAAACGGGCTCTTTAGCATCCAATATCTGGTTCATCTGCTGCCTCTCAGACACAATGGAGGTTTCATTCATTCATACCGGCCCACAGCTGTCCCAACCACAAACAGCAACAACAGACAAAGTGATGTGGGCTGCTTAGCACAGGGTTAAGCTACTTATTATTGTGTCCAAGGCTGGTGATTTTGGAGATGAAACATCAAGATTATCTCAAGGACTGCAGAATGACCAGATTTTGGGTGCCAGGAATTTTATAACTACTCATATAAAATGTGACTTTCCTGATGCCCCTTTAAGTAGTAGGAGAATACTGATTCTTATTTATGTATTTTATGCATATTTCAGAATAACAATGGTTTGGTTCCACATGTAGTATAAGGTTATATATAACTCTCTGTCTTGCTTCCTCACAAGTAGTAAAACAAAGGTTCCAAATATGGGTCTCAGTTGCAGACCTGTGAAACTGGACTTAACTTGGGTTGTTAATTACACAATCCCGAAACTGATATGCAAAGACTGCGAGGTTGAGAAGAAGTGATCACAGTAGTGAAGGTATTAATTGACACATTTGGCAGTAAATTGTATAATGTCTTTGAAATGTATTGATTTTGCTGGGTGTCTCGCTATGCTGAGCCTATTTCCAAGACATGGCTATTTCTTCACAGGATAACAATGATCAGACCAGTGTTATAAGAACTATTTACTGTTTATTTACTTTAAAGCTAAGATGCATACTAATTAGTTTGAGAATGATTCAGTCCATGTATGTGCAATGAAATGGTGTTTGAATAAACCATGCATGCAGAACTGGAAGACACCAAAGCGTGGAGAACAAGCACGGAGAGAGGAGGTCAGGGAATTAATGCTTACCTTCACTGTGCTGGCTACCTGCGCTGCCGCTACCATAGCTGAATCCTGGCTCTTGATATGTTGGAGGGAAGCAAGATGGTGCTAAAGGATATTGATAAGAGTATCCCTGGCCTAATGGCCAAGGTGCAGCTGGATGTGGGAGGGGAGCAAGGGTATCCTGATCAGATGTGCCACTGGAGCCATCGTTAAGATTTAGTGCCGCCACATCTAAATAACAAAAATGAAAGTATTCTTAATTACAAGCAGTCTTTTTTTAGATATACAGCCCTTTACCATTGTGTTGTAAATAATGCATTCATTTAATTTATTCATACTGAGTTTTTCTCGCCAAAATTAAACTTTTTAGTTCTAGAGGTGTACCCAACGCATTTCACGCATATCTCCTCTGGAATGCAAAAGCTTGTTAATGGTACATTCTTACTGACATCCCTTTAGCCATGGAATAATTCATTTTGGCAAGTTACATTATAGATGAAAAGCGAAAACTTACTGCCACACAGATCTCCAAATACATAGTAGCACTGCTCGGAAAAGGTGATTTTGTTGACCGTGTGCCTGAGGTAGCCATGTTTTAGCATGCTGCTGGCATATTTCCTGGCCTCTCTCCGCTCCTTGAAGCCTTCAATGTGCGTGTACAGCCAATCCACCACGTCAGCCCCTACAGAAAACCACACAGAACAAAACACTTTTTATACAACAGTCAATGTAAACACACATAAACCATTTACCTCAAACAAAAACAATCTAAACATTTACATTAATTAGAGCAGGTTTCAATTCTAAACTCACACCATCTTAGTAAATATAAAAAATTATAAAAAGGCCATTAAGAATCAAATGTATTTGCTCAGCCGTGATAAGCTTCCCATAGTTTGTTCTTAATTACTGATAGTCGCAATCATTTAACCCCTGACATGCCACAGGGCAGGTTTATTATGGATTCAGTAGCACTGTCTGCAATATTTAAAAAAGAATCCAGGGCCACATAAAGGAGGGCAATAAAAAGGGCATGAAAGACCTGACCATGGCTAACGAGGCTTTCAATGGTCCTGCCCATTTTCCTCCAAATCTGATACCCAGGAATATTAAAGGGACACTATAGTCACCTAAACAACTTTAGCTTAATGAAGCAGTTTTAGTGTATAGATTATGCTTCTCATGTTTCACTGTTCAATTCACTGCCATTTAGGAGTTAAATCACTTTGTTTCTGTTTATGCAGCCATTGCCACACCTCCCCTGACTCTGATTGACACAGTTGCATGAAAAATAAAAACTGGTTTCACTTTCAGTCAGATGTAATTTACCTTAAACAATTGTATCTCTTTCTCTATAAATTGAACTTTAATCAAATACAGGAAGCTTTTCAGGCTATTAACATAGCAGGGGATAAGAAAATCTAAATTAAACAGAACTTGCAATAAAGGAAGGATAAACTTTAGATGACTCTTTACAGGAAGTGTTTAGGAAGGCTGTGCAAGTCACATGCAGGGAGGTGTGACTAGGGTTCATAAAAAAAGGGATTTAACTCCTAAATGGCAGAGAATTGAGCAGTGAGACTGCAGGGGCATGATCTATACACCAAAACATGCAATATTTTCCTACTGTACATCATTATTAAATTTGTTGGTGCGATAAAGCTAAAACAGTAATGATAGATGAACAAATCTTACGGTTATCATTGAAACCCCCAGATTTACTGAAATTATGGGGCCTGGTTGCTGTACAATACAGACTCACCTATAACTGCATTCGATATTGTTATTTTCAACCACATCCGATCCCGGATCTCCAGCCCTGAATCTGGAAGCTGCATTACTTTTACTATTGTAGCCATGTCACTCTTGACAGACAATGGGGAATCCTCCAATTCTGAAATAAAAAGACAAATTAATTCATCATTCAAAAAAATGGATTTTAATTTCTTGGGGAAAACACAGTTGAACTTCCAACTAAGTAATTTAATAAGGCCTAGGAAAACCCCTGTTTTGATTTTCTATGCCTAATTGAAGCCTTGGGTTGCTCTTATCTAGTTTTTTAATAGGTGGACCTAAAACAGCACAAAATATTTAAATTATCAGGGCTATTCACAAAAAGTGTGATCTGCAATCTGCTGGAAATTTACAAAGATTTTAGGACAAAAATGGCAAGCTAGAAAATGTCCCCAAGTTAGCTATGTTTTTAGTTAAGTTATTATGGCTTACATTCTAGAATCACATTGAATTCTCGACAATTTAATGATTAACCCAGGCGGTTTTGGTTAATTCTCACATCACTTGGATTTGTATAGCCCCACAGCCTAAACACATTCAGTTCTGCAATCTTATGAATTTAAATAACCATTTTAAAATGATTCATTAAACCAGGAACTGGGGACAACTAACAATCTAATTGCAAAATGTAGGTCCAAATAACTTCCTGAAAATATAACTGAGCTTGTGAATATTTCTACTTTCTATATTTTGGCCTAGAATTTGCAATTCTCCCCAGTTCCTAGAGTAGCAAATAATACTCTCCGAGAAGTATTTTACTGACTATGCCTGCTTTTTCACTAACGTGTGCATTAAAAAGACAGAGGATAGGGGGCGCCAGAGACTGCGTGACTTGGTTATCCACGTACATACATTTTATTTGCAGTCACCCTCTCTATCTACAAACCCAACCAGCAAACAATAACACACAGGGTGAGCAAACAGTGCATGCAAAAGATTTAAACAGTATGACACATGGTGTGATGGGGCATTGTGAACAGGAGTCCAAGTGGGAAATGGGTGTATTGTAACATACAGTACAATAATGTTTTTTATTTTTTATGAAAGGGAAGATAATCTGTGTGGTGTGAGTTATCGGATATCTAGTGCTCAACTGAGCACCATGTGTGGGTCATTATATTCTGAAATCCTAAATAATGGTGTAACCTGTCAACTTAAATCAACAATCAGGTCTACAATACCAACAGATGTGACGGTATAAGCTATATTACATAAGAATCTAGTTAGCACCTGACGAACACTACAATAAAAAACACAGTGATCATCTGTGCCTTTACAGAGAATAGTAATATTTAGAATGAAGCAGATTACATCAGATGTCACGACAGTAATACAAATCATTCTGAGCTCTCTAGAAAGCTCTTAGGTAATACATAGATTCTATAATGCAGAAGTAGTCCATGTGGTCATCGGGTTCACTAAAGGTATTTTCTTTACGTAAATGTTCATTGAATGTATTGTTGTATTCCTTTATTACTCCTGAATGCGTGACGGTACAGAGATCTAGCTGTTGTTATTCCACGACCAATCCTTTTACTATGGGAGTCGCCATTTAAAAGTTAGAGGGTAATTAAGTAAGTATCAACGATACATCCGAATAGCAAACTTTAGATGAACAAGCTGAAATGTATTTTTAAAAAAGGGATGTAATATTTATCAGAGGTAATTCAAGTACAAATTTCGATAGTGCATAAAAAAATGCAAATTAATTTAAGGACTATTTAGGTGCGCTGCAAACGAAATTGAGCTTCTATGAGAATACTTCCCAGTTTCCACACTCCTGTGCAGACGGTTGTGAGTTAACAATATAAAGAGGAATGCGTGTTTTCACCTTCCTTCTCCTTAACCATTCTGTCCTGAGGGTAGATATTATTTAATTAATGCATGGGTGCGCAGGACCTAAAATGAACAATAGGGAACCACCCTATAACCTATTCCCTACCCAATGTGTTGCATGTGGGGGGTTAGACTGTGTTTCTGGTTATTTAGAGGAACACAGTCTCACTAACTATGCGCAGAGGGTTGTCTATCCCTATTCACATACCTAAAGTGCAAAGGGAAGTAGGCTAACATAATGGGTCATTTGGGCTTGCGTGTAATCAACCATTCCACTCCTAGAGGTAGAGTTGTATCAACCCTCAAGTGACAGGGAGTCTCGATCTACCTTGCTCTACCTTTACCCAGTGTTTCAGTGGTACATAAGTAAAGCAGTTAAAAAAATTAGTTACTACATATTTTTTAATTAGGTTGTCCCCCCTACTTACTCAATGGAAAAAAAGTCCTAGGACTCATGCTGGTTTTTTTTTATGCCCCCACCACTGGCACTTGGAGCGAGAGCGAGGAAGGTGCCAATGTTGATCTCCCATCTATTTTTACTTATTTATTTTAACTTTGTGCTTGCTCATTTATGTATTTGAATTAGTTCAGGAATTCCTGAACTATCTGGCCATATTTCATACACATGCTTTGAATTAATGTTTTTGGATTATCTTTTTAAATGATTGAATAATTTGGGTAAACGTTTAAAATGAAATTAATATTTTTTAAAAAATACTTTAATATTTTGATATATTTTTAAATAGGATAGGATTTTTTAAAAATATTTTAATATTTTGAGAGAAAAATAAGCTCAAATATGTATTCAAAAATATTAAATAATTTGAAAAATGTATGAAACATACTAAATCAAAGTCATAATTTGGGTATAATTTTGTTTTGCATCCACTTCAACAAATTTACTTTTAATTTTTACTCCACTTTGCTTCAACCAAAATGTAATTGATTTTAGTCAAGCTTTGTTTTCAACTTTCCTTTGCCACCCCAGCACCCATAATTTCAAACATTAGAAAAAATGAAATAAGAATATAATTTTAAACGCTTACACAACTGGTTTGTGTTTAAAAAAAAAAAAAAAAAATACTATAATTTATATCTACCCTAGTGACTATAATCAGTGGCGATATCAGCCCAGTTGAGGCAATGACCGTACAGCACGAGGCTAAATTTAACATCTAACAACTTGACAATTTCGTGGTGTCATCAATCACTGGACGTAGGTAAGTGATAGCTGTAGGTCGTCTGGTTTGTAGACAATTCACATTCATTCTCACACTGTAATATGAGATGCGTAAAGCAAGCACCGAATACAAAAGCTCAGTTATCTATTAAGTGAGATAAATCAAGAGCTGGTACAAAAGCGAACAAAACCTATCAGGAGGTTATAATGTCACAGGACATCTGTACGAAGCCAAAGAAAACAGATTACGCTAATAATTGGAAAAATGATACACCTTCACCTCCTTTGCTCACATCGAAAACATTACTCAAGTCCCATCACAATGGACAGAAAGGTCTTTTGATTACGGTGAAAAGGGAGACCCGGAAGATGCTACTTGACTCCAGTTAGATAAACATGCTAGATACTCCTATAAATCTGTCATCCTCGACAATGTATGGAAAGATCTGAAAGACTCTGTATGTTTATCAATGTCTTTAAACTTCTTGTGTAAAAGAGAATGCGGTCATTAAAATGGGTTTATTCTCTGCTTAAATGCAATCAGAGCTTTCTTTCATCTGGGTGTTAGCATTATTAGTACTTTGATCCTACTCAATAAATCTCGCTGAAATTTCAAAATATATTTTTTTACGGAAGTTGCCTCTCGAACAGATGAATTGCGTCCAACTTATTCCACATTGTGTTCTGTTTATGTGCAATTATTCTGTGTGGATGGCCTAAAAACACAATCCTTCCCGAAGGTTCTCTCAAAAATCTTAATACTTTACTTTATTTTACTAGGCTTATCTCTTTTACTGCATTATGCTCTCATATGGATCCAAAAGGATACAATTGGCATAAGAGCACTTTAATTGTGTGCATTAACAAGTAAAATGGCTAACATATATCAATTTTGGAGACCATACCCATGGCTTGTAGGTATCTCGAGATGGTATATTATTATACCAGTATGTTATAATCTGATATGATTGCTATACCCCAGGTCAACAAAGAGACCTGAGTCACAGACTTATTACTAACACTTATTCTCTATAGCTTTCTGTCACGGTATATCAATGATAGGCAATCTTCAGCACTCCAGATTTTGTTCACTTACAGCCATAATGCTGGCAAAGTATCAAGGGAGATGTAGTCCATAACATCTGGAGTGCTGAAGGTTGCTTAGCGCTGTGCTACATCAAGGTATTGGAGAAAAAAATAAGCATTGTGTGTCTCTAGCAGTATGCATGGAACGATCAAGCAGCAGACAGAGATTTGGGTAAATCTTTCTGCCTGGTTGATTAACATCTTCGTGGGTGTGTGGGTGGGGTAAAGCTGTACACTGCTGCCCCAGCACAGGGTCAGTCCTGCCCAGAGTAAGGGGCTGCAGTGTGACTTACTTTCCGACTCGGGTATAGAGCTTGTTAATGAGGAGCTGGTGCATGTGATGATGCTCATGGAGGGGCTCATACCGTAACGGGGGTACGCTCCCGTCAGGGCTGAGGTATGAGTGATCCAGGCAGCCGGGTCAATAGGCCTCACAGGTTCTGCTGTAACCAGGACAGGGGAGAAAACAAACAAACATACGTTTGGTGAACAATGCAGTGCGGATACATGATGACATTACCATGGCTGAAAAAAACATTGCCTTTGAAGATAAAAACATTAAGCGTTACAGCAGATATTCCTCTACCTGACCCATCATTTTATCGTGTTTAGCGTACCATTCCTGTATCATGTGCTGAGGAAGCCGTTTCCACTTTTTAAAATTAATCATTAGAACATTTTAAAATCTCATCTTCCTTTATACCTATTATTATATCTTGTATACATTATTATGAATCTATGCTAAGTACCAAATAATTTCCTTCCATTTATTAAAACCACCCACATCACACTCAAACTTTCTTAATATGGTACCTAACTCTTGAATTCCCTCTTCCAATTTACTGAATGTAGCACCTGTGTTCCTTCCTCGAGAATACTGAAGGTAGTGCCTGCATTCCTTCCTCCAGATTAAGGAATGTAGCACCTGTATTGTTTCCTCGAGAATACTGAAGGTAGTGCCTGCATTCCTTCCTCCAGATTAATGAATGTAGCACCTGTATTGCTTCCTCGAGAATACTGAAGGTAGTGCCTGCATTCCTTCCTCCAGATTAATGAATGTAGCACCTGTATTGCTTCCTCGAGAATACTGAAGGTAGTGCCTGCATTCATTCCTCCAGATTAATGAATGTAGCACCTGTATTGCTTCCTTGAGAATACTGAAGGTAGTGCCTGCATTCCTTCCTCCAGATTAATGAATGTAGCACCTGTATTGCTTCCTCGAGAATACTGAAGGTAGTGCCTGCATTCCTTCCTCCAGATTAATGAATGTAGCACCTGTATTGCTTCCTCGAGAATACTGAAGGTAGTGCCTGCATTCCTTCCTCCAGATTAATGAATGTAGCACCTGTATTGCTTCCTCGAGAATACTGAAGGTAGTGCCTGCATTCCTTTCTCCAGATTAATGAATGTAGCACCTGTATTGCTTCCTTGAGAATACTGAAGGTAGTGCCTGCATTCCTTCCTCCAGATTAATGAATGTAGCACCTGTATTGCTTCCTCGAGAATACTGAAGGTAGTGCCTGCATTCCTTCCTCCAGATTAATGAATGTAGCACCTGTATTGCTTCCTCGAGAATACTGAAGGTAGTGCCTGCATTCATTCCTCCAGATTAATGAATGTAGCACCTGTATTGCTTCCTTGAGAATACTGAAGGTAGTGCCTGCATTCCTTCCTCCAGATTAATGAATGTAGCACCTGTATTGCTTCCTCGAGAATACTGAAGGTAGTGCCTGCATTCCTTCCTCCAGATTAATGAATGTAGCACCTGTATTGCTTCCTCGAGAATACTTGTAATATTTATTTTGTAATACTTCTTAATTGGAACTCAACTGCAGAATTTCCTGGTTGCAGCAACAATAAGTTTCACCTCCTTTTATATTGATATGAAACAATGGTCACTGTACCTTTAAATACACATGAAGGAAAAATTAGGCTTTGTAGCAATCCCTTATGAATAAGAGGAATAATTAGACAAAGTGACACTTTAGTGAGTTTTAGATACTGTGTAACATAAATAATAGGAATTGGCTTGTTTGGTAAAAGTATTACTTAACTTAAAGGCAGTTCTGGCACTGGAAGGGTTAATTCACCCAATGAAGGAGAAATTAGAAGTCCGTTTCAACAAGCTGAGAACTAGGAGTGGAGAGTGGGGAAGTCCGTTTTAACAAGCCGAGGTCTGGGAGTGGAGAAGGTAGAATTCAGAGTTACAAGCCGAGGTCTAGGAGTGGAGAAGGTAGAAATCCGTTTACAAGCCGAGGTCGAGAAGTGGAGAAGGTAGAAATCCGTTTACAAGCCGAGGTCGAGAAGTGGAGAAGGTAGAAATCCGTTTTACTAGCCGAGGTCTAGAAGTGGAGCAGGTAGGATCAAAAGTAGAGCAGCTGATCTTTCTGCAGCACCTGTGCGAATAATCCAGCCCTTTGAATCTGGCGCGGTCTTCCTAAGTATCGTGGAGGGACCGCGTCAGAAAAAAGGGCGGGGCTGAGCGCCGTGAACCCGGAAGTGGGTTCCGGCGACGAAATACATGCCATGCTATACCTGACAGTACCCCCTTCTCATGGGGCATCCTCTGGGTGCACTATTTCGGTTTGGAGGGGTAGCGTTTGTGAAAGGCAGTAACTAACCTCCTAGCATGTACATTAGATGAATCTTCCCAAGTGTCTTCATCAACTCCATAACCTTTCCATCTGATAAGGTATTGTAAGGAGCCACGGTGGACACGAGAATCCAAAATTTTGTGAATTTCATATTCTTCTTCACCTTGGACAATGATAGGTTCAGGAGTTGTTACTATTTCTCTATAAAAAGGATCAGGGATGTGTGGTTTAAGTAAGGAGACATGGAATACTGGATGAAGTTTAAAACTTGGAGGAAGTTTTAGTTTAACAACGTTATCATTAATGGTAGTAATTACTTGAAAGGGACCAAGAAAAAGAGAGCTCAATTTCTTTGAAGGACGGCTTGTGGTAATATTCCTTGAAGAGAGCCAGACAAGATCCCCTACCTTGTAAGGAGGGGGAATTCTTCTATTATTGTCAAAAAACTTTTTCTGGTTATTTTGGGCGAGTTGAAGATTCTCCCGTAATTTGAGAAATAGAGAAGACATAAATTCGTTTTTTGATGTAACAGTAGGATTGGATGAAGTAATGGTTTGGATGGGGAATGAAGACGGATGAAAACCATAGTTGGAGAAGAAAGGAGTCATTTTCGTACTAGAATGAATGGTATTATTGTAAGAAAATTCGGCCATAGGTAACCATGTGGTCCAGTCATCTTGGAGGTATGAACAATAACATCGAAGATATTGTTCCAAACATTGATTAACCCTTTCTGTTTGCCCATTAGTTTGGGGATGATAAGCGGAAGAGAGTTTGCGTTGAATTTGAAGGGAGAGACACATCTCTTTCCAGAATTTGGAGGTAAATTGTGTCCCCCTATCAGAAATAATTTCTTCAGGAAGACCATGAAGTTTCACAATATTGTCAATAAAGACCTTAGACAATTCTACAGAGGAGGGTAATTTTTTTAAGGAAATGAAATGGGACATTTTTGTGAAGCGATCCACAACGACAAGAATAGTGGTGAAATGTTGAGAAGGTGGAAGATCAACGATAAAATCCATAGAAATGGATTGCCAAGGTTTTTCTGGAATAGGTAAGTTAAGTAGTAATCCAAAAGGTTGATTATGTTCTGGTTTAGACCTTTGACAGATAGGACATGTTTTGACATATAATTCAATGGTTCTATCCTGGCGAGGCCACCAATAATATCGTGAAGTTAGTTCAAGTGTTTTCTTTATTCCAGGATGTCCAGCTAGGGGTGAATCATGAACCATCTTAAGTAATTTATTCCTAAGAATGGGAGGAATATAAATTCTATTTTTAAAATAAAATATACCATCCTTTTTTGTTAGTATAGGTGTTTTGGGAAGTTCAAGATCCTTCTGATTCAAATTCTTTATGTCATCATGAAGAGAAGAGAGGATCCCTATTATTTTGTTAGGAGGATAATCATCAATAGTAGTTTTAGAAGGAATTCGAGAAAGAGCGTCAGCCTTTTTATTTCTAGTTCCAGGTCTGTATATTAATTGGAAGTTAAATCGGTTAAAAAATAGGTTCCATCTAACTTGTCTAGCTGTAAGGGTTTTGTTAGTATAGAGATATTCAAGATTTTTATGGTCAGTATAAACTATTATAGGTTGTTTTGTATCTTCCAGAAGATGACGCCAATTTTCGAAGGCAGCTTTAACACTTAATAATTCTTTTTCACCAATAGGATAATTTTTTTCAGCAGAGCTCAAGGATCTTGAAAAAAAGGCAACTGGATGAAGTGGATCTTGTGGAGTCTTTTGTTGAGAAAGAACTGCTCCGATGGCTGCATCTGATGCATCAACTTCAAGAACATATAAGAATGTTGGATTAGGTAGTTGTAGAATAGGTGCAGTTGTAAATCTTTTTTTTAATTCGTCGAAGGCTGTTTGTGCATCTTTATTCCAATTGAAAGGACGTTTACTACTGTTGAGGAGGTTAAGAGGATGTGATACATCCGAATAGTTTCTAATAAATTTTCTATAGAAGTTTGCAAATCCAAGAAAACGTTGTAATTCTTTTGTAGTAGTAGGAGCGGGCCAGTCAATAATACATTTGATTTTGGAATTATCCATCTTCAAAGAATGAGGTGAAATAATGTATCCTAGAAAAGAGAATTCAGTAACCTCAAAAAGGCATTTTTCTGGTTTAGCGTATAATTTATGAGTTCTCAGTCTAGATAGAACCCATCTAACATGCTTCCTATGTTCATCCAAATTGTTAGAATATATTAAGATATCATCTAAGTAGATAATAACACATATATCCAGAAAGATCTCTAAAGATATAATTTATAAAATGTTGAAATGTTGCAGGGGCATTACAGAGCCCAAAAGGCATCACTAGATATTCGTAGAGACCATATCTTGTCCGGAAGGCGGTTTTCCATTCATCATCCTGTTTTATTCTAATGAGGTTATATGCGCCTCGAAGGTCGAGTTTAGTGAATATAGTTGCAGTTCTTAACCTTTCAATTAATTCATTTATTAGTGGAAGAGGATAACGATTTTTAATAGTTATTTTATTTAAGGCTCTGTAATCTATAATAGGACGGATGGTTTGGTCCTTATTCTTCACAAAGAAAATACTAGAAGCAGCTGGGGAGGTCGAGGGTCTGATGAACCCTTTGCGTAAATTTTCATTAAGATATTCTTTTAAAATTTCTAACTCCTTTTCAGAGAGTGGATAAATATGACCATAAGGAATAGGAGCACCGGGTATGAGATCTATTGGGCAATCATATACCGATGAGGAGGAAGTGTTTCCGCTTCTTTTTTACAAAAGACATCTGCAAAATCGGAGTAGAATGGAGGTATAACTGGTTCTACAGTAGTTTGGAGAATAGGAATGTGTTGTAAGCACGTTTTTTTACAGAAATCAGAAGCAAAGGAGATGGAGAAGGGAGACCACTTAATTAAAGGATCATGGGTTTTTAACCAATTAATTCCTAGAATGACGGGATAAAGTGGAGATTTAATAATATCAAATGTAATGAATTCGAAATGTACGTTGTTGGTAATCATTCTTAGAGGGATTGTCTCATCTTTGATGGGTCCTGAGGATATAAATGAACCGTCAATAACTCTGATTGGAATAAAGTTAGTTTTTTGAACACAAGGAATTTTATTTTTTGAAACAAAAGAAAAATCAAGAAAAGTTCCATTAGCACCAGAATCAATGATGGCCTCAGTCACGATTCTTTTTGTATCCCACTGTAATATGAGAGATATAGAAAAATAAGTAGATGCTTTTCTTTTTTTGAAAAACGTTCAATATAGAGGTAGATGAATGAAGCTTACCACCTTTTGAATGTTTCAGTAGAGGACATTCGGAAATTAGATGTTCGTTCGAAGCACAATACATACATAAGTTTAGTTGTCTCCTTCTTATTCTTTCTTCAGAAGTAAGAGGACTTTTTATTATACCTACTTCCATAGGTTCAGTTTGTGGAGGAATTTTTTCAGGTAGTTTTAGAGTAGTGAAAGGTTTTCTCCAGGTAGAATTAGTAAGAACCCTTTCAGCTTTTCTTTCTCTTAGACGTCTATCAATACTGATGGACAGTTGAATCAATGCATTTAAGGTAGGAGGAAGTTCTGTACGAGAGAGTTCATCTTTCACAGCTTCAGATAATCCGAGACGGAATTGATTGCGTAAAGTAATGTCATTCCATTGGGTTTCTGTAGCCCATCTTTTGAATTCTGCAATATAATCTTCAACAGGTCTATTCTTTTGGTGTAATGTTCTGATGGTTAAATCAGCAGTAGTTTGTTTAAAAGGATCTTCATATAATAAAGACATAGCTTCAAAGAACTCATCCAATGAATCTAATATGGGATCATCATTTTCCAAAAAGGAATGGGCCCAGGCCATAGGTTCACCTCTTAAAAAAGAGATCACTGAACAGACTTTGGATCTTTCGGTGGGATAAGATCTAGGTTTTAAAGCTATTAGTAGTTTGCAAGAATTCAAAAACTCTCTGTACTTTGTTCTATCTCCATAAAATTTTTCTGGATTACAGACAGCAGGATCACCAGCCGATTGAAGAGCGGCATGAGGAAGATGACCTTGAATGTCTCTAACATAGGTTAATATTCTCTCATTTGTAATTTGCAGTTCCTGTAACCCTTGAGCAATCGTATCCACTCTATTGGTTAGGGCAGAAACTTGAGAGTTGATATCTGCTGGTTCCATTGAATAAGGCTGGATTATTCTGTAATATTTATTTTGTAATACTTCTTAATTGGAACTCAACTGCAGAATTTCCTGGTTGCAGCAACAATAAGTTTCACCTCCTTTTATATTGATATGAAACAATGGTCACTGTACCTTTAAATACACATGAAGGAAAAATTAGGCTTTGTAGCAATCCCTTATGAATAAGAGGAATAATTAGACAAAGTGACACTTTAGTGAGTTTTAGATACTGTGTAACATAAATAATAGGAATTGGCTTGTTTGGTAAAAGTATTACTTAACTTAAAGGCAGTTCTGGCACTGGAAGGGTTAATTCACCCAATGAAGGAGAAATTAGAAGTCCGTTTCAACAAGCTGAGAACTAGGAGTGGAGAGTGGGGAAGTCCGTTTTAACAAGCCGAGGTCTGGGAGTGGAGAAGGTAGAATTCAGAGTTACAAGCCGAGGTCTAGGAGTGGAGAAGGTAGAAATCCGTTTACAAGCCGAGGTCGAGAAGTGGAGAAGGTAGAAATCCGTTTACAAGCCGAGGTCGAGAAGTGGAGAAGGTAGAAATCCGTTTTACTAGCCGAGGTCTAGAAGTGGAGCAGGTAGGATCAAAAGTAGAGCAGCTGATCTTTCTGCAGCACCTGTGCGAATAATCCAGCCCTTTGAATCTGGCGCGGTCTTCCTAAGTATCGTGGAGGGACCGCGTCAGAAAAAAGGGCGGGGCTAAGCGCCGTGAACCCGGAAGTGGGTTCCGGCGACGAAATACATGCCATGCTATACCTGACAATACTGAAGGTAGTGCCTGCATTCCTTCCTCCAGATTAATGAATGTAGCACCTGTATTGCTTCCTTGAGAATACTGAAGGTAGTGTCTGCATTCCTTCCTCCAGATTAATGAATGTAGCACCTGTATTGCTTCCTCGAGAATACTGAAGGTAGTGCCTGCATTCCTTCCTCCAGATTAATAAATGTAGCACCTGTATTGCTTCCTTGAAAATACTGAAGGTAGTGCCTGCATTCCTTCCTCCAGATTAATGAATGTAGCACCTGTATTGCTTCCTTGAGAATAATGAAGGTAGTGCCTGCATTCCTTCCTCCAGATTAATGAATGTAACACCTGTATTGCTTCCTCGAGAATACTGAAGGTAGTGCCTGCATTCCTTCCTCCAGATTAATGAATGTAGCACCTGTGTTCCTTCCTCGAGAATACTAAATGTAGTGCCTGCATTCCTTCCTCCAGATGAATGAATATAGTGCCTGCATTCCTTCCTCCAGATGAATGAATGTAGCACCTGTGTTCCTTCCTTGAGAATACTGAAGGTAGTGCCTGAATTCCTTCCTCCAGATGAATGAATGTAGAACCTGTATTCCTTCCTCCAGTTTACTGAGGTGTAATCATGAATTGCCTCTTTCAGCACTGTGAATCCCTTTCTACAATTCACTGAGTACGACCCTGAAAACACATGGCGGTATTATTCATCTGTACATCTCACCTACCATCAGATCAATAACCTGGTTCTGAAATGTAACATGCACCCTGGAAACGAAGCATCAATCTAATGCTGATGTCCGCGTAAGTGCAGCCTGCGGCTAACTTTCTGAGTAAGTCACAACTCTGTGCACTATTGGAACTTACTCTGGTTCTCACCTCAAATGTTTGTATAGGTCTGCTATCTATTTTTACAAGACTAACTAATTCATCTTTAATTGATCCTTCATTTGTTAACCAGTTTACTCTAAACTAATTGAGTGCACCAAACACTCTTTGCAATATGCCTCAAACTCGTCCTTCTTGCAAGGAAATACAAATGTAAAATGAGAGCAAGTACAAATGAATGGCCATTTTTTAGATCAAATCACCCAACTGTCTCACTCTATAATTTAATGACTGATGATACATTTGCCACAAGCCCAAGAACAAAAGGGTTGCATCATGTTAACCCAAACAATCCTGACCATTACAATTACTGACTGCTGACTCTATCTTGGAGAGCTATGCTAAGAGACAGCCCTGTACCCATTGAGGCTGCAGCCCAAAACTTTTGTATGCTTAGTGCTGGGGGCAATTGCCTCCAGTCCTCCCCTATCACTCAACCATAACATATCTGGTTGGAGGGCATGCAGTGTCAGTTTATTTCCTTTAAGACAGAGGACTGAACATAGATGTAGGCAGAACATTTTTAAAATTGTGGAGTGCTTCAGTTCCTAAAAACAGCACAGAGTATATCCCTGTGATAACTAAGGTCAGTTGCACTTTACTTACCCCGAGGAATTGTGAAATAGCTCCTTGGCGTGGGATCCCAACATTTTGCCACGGTCAAACTAATTGGGCTGTGAAATAAGAACAAAATCATTCTTTTTAGTAGCTGCAGTAGTGGCCTTATCAATTAGTAGAACAAATATTTGGTTTTGGTACAATTTAAATATATAAGATATGGTCTACAAAAACAAAATTGAATATCAGTGCAATGCAGTGCATTTAGTAATTATCCAGCAAAATAAACCTAATTCAGAAATTCTGAACTGCACCATTCTAACAAAGCATGGATGATTCAAACACATTTAATTTCGGCAAACCAGTGAATGTCATTTTTGTTCTACATTAAATGACTTATTCAATTAAGATACCAAAACAAAGGATCAGGGATGCCTGGTCAATACCTTGCATATACATTGCCTATTCTGTGCTTATCTGAATGGAACAAAAATATTCCGATATGGATTATTTTTTCTCTGTAGACAAGAGCTAAGAAGATTTGTTTATTTTTTTCTTTAAAAAGGGCCATAGCCCCTAAACTTGCTCTAATTTGAAGAATATGTGAAAGTAATGTTTTTAAAACTGCAGTCTTCAGCATGACCACTGGGTGGCTCTAAACTGCACCTAGCCCTCTAAGCAGAATTAGTAATGTGACCTAGCCCTTTCTTAGCTCCTTCTCTGCAGATATGTGTTATAATGTTACAACTGCTGGAGACATCAATGCATTCTAAATCTGTTTCAACCACCAAAATCCTGATTGTCACCCTAACTGCTAGCCAGTCTCTACAGAGAAACAATGCTAACACACAGTCTTTTTGTTGTATGCACTAAAAATGATTAATCAGCCGACAGCAACTTTGTTTAGATACAGCATTTAGACACTCAATGAAACTATTAATTGTGATAAACTTTTTTAACTGTAATAGAAATCAGTAAATTCAAAGTCAATTTCAGATTTAAGGTTAAAATAATCAAATTGGAAAAAATATCTCATTCAACAATGCTTTCAGTTCAGCTACTCTGGCCTTAGATTTGAAATTCACTTTAAATTCTCTCTCTAGTAAATAGCCCGGTCAAACTGTAATGTGATCTCCTAGACTCTGTGCAATAAACAAAACTGATTTCAGACGGTAGCAGGTAAAGCACAACTGAAACATAGAAACATAGAAACATAGAAACATAGAATGTGACGACAGATAAGAACCATACGGCCCATCTAGCCTGCCCAATTTTCTAAATAATTTAATTAGTCCCTGGCCTTATCTTATAGTTATTACAGCCTTATGCCTATCCCACGCATGCTTAAACTCCTTTACTGTGTTAACCTCTACCACTTCAGCTGGAAGGCTATTCCATGCATCCACTACCCTCTCAGTAAAGTAATACTTCCTGATATTATTTTTAAACCTTTGCCCCTCTAATTTAAGACACTGTCCTCTTGTTGTGGTAGTTTTTCTTCTTTTAAATATAGTCTCCTCCTTTATTGTGTTGATTCCCTTTATATATTTAAATGTTTCTATCATATCCCCCCTGTCTCGTCTTTCCTCCAAGCTATACATGTTAAGATCCTTTAACCTTTCCTGGTAAGAAACTGGATACTGACTTAGATGGTCTCTTAGTTTGCCCTGATCACTTACAGAGTTAATGAGATTTCTGCTAGACATTAGAATCAGCTTTGGTTTCTACCAATCCCCTCAGCTAGTTTGAATCCTCCAAGTGGATTACAGCATAAGGATAGAGGTAAAATGTTACACCTTGAGAAATGGGCCAGGTAAACCAAAAAAAGGAAAAGATACACTAAAACACGACTTCTCTGCGACACTTCAGGAAAGAGGACAGAATTGGAATCTTTTTAAACAGTCTCTTACGTGTTCCTATCCACTAATTAAGGAGAAACTAATACCCAGATCTAATGTCCCCCAAGAGGACAAGAAAGTGTTTGGTGTGTAGATATGCTGATCATTATCAGATCTCCAACAGTGAATGATAACATGTCAAGGTCTTCTTGTGCAATGTGGAGTAGACATAATAAACTGTTCAAATATCATAGACCATCGTCCTGCTACTTATCACATACACTTACCCTGGTTTGCAGACTATTTCCCGGAGGACCCTCACTGCGTCATCATTACTCATGTTCTCGAAGTTGACATCATTAACCTGCAAGAACCAGAAAACTGCTCGTAACCCAGTCTGGATATCACAGTGGAAATAACAGAACAAATAATCTTCTTTTATAGCATCTCATATGCAGATCCCCTAGAATTTCAGAGCGCAGGGCACCTATTTTTCTTTTTATAGAGAGAACGCAGAGAGGTGCGGTGATGGGCAGGAAATCAAAAAGTGTTTTAAGATATTTCTAAAGTCACCTAGAATGAGATGTTTATTATTTACACAATTGACATCATAAACAGAAAAATTGAGGTAATATGTCAGAGTGAGGAATTTATGCTGTCTTCTTGATGAAATGGGAACCCAATTGAGGTTTACAATATGATGAGGTACGATGGGTGATTAAGATGAGCCCAAAAGTAGAATTTGAAATAGCTTGGATTTTAGATGGTAGGATAAAGAGAATGCAGATTAGTTGAAAACAAAGGCAGGGATATAAGAGATTGGGCTATGGTGTACAGAGCAAGCACATAGTTGTAGTTTCGAATAACAATTATCTCACACGTGAAAGATACATTTTTATATAGGATAGAGTGTTTACTATATTGGTCTAGAACCAGATCAGTGTGCTAGAGCACATGTTGGTCGGATACATGTGAGATGTGCTAGTTCTTGAAACAAGGGGAGTGTGAACTTACCTGTAGTAACATATCTCCAGGCTCAATGCGTCCATCAGCTGCTACAGCCCCTCCTTTCATAATCGATCCAATGTAAATTCCTCCGTCACCACGGTCATTGCTCTGCCCAACAATGCTAATGCCTAAGAAGTTGTATTTTTCTAGGGGAAAATAATAAAATAGCCAGTCCTTCAGGAGAGAGTCTAAGTCCTTGGAAATTGCTCATATGCTTCTATATAAGAAATCTGGGCTTCTCAGCCAATCAAACAATGTAATTCCAAAATAACAAGACATGTTTGTCCTCTGCTGAGCTCATTTGACAAAGACATTAGTGGACGTTGAAATGTGTTTGGACTTTCTATGACATTGACATCTAAACTGCATGATCCTGTTAGAATTAAAGCTAATATAAGGCTGAGAATTATGAGCTTTGTAGTTAAATATTAACAGGGAAGTATATGTTGGCTAGATTTGATGGACACAATGGAAATTATGGAAATGATACTTACCCATATTTAGCGTAACTGTGATAATATTCAGCGACATGGTGGAGTCTGTGATACTGCTTAAAGATGAAGACTACGAGAAAAAAACAGGGATTGATTAGAACAAAACAAATTGTAGGTGAACCGAGACCACTTCACCTGAAGAAAAGCATTTGATTTAGAATGTTTAATTTACAATGATTCACACCTTAGTGAATAAGCCGGTAAAACCCCAAAGGCTTGCAAAATAGGCGTAACCTACCCTGTCAATCTGACGCATCTTTTGCTTCCTCCTTCTCCTCTTATGTTTACGTATAAGGCGAGAAGATGTGCTTTGTTCGGTAGAGCTACTTAACCTAGATAAAGGCAAATTAAAAGTACATCATGACATTGCACAAAAGAAAATGGTAACACCACGAACAGCACGTGTTCTAGCCATGAACCAGAAAATTAACACGGATTCTAAATGAAGGAGGCCCCCGGGAGTACTTTTACTTTAAGGGGGCAAACCATTCTCAAACAGTTTAACCCCCAAAAATGCCTTTAGCGGTGATCTCCAGGTCCCCCGCGCAGGGGCGCCGCTGATTGGCTGGAGCGGTCAGCTGACGCCCTAAGCCAATTAGTAGCTCCCCATTGATGAATTTTAGATGAGGTTGTTTTGGTGACTGAAGTGTTCCTTCAATAGAACATAGTCCATATCCTCATATAAATTGCAGACTTACATAAACAACTGGAGAAAATATAATTTTTTAACTGTTAAATTATTATTATTTTTATATAGCGCCAACAAATTCAGTAGCGCTTTACAATGGGTGGACTAACAAACATTTAATTGTAACCAGACAAGTTTGACACACAGGAACAGAGGGGTTAAGTGGCCCTGCTCAATGAGCTCAACATGCTAGAGGGAGTGGGGTAAAGTGACACAAAAGGTAAGGATAATATTAGGGAAGTAGATTGGCAGAATAAAATTCATTGAAGACGAAAACTGTTTTTTTGTGTGTGTTTTTTTTTTTTAAATGACAGTTGCAGGAGAGGAATCAGTTGGGAGCCATTAACAGTTTAATTTATACGCTTTTGTGTAAAAGTGAGGTTTTAATGATTTTTGAAGGAGTAGAGACTGGGTGAGCGTCTAACGGAAAAGAGAAGGGAGGTCCACAGGAGAAGTCCTAGAGAAGTCTTGAAGGCGAGCATCAGAGGTGGGAGTACGAACAGAGATTGGACGTAGGTTTTCAGCAGAGCGTAGAGGCCTAGACAGGACATACTTGTGTATTAGGAAGGATAGATAGGTGGGAGCATCATTATGTAGAGATTTGAAAGCAAGAATCAGAATTTTAAATTGAGCCCAATGTCTTACGGGAAGCCAATGCAGGGACTGACAGAGGGGTGAGGCGTGGGAGGTGTGGGCGAACAGGAAGATGAGCCTCGCCGCCACATTCACTATAGACTGCAATGGGGCAAGTTGGGAGCATGTAAAACAACTGAATGAAATTCAATAAATGTGCATTTTTTTCTGAAAGCTGATTTAAAATTTTAACCAATATAAGGTCTGATAACATTTTAGTACATCTTTAGCTACTTCATACGTTCCCATCTCCATAACCAAACCAGAATGCTGAATTTGTTCGCAGTGCACATTTATTACATTATGAGTTTTTTTCTTCGGTTATAAAATTCTAAGATATTCATACTATGTAGTAAAAGAAGTATGTCTGAATTTCTGCATATACCATTACCATGGGAACCAAATGGAACGATCTTGTGGTTTGCTCCACATCAATAACCTTGCATGAGAACTGCATAGACCTCACCGTTTCCAATTTACAACAAAGACAGTTTCATTCATTTAGTTATTGTGCTGTCTTTGGTCTTTAATCCCACTTTTCTATTTGCCAATAATTGAGCAGTTGACCTTTGCGCCTATCTGTAGTGATGACATCTCTGATGTCAAGTTGTATTGAAGTCAAGATAGATTAGTAGCATCCCTTCTATGACAGGCAATTGCAACCTATCTTTCAGCTTAGAGGTTTTAAACCAATAACTAACTCAAACACACCCTGCCCTTGTAATGGGCTTCAGACTTACAGCCTGAGGGATGATGTCTTGATCTGAAGTACAAGATGAGATGCAGCGTTATGAGAAGCGGTGACAGGCGGCTACAAATGAAGGATTGAGGTACATCTTAACCAAAACTAAACTGATGAGCCGTGTCCAAACTTGCAATCATAACATCACTGCTTGCTTAGCGTACAGGGCTGAACCAACATGCAAAAGGTCTTAACATGACCCTCAGCAGATGTTCCACTTTAAAGGAAACTTGTCACTTGCACATACTAAATGACCGACAGCACAAACAACATATGTAAAGCGCAATGTTTCCAGTAAACACGACCCTTCTTTTTAGAAAGAGTGGGCTCTAGAGTGGGCTAAATTCCAAGTGACCTTATCATTGGTAGAGGAAGGATAAAGAGGAACGGTCACATAATAAACAGACCGTTGGACAACTTAAAGTTAGCTGTGGGTTGTGATATCAATGTTTAGAAAATTCTCTGTAGTTTTCTGTCCGGGAAATGTTTGTAAATGAAATGAAACCATGTAGTGATGTAGGTAAGGGAACACAGAGCTTTCTCTTCCAGTAAAGTGACAGCTTAAATACAGTGAGAAAATTGGGCATTCCAATAGAATCTGCTAGCCAAGACTGGGCTAACTGTTGCCCAACTATCTGTTGTCATGATAAAACTCTTATGAGTCAGACTGATTACAAGATATTTCATACATAGACCTTAATTTATTGTTTTTGGATAAACTAATGAAATGATTTTATTTTTATGATAATATTTTTTGATAAACTTTTAAAATGATGAAATATTTTGGAAAATTAAATCATATTTTGATACAAATGGTATAACTTTGATGTTTTTTCATATCTTGAAAAAAAAATGTAAACGTTTTTTTAAATGTTTTTCCAAAAATATAAAATCATTTGAAATGTTTATCCAAAAATGCACAATCTAATTTAATCTGACTATATTCCAATTGGACAACAGTATACACTGCATTTAACCTCTTTATTGGATTGATAAAGAAACTAGCAACTACATTAATAATGGCAATTGGCAAGGAAATACACTGTAGCCTATTCTTTGAATGGAAGGAACATGAACTGCTTTACTAAATCAATAAACATATGAATAAACTATTTACAGAATAAACTAAAACAGGGAATAAATTAAAGTTTCCAGTATGGATTGTGTCAATAGACATTTGCTTTTATATTACAGAGCTCTTTTTTTTTTTTAGAATTATTTAAAACCTCAAAACCCCCCAAAAATAAATGTATCTTCCTTATAAGCATAAATTGGTAGGAATCATTTGAAAATAGAGTAACGCTCAAAAATGTAGGGTAAACAGATGTTACATTAAAACAGATTTTTCTGCATTGGCAGGGATATTTATTAAATTTTGCAAATGGAAATCCAAACAGCAAAATGTAAGCTAAAAAACCCAAACATAGTGAATATAATGCTTCGTTACATGCATACCTAGGTAAAAATGAAAATCTGACCACCCCCATCAAAAGCAAGCACTACCTTAGAACTGTGCGGCAAGGGTGCCTGGATTTGTGTACAGACAGGACTGCTCCATGCATACCTCCCGAGTGTCTTTCGTTTGGTGTTACAGTCCAGAGTTCCTATACCAGATTATTTCCCAAGTGTTTCACATTTGGGAGCACTACAGAAATGTCTCCAGTTACCCCAACATTAACACATCATTAGATTTGCTTGTGCTGAGCAACATCAGGGCCGTCCGGTCGTACTCCGAGCGAATCAGGATAATTCAGAGTATTTCCAGGAAAAGTCACCATGCTCAATAACTATAAATATCAATTAAATTATGATTCAGATTTTATAATATCAGCTTGCCATATGAATACGCCAATATCCATTAAAATATTGGAGGTGGCCTTTTTATATTTATGGTCCAATATATTTTTGAAGGGTTTTAACAAAATTGTGTCACACACATTCCAACCGCTTACTACTGTAACCTTAAAATTCTCCCACCTGCTTGTATTGTCCTCATCAGAATCAACAAAACTACTGCTCTCCAGCTCACTGCTCATCACGGTGGACGCGCTGTCATATCCTCCCGGGTCCCGAATCCGATCCAGTTTGGGGTGTCCATTAATTCTGGTAACTAACAGGAAAATAAAGAGAGAGAGAGATTAACTGGGGAGGAAGTCAAGACAAGCAGTCTACTACCAGCAGCAGATACTAAGAAAAACAATCTGATCAAAGCAATAAGTTTAAAAGTAACTGCACGCTGCTCAGAATTCGTTGTACCCTGCATGCAGATCCTATAGATACAGGAGAAGAAATGTGATTATTTAGCTTTTATCTTCCATTAATCAGAATGAAAAATGGATGATGTGGATGATGAAAAAAACAAATATGGGAAAAGGTCTTCCCATTTAATCAAAATAATAAACTCAGTCAGTTCCGTTGTGTTTGATCTGGAATGTAGAGGTTGATGAGGGTAATGACATGAGATCACGCAGATACCCCCTCCCTCTACATTACCAGTAACTCAACACAACAAAATACCTTTAACTTTTCAAAGTACAAGGTGGGTGGGCATCACAGCCATTCTGCTGAGCAGTGTTTTATTACAATGGCTAAAATAATTAAAAAGTTGCTGTGTGAAGTTCGAAAAATAAAATAACATTTAGAAATTCACATCTCTGATATTCGCTATCTAGGAAACTAGTGCCTTCCTCTTGGCTCCCTGTCACTCATTGTTTTAAAGGGACACTTTAGGGACCAAAATAACTTTAGCTTAATGAAGCAGTTTTAGTGTATAGATTATGCCCCTGCAGACTCACTACTCAATTTTGTCAATCTGTCTTCTAAGAGTTAAATTACTTTGTTTATGCAACCCGACCCTGCATGTGATTTACATAGCCTTCCTAAACACTTCCTGGAAAGACTCGTCTAATGTTTAAATTTCCTTTATAGCAAATTCTGTTAAATTTAGAATTTCTTATCTCCTGCTCTGTTGATAGCTTGCTAGACCTTGCAGGATCCTCTTGTGTGTGATTAAAGTTCAATTTACAGAGCAGGAGATAAAAACCTAAAAGTGAGTTACATCTGATTGAAAATGAAACCATTTTTGTTCATGCAGACTGTGTCAGTCGCAGCCAGGGGAGGTGTGGCTAGGGCTACATAAACAGAAACAAAAGTAATTTAACTTTTAAATGGCATGACTTGAGTAGTGAGACTGCAGGGGCATGATCTATACACCAAAACAGCTTCATTCAGCTAAAGTTGTATTGGTGACTATAGTGTCCCATTAATATCTGCCCTTTTCTGTCATTGAACATTTTATTGAAATAAAAACAGAAAGAATGTGTCACTTCCTCCCCTTTTAATGCACTGTGTAGCCTGGCTATGGCTTGGCTGAACTGGATTGTGATACCAATTAAACTAAACTAAATATTTAATATACATTTAAAGATAAACATAATATTACAAGAAAAAAAAATGGTTCAATTCAATTAATATATAATTTCCATGAACCCGGTGGTTCCCCTTTAAAAACCTTACTCCAATTTGCTTAAAAGAGGAATTGTGTACAGCTTCTTTTGTCCAAACTGGATTTTTGGTTAATTTACAATATTTGAAGCCAGATATAAAAGCAAGGCATCCATCAAGGGATTAATATAATAAAATCGTGTAAAAATGTGGGTAAAATATGATATAAAGTGCAACTGAAAAAACATATTATTCCGCTGACTTTCCTTGACAAATCTCTTGTAAAGATTTTCCTCTAAAACTGAAAGTTCCCCTTTGATCTACTGAATTAGGAAGCTAAAACCCGGGCTACCTGACTACATATTGGATGGATTTGAGCTGATTTCTTCTATGTACGGGCACGGTAATGGGGACCCTACTCTGCAAATCAGCTTTATAGAGAAATCTCTGCAACAAATTGTCAAGCAAATCCCTGTGATTTGATGAACTGCCTTCTTCACAACAACCGTTTTTGTAGAATGAAAACCACTCAACCTTTAGTAATGAGATCCCATAACATAATCTTCTATTTCTTGAAAATGTTTTTCAATTAAAAATAAACACCTTTAATACAGAAATTGTATATTAATGGTTTAGAACATAATAGTAAAATTGGCTTATTACAGTTATCAATAGTATGGTTCCGGACCTCAATTCTGTAAAGGTCACAGATGAGAAAATACAGATTATAAGCAACACATGTTTTATCTGAAGCCCAGATAATCACACTAACCTCAACACTAAACAAACTTTCTATGCTGTTTCTGACAATTCATCTGCCCATATTTTATTTCTGTGCATCTGCGTTTACTGTATCACATTCAGAGATACCAGTTTAAAGTGATAAGAAATCATTCACTATCTAAACCACTCATCTATCTTTGCAGCTTGACATTATCAATACATACTGTACTGTAATAAACAAGTACATATCGTCAAATGACTGGTGTTGAATATTAGTGTTACAATTTAGTTAAATTCCATACCACCAAAAAAGAACGCCTGAAGCTTATTGTATGATTCATTATGACTGAGAAACAACAGATTGTGTTGGCCGTATTTACAAAACGTCCAGATTTTATGTAATTACATCCATGTGAATGGCAGAATTTCAGCTCCATAATAGGGTGCCTCTTCACCTTCAACAATATCACAAATAAAGTATCTAATTTTAAAACACATTTGTAATGTTAGTGATTTTGTTCGGAATTAAAACGTGTACAAAATAATAAAAAAAATTTTAGTAATATAAAGGAAAAATGTACTCGTCTTGATATACTATTGAAAAGACATATATATTGTATACAAAATACTGCAAGGGAATCGCTCAGAAAAAGTCCTATATGATTATAATATTTATGTTGCCATGAGTCCCCCCATGTTCTGTGTATATTTGCAATTCAGACCAGATTACTTTTGGGTTGAGCACCCCACCCATCTACTATAGGTCACCTTTGGAGGTGATGACAGGAAGGCATAAATCGAGGAGTCTCTGGAAGCCGTTTAAGCATTATGTATTGCCATTAGCATGTAAATCTCCCATCTGTTAAAATTAGTGTAGGACCCACTGATATTGGGGTACTGGTGGTGAGCTCAGTGCCATCTTATCAGCATTATGGGACCCCTGCAAAGCAGTGCACTGGGGCCTTGCCTACACAACTCACAGGAATAAAAATATTAATTATTGATAAGATTAAGCTTAGCTTATATTTATTGGTACCTCCAACAAATGCAATACATACATATAGACTGCTGAATACGCACACACTGACTGCTTAATACACGCACACAAAGTGCTGAGTACACACACACAGACTGCTGAATACACACACAGTCCGCTGAATACACACACACAGAGACTGCTGAATACACACACACAGACTGCTGAATTTACACAGACTTCTGAATACAGACAGACTACTGAATACACACAGGCTGCTAAATACACACACACAAACTGCTGAATACATACAGACTGATGAATACACATACACACACACACAGATTGCTGAATACACACAGACTGCAGTGAGGGGTGCAGTCAGTGGTGTATTTAGGATTTGTGCTGTCCTAGGCTAATTTAAATTTTCCCCACCCCTTCCTGTCAATGCCGCACTTTGACTGACAGACGCACACACTCACTGAGACGCATACAATCATTGACAGACGCACACTCTCATATACACTGACAAAGATTGACATAAACACACACTATTACTTGGACACACACTGACAGACGTACGCACTAATTGACAGACGCATACACTCATTGACAGACACACTCTCGTATACATTGACATACAGACACACTATTACTTGGACACACAATGACAGACGCACACTCTCACTGACAGACGCACGCCCTCACTGACCGACACATACACACTCACTGACTGACACACAAACATTCACTCACATACACACACACTTACATACACACACTTACAGACACACACCCTCAGACACACACATACACAATTACAGACACACACATTCACTTACAAACACACACACATTCACTTACAGACACACACACACACATTAGCTTACAGACACATACACATTTCTCCCAACACTCACAAATTAATAATTTTTAAAATGTTATTTTAAATCCACCCAGCCTCCCTGGGAGAGCTGGAGTGGATTCCTTACCTGTCCCGTGTGGCTGCTGGTCGGGCAGGTAGGGGGCGGACAAGCTAAGTAGGCGGCGAGGGAGCTTTAATCTTCCTGCTCAGCTCACTCGTGCGCCGCTTAGTGATGCCGGGAGCCGGTCTGACATCATATTTCGGCTCCCAGCTTCATTAAGCAGTGCGCAAGGGAGCTGAGCAGGAAGAGCTCAGGTGAGGATGCTCCCTCGCTGCCTGCTACCTGCTGCCAGCCTGGGGGGGGGGAGGGGCTCAAAGATGGCCCCCCAGGACACGAGGAAAGCAAGGGATCTGCCTGGGTGTTTGGGGGTGGCTTTTTTTGCCACCCCCTGCAAAGTGCGGCACAAGGCAGATGCCCTGTTTGCCTTGTGGAAGACACGTCCCTGGGTGCAGTGTATGTGTTTGTGTGTATGGGTGCTGTGTGTGTGAGATAGGTGCTATGTGTGTGAGGTGCTGTGTGTATGAGAGGTGCTGTGTGTGTGAGGTGCTGTGTGTGAGAGGTGCTGTGTGTGTGAGGTGCTGTGGGTGAGAGGTGCTGTGGGTGAGAGGTGCTGTGGGTGAGAGGTGCTGTGTGTGTGAGATCGGTTCTGTGTGTGAGGGGTGCTGCGTGAGAGGTGCTGTGTGAAAGAGGTGCTGTGTGTGTGTGTGTGTGAGGTGCTGTGTGAGAGACTTGCTGTGTGAGAGGTGCTGTGTGTGTGAGAGGTGCTGTGTGTGAAGGGTGCTGTGTGAAAGAGGTGCTGTGTGTGAGGGGTGCTGTGTGAGAGAGGTGCTGTGTATGAGGTGTGCTGTGTGAGAGGGGTGCTTTGTGTGTGAGATAAGTGTTGCATGTGAGGTACTGTGTGTGAGGGATGCTGTGTGAGAGAGGCGATGTGTGTGAGGGGTGCTGTGTGTGTGAGAGAGGTGCTGAG